GGTGAGGGTGTGCCAGCATCGCACGCCACAAATGCCGCAGGGTTGGGGCAGAGTTGCTGGCAGTGCTTGAATGATTTGCGAATGGGTCCGCGTTGCGGATCTGCAGCAGCACGCGGCGCAGGATCGCAGGATAGGCCTGCGTGGGTGTACCTCCAATGCTTCGTGGTTGGACGGCGGCGGCTCAGAACACACAGAACCACAGTCATTTTCAGAAGAGCAGCTGGAAAGCGGCGGAGAAGCATCGCGTTCGTAGAATGGATGGGTTTCGGGAGAAGCGGCGGGTCAGGATCCGCAAGAACTCCAGCAGCGGGTTGAGCTACTAGCCGCCAAGCAAGGGGTCGTCCTTATTAGTTAAGCGGCAACAGGCTGAGCCGCGCCCGGCGGGGCACAGGGGGCACGCAGCGAAGAGCGAGAGCGGCCCTCGAAGCCGCCCTGATCGACAGCAACGACTCTCACGGTGTTGCGCGACCTTGCAAAGCAACCCCAATGCCGCCAAACGCTTCTGCCGGATTGGCTGCCTTGTTGTGAGCCCCGCCAAACTCGTCGCCAACCTCAAAGGGGCTCGGCGGGAGCTGCCCGCTAAGCCATCGGGATGCACAACTGAACACTTGCGAGTCTTGTTGGATGATGAGTCGTGCACGGAGCTGCTGCGCCATGCCGCGCAGCAGTTGTCGGAGGGCTGCGTTCCGGGATCCGTTGTTGAAGGGCTTCGGGTGGGCCGTCTGGTTGCGCTGAGCGAGCCTGGTGGCGGCATCCAGGCACTGGATGTCATGGGGGACACGTTCCGACGCCTGGTGTCACGGACTTTGGCGCAACAGGCCTCTGACGCGTTCATGGCGGCTTGCGCGTCCTTCCAGGACGCGTCGTCCAATCGGGCGGGAACGGAGGCGCTTGCCCGGGCCCTGGCGTTTTTTGCCGAACGCGTGGAAGGCATTGGTGCCTATAACCACGTCGCCCGAGCGGCGATGTTCAAGGGCTTGCGCCGGGACGCGCGATTGGCGCCCTGATTCCGTTTGTCCGCCAATTGTATGTGTTCTATGACTCCGCTGGCCACGCGCATGAAGTCGCCCAAGCCGAAGGCGGGGAACAGGGAGACTACGGCAGCCCGATTAGCGGGGCGCCGGAGCGCGATGGCGTCGCCCTGGCGGCAGCGCGGCGGCGCAGATAAGCCCGCTACCGCGAGCTCAACCGCGGCAGATTGCGAGTCCCTCCTGCGGCAGTTTGTCCGGCTGCGTGCTGCACGTGCGCCACCCGCAGTCCGCGGAGCCGCCGTGCAAGGCTGGGCGAGCCGGTGGTGGGGCGTCCTTGCAGTGGCCGTGTGCAGCGCCGACGGCTGAGGTCCTCGTCCCCTTGGCGGACATCCTGGCGCAGGCCCCGGAGGCCCGGCCTACAGTAGGTTGGGGTTGCGGTGAGCAGGCCTTTCACTCCCACCCCCCCCCAACCCTACGACGGCATTGACGTAGCGGGCGGAAAAAGGGAAAAACAAAAAAAAACAAACAGTGAGACCCGCTGATGCCGGGCCTGTTTGCCGTGGCCATCCACCCGGCGCTGGTGGCCGCCCATGATGACTTGCGATCCGGGGAGGACTTGTATGCCTTCTTGGACGACACGTACGTGTCCTGTGAGCGAGACCGGGCGTGCGTGGCCTTCAGCACGCTGCGAGCGGCATTGAAGCGACATGCCAACATTGACGTGCGTCTCGGTAAGACTCGCGTTTGGAACGCGGCGGGGGTTGAAACGCCCGGTTTACGCGAATCACGCCGGAGGCACACGGTCTCCTGGTGCTGGGAACGCCGCGGGGCAGCGACCAGTGCAAAAGAGAGGCCCTGCGCGAGAAATCCCAGGCCTGCCGGACCTCCAATCTGCTTGGCTCCTGTTTCTGATGTGCGCCGTGCCCCGCAGTAGCTACTTGTTGCGATCCCTTCCGGGCCCTGACGCGAACTCGGGGCATTACCGGGTAGTGCTGTCACTCGCAGGGGACCGCTGGTTGATTAAAGATGACAACAGTACTGCTGTTGCTTGCACCTATGAGGCGGCCCACACTGCGGCGGCGCAGCAGGGCTATGTGCTTCTATACGAACGTCTAGACAGCCCCTAGGTCCCAGTGATGCACATCGTACTTCCGGCTAGTGGTCACTCCTGACACTGAAACAGGGTTCAGTGCATGTACAGAGGAGAGAAGGTACGATTGCAGTAACCGTCTTTCAAACAGTGGTGCTGCCTCGCATGCTCCTGCCACGATGCTGCGTAACAAAACATGACGAGCGGATAGGCGATTCATTTTCCCCCAACAGTTCAGACCACGCCGCCGTTTCACTGCCTTGCAGGTTGCCCGTCCGAAGGCGGCTAGCGTTGCCTGCTTCATCATCATGCTCTTCTCTTCTCATCATTACTGATGATTCATTCCTTTCTGAGTGCGCCCACCTTGTCTTACTTCTATCAGACGTTGCTGCCAGTTGTACAGATTGGATGGTGGCTGCCACTGCCAATAGCAGCTGCACTAGACCTTCGGGCAAGTGCTTTGCATGCAGTGCTCTCCGCAAGGAGCCGTTTCAACGTAGATGTATCGTACGCAAGTTAGCTAGCTGACTACGCTATAGAGCTGACGGCGTGTGGAATGGAAAAAACGGTCCCTTCCCCGCCGATCATTGACCCAGGGGTTCGCAAGCGGGAGTCATGCAATGCTTGCGCGACCTCTTGGCCAGTGAAGGACCCCATCATCTTGATGCCTTGCAGCCAGGCGGGCCAAGCTATCATTCAGGCGGGAGGTTGGGGCCTCCGCTCCGCCACCGATGGGCGGGCAGCAGCCTTTGCCGTCATGGGACCACCTGGTAGAAGGCGGTAAACAGCCGCCAGGAGCGGCGAATGAGCGGATGCCGGGAAAGTCGAGGCTCGCAGCTCTCTGCAGCAGCTTCCTTGGATGCGTCAGCGTGCGCGGGCCTTTTCCTTCATCTAGACCCGCGCCCTGATGCTGTCCCAGCCAGGACCCTGCGGAGATCTGCGGAGCGTGGGCGGTGTCTGCCTCTTCCACTTGCGCTACGCCGGCGGTGTGGCGGCACCCTCGACGTCCTCGGTGACCACCGCACTGTGCCCCACTGCCGGTATTCTGGCGGTTCGGGGCGCTGCGCTCGAGCGCGCAGCCGCCCGAGTATGTCGCGATGCCGGGGCGCGCGTGGCCACCAACGTGATGCTCCGCGACATGAACGTTGAGGTGCCGCCGGCGGACGGCCGCCGCATCGAGGTTCTGGCCACGACTTTCGTATCCCCCATTGCGAGGGATGGGATGTCCGGGGTGCCACTGACAGAACGCTGGGGACGGCGGCGGGGGGGCCGCTGCGAGGAAGCGGCGGGAGAATTACCCCGAACTCGCGAATGGCCGGCGATGCAAACTGTGATGGGGCTGGCGGTGGGTGGCAGGTTCGGCGCCGAGGGCGCACTTCCACCGCTGGACCGGCTTACTCGCCGTCACGGCACAGCGAGCCTTGGCCTGCTCCCTGCTCGAGCTCCCCATGGCAGGATCTGACGAGTGTGACGGAGTGGAGCCGCTGCTGGGAGAGGAGACCTCCTGGCGGACGCGAGGGCACGGAGAACGTGCCACCAAGCCACCTTCCGGCGCCGTGAGCTAGCTTAGCTGTAGCCTGGGGTAGCCGGCTCCGGACAAACCAACATGCAGACGCAAAAGTCCGAGAGAAAAATGAAGCTTCAGCTTCTTTAATGCTTATACTTTTGAGATGTGCAGTTTCACCGAAGCAATCTGCAGCTCACAAAGAAAAACGCGACAGCCGACAGATTTTTTAATTCCACTCCCCGAGAAAAAGTTCTTTAAATGTAAACGAATGGCACATACGAAAACCCCCGTAATGGAAACTAGTTTTCCGGGGGGCTTCTCTACGAAACAAAATCTTTAGATGTGGAGGTATTGATTAAATAGGTGCTCGGATTACGGGCGCAATGCCGCACTCCTCCTCGACCGCGCTCGTGACAGCATCCAAGGGTGCTCGGGCGCGGCTTGGCACCCCCCCAAACTGGACGTTGCTTGCCGCCGTTTGCTTCGATGTGTTGTCTGTGCACGTGGTCAGGTGGATTGGAGACGGCACTCGAACCTGTCCGCTGCTAGCACAGGTGATGTCTGGTTTACGATGGCAACAGACTCACGATGACTCACGCCAATAGATAATTCATGTGGATGCCTTCATCGAGTTTACGTTGCAGCCTTCAGGTCGGCTGCATTGTTGCTTGCGCATAATTTGGGTAGCTTTTTGCCTGACTCTGACTTGATTTTTTTTTTGCCGGTTTTGCTTACACTGCTGTCCGGGCAATCTGTTTTTGCCGCGTCGCTTACTTTTGTGCCATTGCGTAGATGTGTGGTGGCGGTTGCTGCTGCTTTCGGAGTGCGGTGATGTGCTCTCCGGTTTGTTTTCCTTTCCCAAGGGCAATCTGAGGTCTGCCTATGTCCATTGTTGGGCCTTGGTTTTGCGTCTATGGTAGGCGGGTTCCGCGCCAAAAGCAGGCACGCAGGGTCTGCGGTGATCTGCGGTGGATGTTTCAGAGATTCGGAGAAAGTAGAGGCCAGAACAAAATCGCAAAATCGCGGCCACCATCGTCAGCCCGGTGTGCTGCACCCTGATGTTCGGGCTCGCGCGCCGTGAGCGCTGGAGCACCTATTGGAGCCGCCCATTAGGAAGCCTGGGATGCAGCAGATCCCATGAAAGTTCCGCTTAGCGCCTGCTTGCGGATGGGCTGGCTCGGGCGCCGAGCCTGCAGGGCTGCTGCTTGGGCCTTCCGGCCTTCCTTCCCAATGGCTCATACGTATTCTCCTCGGAAAACGGATTTTTTGCGCTTGCAAAGTTTGAATGTTCAGCATGTTGTGGAGCTGCAGCATTTTTTGAGTGAGCAAGGTAGCAACCAACATTCAGCAAGATTCGGCACATATCAGAAGCAAACAAGTCGACATCATTTGGAAACACGTGCGAGTTGGCGCACAGGCGCTGCTACATGCCATGGTGACCGTGCCCATTGTTTATTTTGCCATCGCCACCGGCCTGGTGTGGCTGATGTTCCTGGTCATGGCAGCAATTCGAGCATGCACTGGAGATTACAACACGGACACGCCAGAAGGGCATCTACGTGCAGCGACGGCTCCAACCCCACAAAGGACCGATGCAGAGAAAGCCGCTATGCTCGCTGCGATTAACGTTCTCTGGCTGATAACGAGCAGCCCAACATTAGGCGTTGTGCACAGTATAAGCTTCCTCAATTTAGTGAAGATAAGCAATGCCTGTCCCAGACCAGAGCAGTTGTGAGTGGATAAAAAGAGAGGAAGGGAGATAGTCGAAACTTGAAACTCCGGTGACGGCATGCAAGCGTGACGTTATATGCTTGCTCCTAAGGTGCATCTACCTGAGCTCACGCTGGACGAGGAAGTGACATGCTCCGTTTGCCTCGACATGATTGCTCTAGAACACCCAGCTCGACAGCTTGAATGCCAGCATGCGTTTCATTCCAAATGCATCGTGGGCTGGCTTCTACACGGCGCGAGAAAGCATTGGGATGACAATGCCATCCAATGTCCGGTGTGCCGGCACCAGCAGCATTTGCACAAACTTCCAGGCATGAACCCAGTAGTTGTGGGAGTACCAAGTGGTATGAACGAGGCAGTGGTTACGTGAGAGCGGCTTTTCGCGCATATCTGGAGATTTTAATGCGTGGATTCCGACGGGATTGTTGGTTCGTAGTTCGATCCCCCGTGCAGTTGCCCAAGGCACTGAGGGTAATGATTTTCCCAATCTCGCAGGGCATGCTTGATCTTACACATCTTACACACTTTGCCATGTTCAAACAGGGTCAGATGCGTCTCAATGGCGGGGCTTTTTGCATGCAGCGAGGAGAGCACGCGTCTGGCTGCTCGGGTGCTGTACATGCCAGAGGGACAAAACCGTGTGCAACCGGCAGAAATGAGTGGCCCAGCAATGACTGGATAGCAGGATATAGCAGGTCCATGAGATGCATGTTGCATGGCATGCTTCCGGGGTTGCACCATCTACTGCTGCCATTGTTGGAATTCGACACCAGATGTCAAGGCCAACCATATTGGGAACTCCATGCGTGGCGACACGTGTTAGCAAGTGTCATACGGGAGGTCGACATCGTCATATGGGATGTCGACATCGTTGAACCAAGCAAAGCTGCCCAAGCAGCAATGCAGTGTGCATTCCTTGAGCAAGCACCGATATATGTCCACATACCTCTGCCACAACACTGGATGTGGCACACTTGATGCCAAACCGAAGTGCCAAGATGCGTCGCAGTTCAACGCATGCCAGGTTCCAAATTTTCCACGCTTCTTGTTGACAAGCACTTTGCTTGCGAGGTTTGCAAGCATGCAAGAAAACGGCTGAGGTACCGGTGGTTTGCGAGATTATTCCGACCAGAGGTGTGCCTGGGAGCCCGCAGCTTAATTATAGCAAGTAGGTTGTGACAAGACCAAGACATGCATTTCTCTCCCGCCTGCTCTGGCGATTTCAACATCGTCGGCAGTGAGTTGCTTCGAATTGACTGCACAACTACCAAGTGAACTATCGACTATGTTTGACTTAGTGGAAATATTGTTGGGGTTTGGGCAAAGCAAGAACTTCGATACTCACCAGCTCTCCATACCAGGGTTGGCAAGCACGAGTGCGCTGCGGCAGGCATTTGCGTTTTCAGGCGCCTGTAGCTGTATACACCATGCCCCAGGTCGCCGTACTTCTGAGCTTCTTGTCCCTGACGTTGTTGCTGCTGTCTACAGCACCAGGGTCGTCTGCCCCCGAGGCCAAAATTGCCGCTTGCCTGTTTTTTTTTCGTGGTGCCCATATGTGCCCATCGAGTTGCAACGTGCAGGGAACATGGACGGCACGTCCTGCTTATGGCGGGGGCAGAGATGCATGGCGAGAGGCAAGTGGCGTCGCAGAGACTCTTGGCTTTTTGCGCGTCCGTCAAGCTAGAGGCACGGGGTTGGCAAACCGGCACTGATTTCTCCGCTGGGCAGGCCTGATCAATCAACCCTTCTCAGTTTCGAATGCCTACGTCCGCTTGTGTAGTGCGTTTTTGTGTGACATGCGAGTTTGTGTGTGTATATATATATATGGTCCAGTGCTCCCTGGCCCCCCCCTCCCCCCACCCATGGTCTGAAACCCCCCCCCCCTGTGGTGTGGTTGGGGTTGGTTTTAGGGTTCGGGTTGTTTATGGTTTAGGGTTTAGGGTTTAGGGTTTGAACGGGTTTTAGGGTTAACCCCCGCCCCCCTGTGGTGTGGTTGTGGTTGGGGGTTGGTTTTAGGGTTTAGGGCTTAGGGTTGGTTTAGGGTTTAGGGTTCAGGGTTTAGGGTTTAGAGTTTAGGGTTTGAAAGGGTTTAGGGTTTAGGGTTAACCCCGCCCCCCCCCCCCGGGCCCCCCCGGGGCCCCCCCGGGCCCCCCCTGTGGTGTGCTTGGGGGTTGGTTTTAGGGTCTAGGGTTTAGGGTTTAGGGTTGGTTTAGGGTTTAGGGTTTAGGGTTTGAAAGGGTTTAGGGTTTAGGGTTAGAGATCGTAGACCTGGAGGGGGGGGGGGATAAGCGCCTCACACACATGGGTTTTCCCGAGGGCGTGCTCCCTCAACCGAAGGTGCAACACTCCCAACACACGGGTTTTGCCGAGGGTGTGCTCACAGTCGGCCCCCCCCCCTACCTGACCATACCATGGGGGGGGGGGGGGGGTGGGGCGGACGCGCCAGACGCCGGACCATATATATGTATGTCTGGGTGTGTGTGTGTGTGTGTGTGTGTGTGTGTGTGTGAGTTCATTTGTGTGCATGTGCATTTTTTGTGCATGGTGAATGTGTGTGTGAATAGAGAGAGAGAGAGAGAGAGAGAGAGAGAGAGTGTGTGTGTGTGTGTGCGCATGTGCGCATGTGCGCATGTGCGCATGTGTGCATATGTATCCGTATGTCTGTACCTTTGTCACGTGTATGTGTGCATGTGTGTATATTCGTATGTGTGTATGTCTGTAGGTGTGTATGTGCGTATGTATGTATGTATGTGTGTGTGTGTGTGTGTGTGTCATGCGCGTGTTGCCGCCAGTCCGCTTCATCCTTGGCTGCATCAATTCAGGCCACGGGCCTTTGAAGATTCACCTCCGGCGTGTAGCTACATGTCGCACATTGAGGCAATGGACAGCAGACTGGAAGCCATGGACAGGCGGCTTCAAGTTCTTGGTGGGAAGCTTAGCGCTGAGAAGATTTAGCTGAGTTTTTGTTGTGTTCTTGCCATGCGTGGCCGAGGTTCCAACCCCTACCCTGCATCCTCGTCACAGGCTTTGTGGGAGATCGGTAATGTGTGAGGGTTCGCATTGTCGAGTTCATGCCTTTGGGCCTTTGTGAGCTTGAGGACCAGCTTTCCACACTGCGCAGCGCTTATGTGGGACTCGGCCATCGATGTCGTGTGGTTTATTCATCGTTGCGAATCCAGTTGCGTTCACATTCTAGCATCAGTGGAGGGACTTCAGGAGTGTCGGGCGTTTCGAGTCACAGTGTACATATGTTTGGGGGGGTTGTGTTTATAGTTCTACTTTTCTTTTTACGTTTTATCTAGTTCTGTCAAGAAAATGAAGGAGGGGGTGGGGGATAAAGGAGGGTTTGGGATTGATCGTTGATGTGTCTCGGAAGGGTTCTTGGCAATTCTCCAACTTGCATAGACGTCGGTGCCCTCAGCAATCTTGAAGCTCTAAACACACAGTGCCTCATTCGTCTAGCCTGTGCATAAGAGTGTTGTTTACATCTTCCAACAATCAACCTGTTTGCTTCATAAACCGCTCCTAGGAGTTCTTTATGACCTGGTGCAGACGTCCCTCAGTATTCCCTTGTCCTGCCTATTGCGCCGAGGGTTCAGGTTCTGCTGGCGAATTCGCGCGCTGCACCCCAGGCAAGACGGCAAGCTGCAAGAACGTCGGTTTTTGTTAAGCTTGTTTGGACGGGTCAGTTGCTTGTTCACAAGTGGTCGCAAGCGTGATGCCTTCATCATCACCAGCACCACCACCACCACCACAACCACCACCACCACCACCACCATCACAGTCGACTTCCTCATCATCATGATGATGATGATGATGATCATCATCATCATCATCATCATCTTCATCTTCATCGAAATCATCGTCGTCGGCGTCGTTGTCACCATGACCACACGAAAGGCCTGGAAAGCCCTACCAGCACTGAACAAGCAAACGGCCCCTGATGCGAGAGAGGGTTGGCTAAAGTTGCCTCGCAGCTTCGGCAGAGCGGGAGGGAAAAAACAAACGGAACAAAAGTCTCGCTGCTCTCATCTTGCGCCTTCTTAACGCAACGAGGCATGGCAAGTCCCATCAATCAAGGTTAGCACTAATGTTGCACCGTCTTTAGTATGGCCCCCCCCCCCCCCCCCCCCCCCCAAACAAATTTGGACCCGCTATAAACGCGTGGCCCGGCGACCCCCCCAAACAAATTGGGGGGGGGGGAACCGCCCTCAGGGCCTCAAGCCTTTAGGACCTCAAGGCCTGAAGCTTTCCAGCCTTTAAGATTCCTGGAGCCCAAGGCCCTCGGGGCCTCAAGCCTTACTGCGTAAGCCCTTAACCCAAAACACAAACCCTCAAAAAAAAATCATCCGAAAAAAAACTTGGTATTATAGAGGGTAGCCAGACAAACTTCCTAAAAACAGTTTGACCGGCCGTGGGCTACCTATCACAAAATTTGTTTGGGGCCTCGTTTCGTAATGAATTTCCATTAGGCTTTACATGGGATTGGCCGGGTTTAGATTTCTGGATTCTCCGCGCTCTGGCTCTTTAAGGTTCCTGGAGCCCAAGCCCTCAGGGCTTCAAGCCTTACTGCGAAAGCTCTTAACCCAAAACACAAACCCTCAAAAAAAATCATCCGAAAAAAAACTTGGTATTATAAAGGGTAGCCAGACAAACTTACTAAAAACAGTCTGACCGGCCCGTGGGCTACCTATCACAAAATTTGTTTGGGGCCTCGTTTCGTAATGAATTTCCATTAGGCTTTACATGGGATTGGCCGGGTTTAGATTTCTGGATTCTCCGCGCTCTGGCTCTTTAAGGTTCCTGGAGCCCAAGCCCTCAGGGCTTCAAGCCTTACTGCGAAAGCTCTTAACCCAAAACACAAACCCTTAAAAAAAAAAAAAAAACGTCCGGAAAAAACTTGTGATAATAGCGGGTACCCTGAACAAACTCGGTTCGCAGAATAAATTTTCGAAACTTGTGATTATAGACCCTCCTTATACTAAAGTCAGTCCAACATTAACAGTCTGTGGAATACGGTTTTTGAGATGTTGGGCACTCCAGGGATATGCTCTAAGTTCTCTGCAGGGTTCTTCGGGGGTGCCTACGCGGTTTTTGTGGGCGGTGCACGCTCCAGGGGAAATGTGGTTACCCGAAATTGTGGATTCTCTGGGGCCTTGCGGTGCTCTGCAGGACTGTCTGATGGGAGTCGAGACCCAACCGGCTAGGTGACCGGAACATGCGGGACTCGGGCAAGAAAATTGCTAAGTTGTTCTCATGCCCCATGTCTTGCAACTGGGGCTCTCAAAAAATATATGCGCGCAACAAACAATGCAACCACGACGTGGAAGCAGCTTTATTCGTGAGCCTCGCACCAAGGATCGGGGGCGTGTCTGCAGCCTGAACTTGTCGGACTTTTTCCCTTTTGTGCTGGGGAAACGAGCTTTGAATGTCACACAAAGAAGGGGGACAACCCGAGGCCGGGGCATGGGAAGTGACTCGAGTGGGGGAGGTCGCAAGAAAGAAGACCCAGCGATTGGTTGTGCCACGTTGAAGGACTCGTTGATGCGCAAACAGACGATGCCGTGCGATTTGTGTCGCTTGAACGACCACGATGGTGTGGACATGTGTGGATGCGGAACACGGGCACGCTGACTGCAGGAGTTTGATACTCAGGTCCCCTGAGAAGGAGAGAGGAGAATCCATGTGTCATGCGGGCCCATGCGGCTTTGACGTGGCGTGACCATTGAAGCCTGCAACATGTGCATTGCTGTTTGCATCTCATGCGCCAAGTTCTGCTTTGTTGGCAAAGCGTGATGGGAATGGGGAGGGCTCACTTGGGGGTCGAGCTGTCCACTTGAAGGCCGCGGCACCCCCGACCCAGGCTCAGGCGTTCCAAACAAGCTGTGCATGAAGGGCTTCGTTAGGGCTTGGGGTGTGCAGGCGCAAGCAGGCTATGGGGTTTGTTTCTGCAGCACTTTTGTAGCCCAGGTTCAGTGGTAAGTGTTGTCGTTGTCCAAGAAGAGTGCGATTGGATACTTCCCGCGTTGGCGCATCGCGTTGGCGCATCGCGTTTGCGCGAGGACAATAGCTGGAGCTACTACTCCCCGACAACGACTCCCGAGTGGCAAGGACAGATCAAGTCCCTGAGAGAGGCCCAGCAATCACGAGCCATGGATCAACAAGATGCGACAAGATGGGGGGGCTTGTTTGGAGAGCTGTTGCACTCCGGAGCTTTGCGGCTTTGTGCCGTAGGCTGTAGAGCGCCTTTCCCACCAGACAGATGACCGCTTCTCGCCCGGATCTCAGGGGGGGGAGAACCTTTTCTTTGGCATAAGGTGAGGGTAAAGGCAGTTGAAGTTTTTCAGGTCGTTAATGAAGCCGCGACGCTCTTCAGGTGGGGCTTGCTGACTTGTTCCACTTCTACCACGTTTTACAACTGCATTCATTTTCTGCCCCAGCTGTGCTCAACGCAGCTACGTGGAACCCGCAGAGTGCAGCGCATCAGTGGCAGATCGTTCCTTTCAGAGTAGGAGGGGGCAACAGCACGACCGGCATACGTGTAGCTGGCCATGGGCCGCACCAATGGCTGTGTACTTACGAGCAGCTTGGCTTCATAACCAAGACCAGCGGAAAGTATCAGAACCAAGACATGCATACACACTTTTGGAGCTTGCGGCTTACGGGGTGTGTGCGTGTGTGTGAGTGAGTGAGTGAGTGTGTGTGTGTGTGTGTGTGTATGTGTGTGTATGTGTGTGTGCGGTCAAAGTACGTACAGCACCATTGGGGAGTCAGCAGCAGCGCGGATGACCGACCAATGGAGACGTACTGTAGGGTTTCTTTCAGGGGTGATGCGACTGGACCGATTCTGTTGCCTCGCTGTGCTTTTGCTCATGCACGGTAGCAACCAACGACTACTACGAGCAACGCGCGTAGGTGCAGGTGACGTGTAGGCGTTTGCGTGGACTTGCGTAACCGGCCAGAGTCTGGCATGGAAGAAGGATTTTGGAGCAGGATGTAGGTGGTGCCTCCTCATTTTGTAAGGTAACAACAAACGCGAACGGGATGCGTTGTTTTGGCTTTTGGCACCTCGGGCTCCGGCACTTGCCATCCTAGGCAAGGCGAGCTTCGGGCAGGGGCTCTGGAAGCCCGGCTTATATGCCGCATCCCTGCTGTGAAAGTCTGTGCAAGTCTGACCTTAGATTCATGGTGGCACAGTGTCGTTGGGAATCCTGGACGGATAAGGTCGGCGAAAGCCGCTGGGGTGCCAGCTCAGCCAAGCAGCTCCGTGGTTGAACAGTTGGGATGAGATTGGGCGGTTGGGTTTACTGTTGGTTCGTCTGTGTGATCGACGGCTTCACTTGAAATCTTTCAAACTTTCCTTCACAGGGCCGGTATCCTGAGGTTTCCGGTTGCCATGCTTCCAGAAGGGGCCTCGGCCTCGGCCTACCAGGTGGTAGGACAGGCACTGAGCTTCATTTCAATGTTGCTCACAGGCAACGGCCGCCAGCTTCGCTACTGGCAAGCGTTTCGGGGTTGGTGTTCATAGCATAGGACATATACGGGACTCTTGACTCGAGACAGCTCTCTCTCATATTGTTGGCCGCGTCGCACCTTCACACACGGACTCCCAGGTTCGAGAGGTAGATGCCGTGCGAGCAATGGAGTCGGCGGTGGCCTGAGACAAGACCAGCATCTCATGCGGAGTACTGCGGGAGCCCATCGCGGTGGCTAGGATAGCTTCCTTATTTTGGGAGTGTTGAGACTGCAGGTGGCAGTTGAGCTGAGCAGCGGACTTACCATGCACAAGCCTGAAACGATGGAGACAGAGAAGCTGTGTTGATTTCCATGTCAGGCGACGGCACGTCGGAGGTTGTGGAGCTCTGGCCTGAGCTGTATTATGTGACATGGTTACTCATGGTTACTCTCACCATCGCTTGCCGGCAGGCTTGGGCCTCTCGGCCCAAAGGTCCTGGCCTGGGATGGGAGCGAGGGCTCGCAGGGGCCTCAGTCCGAGACTTCTGCCTGGGCCGTGGATATCCGGATCACGATGTCACTGTGATGGCTCTAGACATAGTTGAGCACACAGATTGACAGCACCTCAAGCTTCTCAAGCGTGGGGTGCCATATATGAAGAGACCAGCATGACGCATATGACAGCATGCGCGATCGATTGAAGCACCTTGAACCATCATCTGCCGTTCCTCGGCACCATGTCGAGCTGTGCGCTGATACTCGCTGATGCTGCTCAGCGCGATGCTGAGACGGGAGTTGGTAACTCCTTGATCCAGCTGTTCTGTCAACTGCGCGATGAGTGCATTGCCTCACTGAGACAATGCTAGCTCGGCCGGCTCGACGAACCTCGCCTGCCAGGAGGCTCGAACCGGGCGACGTAAGGCTTTACAATATGTCCTAACGCAGGGCCCTCAAGAAAGTTTCCCGGCGAGAGTGCGTAATAATTCAGTTTGCAAGTGCGCCTGGGAGGCCCTGCCGTACCTGGAGTGTTCCGGGACGGAGTTTGATGCACGCTGGACAGAGCTGCGCCTGGCCAGCATAGTGCACCGAGAGGCTGGGTCACTGCGATGGAGGAAAGATTCTTGCATGACCCTTACAGATCTTACAGGCTTTTACAAGTTTCAGCTGTGTGCCATCGCACCAGTGTCAGCTTTGGCTCCGGATCACGTGCATCTGACACACATGACATGCTTCGGGGAGCAGATGGAACAGCAGTTCGAACTGCCATAAGGGTATGGTCTTCCATCACCTTGCGGGTTAGCTTGGGATGGAGCTTCTCGGCCATGTGGCGTCAAAAGGTGCTTCTGCTGCGTCGTCAGCCGCTGCAGGCGTCGCTGCGGCCGTGGGGGGAGTGAAAGATCGGACCAGCAGCGCAGTGACCCGCGCGGTGAACGCGTACGATGCGCACCGTTACGAAGAGCTGCGCACGTACCTGGGAGACATTTTTACGGATCGAGTGGATCTCGCCGCTCTGAGGGAGGCCGGCTACGGGGCGCAAGGAGCGTTGCTGCGAGGAGCACGGGTGGAGGCTCTTGAGCGGTTGGTGAGCCTCTCGGGACCTATCCGCGCTCGGGTCATGCTTGCATTGCGTGAGGCCATCAAGGATTCGGCATTGTCAGATCCCGACATGTGGGACTGCGCAAGGTGGCGGCTGGAGAGTGTCATCGACTTGTTCTGGGACGACCTTACTGTGTACGTGGAGTCCGTGGTTGGGGATGCAAAGGATCAGATGCTAAAAAGAGTAGCTGACCATTCTGCCCTGAAGGCTTTGGGGCTTCCCCCTGCCTGCTTGAGTCCTTCCTGGTTTCGTGCGAAGCTGCTCTATCACTATCTGCCCTTCGATTTCTCAATCTTCGGACAATTGAAGGATCCCATGTTCTGGATCTTATCAGCGATAAGTGTTACGCCGATGTATGGCATCCGCGTTGTCTTCTTCTCTTTGGTGTTGCTGTGTGTAGTGGCCGGCCGCCCGGCGGATGAATACCAAACTGTAAGCTTCATCCTGACCTTCAAAGGTGCCCAGTTCCTGTCTAGCGGGGTCTTCATGGCCTGCCTGGCCGCCTTTGAGTACTACATGTGTGTGAAGCCAGGTGGCGAACACACTTGTGACACCGAGGGCCCAGGCGTGTCTCAGGATCTGGCAACGAGCTGCGTGGACTTCATCGGCAGTTGCGCACTGGTTTGGTTGGCTTTTCTGCTGCTTCCATGCACCCGCAGCTTCGCGGGCGCACGCGAGATCACGGAGGACGGGAAGAATGGGAAGGAGTCTCAGGCGCCTCAGGAGGAGAGGAAGTGTTGCCTTTATGACAGTACACGCGGTGGCCGCCTGGCGGGCTTGCTTGGCTACGACCTTTTCAGCTTCCTGCTGAGCTGTGTCTTGATCTACACACTCACGGTCCTGGACGTTTCCAAAGAGGCGACGGTGCGACTTGAGCAGGTGGCTGTGAACAAGGACCTTTTGGTTTCGGACCTCCAGAACTGGCAGTTTCGTTCGAGATTCTTTTTTGGTCGCATTGTGTACGGCCTGCTGTCCTTTCCCTTTCTGGTTTTCCAGCTACCAATCCTGAATGGCATCCTCACGCATACAAACCCAACTGGGTACAACCCACAGGGGCTATGCGTGCCGTACTTGCTGCGGCCAATGGAGGAGAAGGGCGAATGATACGAATAACGATTTGCGCCCGTCATGAAGTGTCACAGAGTCACCCAGACTTCGGAGCTACCAGACTGAAGTTCGTGTGCAGAAAGGTCAAGCTTTCTGGGTCGACTGGGATGGTGCTAAGTTGGGTGGTGATGTTCGAAGGCTGTTTACTTCCGGGTGCTGTGCGTGCAGACCCGGAACATGACCGGGAACATGCAGTAGTCGCTTCCTCGAATCACGATGATAGGCGGGTCTGCGCTGGCAAGATGAAGGCAGGAGTGGGGCAGCAGGGGCCTGCATGGGGCAGTGCTTTCAGCTAGCTTTCACACATCGTCTGTGTGCGAAATCACTGCGGCCCAAGCTGAAGTGAGGGCCCCAAACATGTGTGACCACAGGCTAGAGCACCTATGCAGGCTTCAGGATGTGAGTGTGTCATCCTCCTCCTGTCATTCAGTTCGGTCTCCGGTCAGTCGGCATGGCTCGACCCGCTCGCGGCCGCCGCGCCTTCTGCCTGGGCTGCCTGGCTTTGCTGCTCCGAGTCGACCTCGCCTTGCCCTTTGTCGGATGCCGAGGCCGGCCTTCGACTAAGCTTTAAAGTGCTCAGTCTCAACTCTTTGGCTCGATGTGTTATGACGTGAGCCTCTGTTGCGTCGAAGCTCATGCCCATTGCAGCTCCAGCAGTCGCCCCCTTCAGCTGTGCCCAGCTCTTGGCAGGAATGTTATCAGTCCAGGCCGCAGACTCAGCTGCCAAGAACTAGATAGGACAAGGTTCGCCTGGGCCCTGTTGATTCGTTCTTGACATTGCTGCTTTGGGGGATGTTTGGGGATGCAGCGTATCTCTTGGCTGTGAGGATTTGAAGTTTCTGTTTTTGAGCTGCAGCGTGGAGACGTGGAAGGCCTTGTGTTTGAGCAGGCTAAGCAGCTGCCACGGACGCCAGTGGCATCCCGGCTGCCAACTGAGTTCACGAGTTCACTTGGTCGTCAGCGCAGATTGGCAGATTGAGGGTACTGAACCTGCTGAGCTGGTGTGGGCACGATCCCTTGCGCCCAAGCCCCACTCACCAGTGGCTCCTGAGCCCAAGGTGCAGCGAGCGGCGGGCGGCGTCGACATCCCACGAACTCTGGAGCAGCTGAGCTAGGGTAGCTCCATGTCATGTGCTAGGGTTTTCGACGGCCGTCAGGCAAATCTGAGAGGCAAGTGTGAAGTTTCCGTTAATGTTTCAAGAATTAATACTAGGATACATCTGTGGCGAAGCACGTGGGATATTCTCCATAGCTTCGATGGGGTCGGTCGTCAAAAATGCGCAGTTTCTTGTTCTCTTCTGAGGGTTGGGAGTTGCCTCAGGCTTTGTACACTTTTGTGGCGCCGCATGTGCAACGCTTGTCAGGCAAAAAAGCCTAGGGCCCGGCTTCTCTGAGGAAGATCAAGTCCAACACCCTTCAGGGCGAGTTCGGCAAGCGCGGGGAGGTCGTGGCATTCTGTTTTTGGGTATTCCCCCATATAAGGGGACCCCCGTATACACACCGCACAAAAGCGGATCTTTTGGGAACCACCAACCCTATTTTCTTGTGCAGGTGTGCGTTGATCATGACTGATAAGTCCAATCCGCAGGCCTACGTGGCAGCGCAGCTCTTCCTATTGCTTTGTATCCTGGTGGGCACCGTTTCCTGGCGTGCCAGTCTTTGTTTTCTTGGTGCAATGTGCACATGAAAGGAGATGCCTATGCGAAGGCTTCAGGGTCTATCAGCTTGTACAAGAGGTCTCGATGTAGTCTCGATGTTGCAGTTGGCAGCTCCTGTCGTTGCAGAGCAGGGTTGAAGAAAGGGAACTTGGGGGTCAAAATAGAGGCTACATGAGGCCAGCCAAGGCCCTTTTTCGCGGCAAAGGCAAGAATTCGCTATGAAGCAACAGAGGGCAGTGCATGGCAGCGGCAGTGCTAAAGGTGCCTTTGGTCAGTTCCTCGCTGTTTCTCCTCGCGGGGCCTCTTTCTATAATTCTGGGTGGTGCCATGATCGCGGCCTCGGTTTACGAACTACAGGGCGACTCCCTCAGAGCTGCTTCATCTGTAGGAGCTCAGTATGCAAGAGGGCTCATATCCAGCAAGCGTCCCCCTTGCTTGGGAGACTCCCCGAGGCGACCTCTCCCCGTGGACGACAAAACCGTCTGGGCCCGAAGCCGAGCTGAAGGGAAAGTGAATGAAAGTGAGCCACCGAACATAAGCCACCAGTTCCCGGTGCCAAGCCACCCGGTGCCAAGCCACCCGTCAGCTCATAACAGTCTGTAGGTTGGTGGGGTGGCTGGCTTAGTTGGGCAGAATATATCTTTTCTTGCGTTGCTGAGTCTGAGTTCTTTGCCGGAATTGTCGTTCGCGACTTGTGAATGGGTTCGGTTGGCTGATGGTGCCGGTCCTACGGCTGATGCTAGTTGTGTCGCGTCTCTTGGCATCGCTTGTCTGCATGGATGTATGTGGCCGTCACGTCCGGGGGCACGGGGGGCGATGCTTGGGGATGAGGTGGCAGGTCGTGGGCCGTGCTACCTGCGAGTTTTTCTCAGGTCGTCACTGAGGACGACTGGCATCTATGAGTATGTCCGACATCCAATTTATGGTGGATTGGTTTTGCTTTGCCTCGGGATTGCAGTTGTCACGAACAGTGCCGAGCTCAACAGGCTGCAGTGATGCAGACTGAGGTGTGCCCCGCCAATGCGCTCGCATGTTCTCCTTCTTTTCTCGTTGAGGTGCCAATCGCCTCATTCTCACCGCTGCCTTGTACTTCGTCCTGGACCAAAAGGCGACAGTAGAAGAGGACAACCTCAAGGACAGCGACTCTGACTACAGCTTCTGGGAAGCATGTCTGTGAGACTCTCTACTCGTAGCGGTTGTTTTTCTGCCATTTTCACTGCCCTTCTCAAAATAGCACTTCAGGTGTCTACGCGGAGAAAACAGCTGGAAAGCTGCTCCCAGACGTGCAGAAACTCCTGAGCTCAGAGTGAGAAGAGAGCAAGGGATTTCAGCTTTTTCCCTCTCCTCACTCTCTCGCTCTCTCCCTCTTCTCTTATCTCTCTCTCTCTCTCTCTCTTTCTCTTTCTCTCTTTCTCCCTACCGGTGCGGTCAATATTTAAGAACACGCTTTTTCGGCGCTGTTGAGAGCCGTCGGATTCTGGTTGGCCTTGGCAAATGCAGGGAGTGGCCGATCGCTTTGTGCAGAATGCGCTCTGCACGACGCAAAAAATCATGACCCTTGGAAGGAGCCCCTTCGCGGCTGAAGCCGGTCATCTAAGTCGCTGTGGGCGAGTTGAGAGCTAGGGGACTTTGTGAAGGATGATGAAGGTTGGGGCAGTAACTGCGCAAACCTGGTAGGGCCGCAAGTGACGTCCGTGGTTCAGGTGGCGACGGAGCCCGAAAGATCTTCGAGACTGAGATGCACTGGCCTTCTCATCCGAACTTGTTGGGCCCAGTGTGGTTTTGTACCCGAGATGTGCGACATGCCCAGTGTCTCAGCCCCCCAGGACTTGAGCACCTTTCTGGTTGGAACCTGGTGGCAGCAGCTTTCCATGGCACCGATCACCTTCGACTTAGTGCTTGTGGTTGCAGTTAATAATGTTCAGAGAAGTGGAGACAGCAGGTGAAAAAAAAGCAGCGCCCCCAAAACGAGGTGATGAAGCGCCTCCAGCCGCCCTCGAGCCTTGGGGGCCTCTGCTCCTTGAAAGCGCTAACAGCAAGAAGTGTGCTCTCGTGGCAAAGCGCATCTCAAACCACGTCAAAGGTCATCAAGGTCATCAAGCCACCGCGGTGAGCCCAGGCTTCTATGGCCTCGTGACCGCCATCTTCCTTCGCTCCCAGCTGCTGGTCTCGGAACTTCTCTGCGACCTGTGCTTCAGGGCATCCGTTCCCAGAGGCAGTTCCTGAACCCCTAAAGCCTGTACCACCTTTGCCGGCCCTTTTGCGGGAATCAGGGCGTCCAGCGATCATAAAAAAAACAAAACAAGTTTGTGAATACACATGCATACATACATACAGTGAGTCACTCACTCAATCACTTACTCATACATACAGACATACATACATACAATGCGCACACATGCACACGCAAACGCCACACACAACACACACACGCACACTCAGACGACACTATGTATGTATGTATGTATGTATGTATGTATGTATGTATGTATGTATGTATGTATGTATGTATGTATGCATGGCGTAAGAACACCAGCAGCTCGAGGTTCCTTTCGGAGAACCTCGGCCATCACCAGGAGGCTTTGGACGGACTGCAGGCTCTGGGTCCCTAGCATTCATTGAGCCCATGCGGGGCCAAGGGAGCGAACCTGTTAGAACAGGTGGACCGTGAGCCTTCCCACCTTTGTACAGGGCAATGCTCTTCCCTTACAGTTGTCAGGGTAGTACGAAGGGCATCGAGCCACCTCTCTAGCGGCTTGCTTCTGCTGATTCGGCAGGATGGCCTTTCTCTCTTGGGAGCACGTCTTCACCTGGATTTCGTCCGCGGCTGGGCAGCAAGTTGTAGTGGACATGTTCCATTCCCACGAGATCACAAAACAGGGCTCCGAAGCAACGTGTCCATGCGACGTGGGAAAATGTGGGAAAGAATTGTCAGTTCGTCGATGTGGTCTCCAGATTCGTGTTTTGAGGCGAGGCGAGCTCATGGCCATTTGGGGCCTTGGACGCTTTGCATTTTTACGGCGCGCTTTGTTGCGGCACAACCTCTTGCTCCCGCATCTTTCATCGTTTGATCTTTTGCAGTCGAAGGAGCTTGATACGCATGCAGACCCCCCGCCCCTTTCCCCCAGGATGTCGAATTGCACTTCGGCCAAGAAGCGCTTTACAACGAACTCCCGGGGCAGGGCCAGTATCACAGAGCCAAAGCCGTTTCTGCTACCAGGACTTTCGTGTGAACCGGGACAACCTGCAGACGTGGGTTGGCCGAGAGCAGGGTGGCCTGGGAATGAGATTTCGGGAAGAGCTGATAACAGGAATTCTTTGGGATTGGAATTGGGAAGAAGTGGGACTGAAGAAGTCGCGTTTCATGTCGCGCTTGGCTTCAGATCCTTGTCCTTTGTGTTGGTCAGCCAACCTTGCCTGCACCCCGCTGAGCATCACCAAAGCATGGGAGCCCGGCAAAAAGGCCCCTGCAGATTGAGGCAAACGGACCGACGGGCCAGCATCGTTCCGCACCTCACCGTTCACCGGCCTCCAGGCCACGCAGCTTCGGTCCGCAACTACCTCGCGCACTTAGGCCTGAACCTGTGGGGATCTGAAAGGGCCGCCTGGAAGTGCCATTCTGTGCTGAAGTTCAAAACTCATCAGAAATAGCTACGAAGCGAATTCCGGACCGCTTTTCCAACTTTACACTTGTGCTTCAGTCCCGATGCACGATTTGCAAGCACAGACAAATTCAACAAGAGTCGCACAGCAAGGCGTTCTTTGGTTTTGTTTCAGAGATGGTGCTGAAGTGGGTTTAGGCCTATCGAATGCTTACGCGTGGGCTATCTCACTCTAAGCCCAGCAACGCCTGCCGTTCTTGCGGTTCATTGACAGCAACACTGACGAGCAAGTTCGGAACGACCCGTGCACTTTTCCCAGAAACCTCCACCAGGTATTTGATGCCCGTGCGGATCAAAAGCAACATGCTTCGATAGTTCTTCTCCCATCCTGTAGCAATAGTCAACAGCTGCCCTTGCATCGAGAGCAGAAATCTTTGCCGGTTTCTTAGATGCTTTGGGGAACTTCCCATATCTGTCCTTGTGTAGTTTCTGACTCCGGATCATGACATGCCCCCTTAACTAGTTTGAGAGGCTTTCGAACTGAATCTCTTGATCGTTCAGGAGCCGAGGCCCAGGCTGGTGGCACGCACGCAGGCGCATAGGGCGTAGGGCTTGATCTTGGGGGGTTTCGTTACGCTGGGGTGTGCGTGTGTGGCTTCTGCTGGTGCAGCTTTGGGCGTATTGCTCCGGCACCAGCGACACAGACTGCACGCAAGGAACGCGTTGCGTCTTGATTGATCTGGGGCGCCAGGGTTTTGCATGACCGGCCACAGGCCCAAGTCTTACGCACGCCCATGTGTTGTTTCTGGAGGTGAATGCGTTTTAGACAGATTGCCGGTTAAACCCCGCGCTCCAAAGATGGCCTCGCTTTCTGTTCTTCTCAGCAAGTGGCCAACAAGTGGCTATGCTCAGAACTTCTACAGTAGTTTTGGGTTTGCATGTTTCGCATGAGGTTTCGCTGTAGGGTTTTTTGGCAAGCAAATAAAGCAATACCTACTGTATTTTGCAGGTACACGGGCCACTAGCCTCACTTTAAGCCCTGGTTGTGGCATCCTGTCCTGTGGTGTGTGTGCAGGCATCATGGCGTCGTCTGGAGTCCCCAGGAGCAGCTGGCTTGTGGGATTCACGGCTGTTCCCAGAGAAGTTGCAGTTGTTGCGGTGGCCATGCGGGTGTTTGCGTTGCTAGGCCGCTAGCTAAATGCTCGCTTTTGGCTTGAAGAACTACGACTCGATGCCTGCCTGCAAGGCTGGCGCAGAGAAAAGCGCGTCCTGGGGCTCGCTGTCTTCGGTGTGCACTCCACCCTCGCACCTCGTCCGACGCCTTTGCCCCCCTCATCCAGGTTGAATGCTGCACCTGACCCAAACAACGCGGAACAAAGCAACGGGAACCGTTCAGTTCTCGCGAACAAGGTCGGAGGCACTTGCTTGTTCCATCGGATTGTCGCGGGTGTCTGTGAGAATGGAACGAGCTTAGCCGGGCATCCTCGGTGGTGTACTTTGCCATTCTGGTTCTTCTCCGGTGTACTCCCTGCAAGCCCCCGAAAGCACGACGGAAGCAGAAAGGTCTGCTGCAGAAGCCATTCCCCAAGACAGGTTCTCGAGCCTGCGACCATGCTGAAGGCCGCGTTGCGGCCCTGGACCACCCGCGTACAGCCCCGTGGACAGCATGTGGACAGTTCTTCAACTTCGCACCGTGAACGAACAGCCGTTTCTGCTCAGCCCAGCCCACAGCAAACTGTCTAAATCCCTACACCGGTCAAACCCAGCCTACCCCGAGCCATCAATGCATCAAACCTGCAAGCATGCCTTGTCAAAGGAAAACCTTCCCTCACTGGCCGTTTCGAGGATCTTTATGCGAGACTGCCCGCGGGGAAATGCTGCCTTTCGGCTGTGTGTGGGGATGCAGAGTATGGGCAAGCTTAGGCTGAATCATTGAGCTTCACCCTTGTTCTGTGATCCCGCCTGCGGCACTTGACATTGGAATGTTGGTTTGCTTATGTGTAGGTTGCCGATTTACTCAGGAAGAGAGGAGCAGGAGCAGGAACGCGTTGGCTCATGGGATACTGGTGTGTGTGTGTGTGTGTGTGTGTGTTTGTTTCAGTCCTTTGGTGCAGGTTTTTGCTGCTTGCTCAAGGAAGTATCAGCCCTTGTATCAAGGCCTGGTCGCACCACTGCGCGCTGCAGTGCCAAGCGCTCGGGAGCTGCGAGCCGGGCTCAGAAGGCCACCGAGCGAGCCCGCAGATTTGAGCTGAAGCTTTGAAGTCCTTACGCCCAAAGTCAGTCTTTAAATGGAGCTTCTTCCGAATCAAAGGAGATGGAAAATGATTTCAAGCCCCAAAACGCCAAAACACACAGCCTTACATTGAAATACATGGACATATTCAACAGTACTCACACCGGACCGAGTCAAGTGCATCACTACTGTTTCGCAGTTGTACTGCCAACTTCGACAAGTTTTGGCTACAACGCCCTAGACATCCTGAAACTTCTGGGAAGTCAACATTGAGGTCTGACCGAACTGAGGGCAACAAGGACCCTGAATGGGGGAGGGGCACACGCATTTTCCCAAATCGACAACTGTACCTTCCGAAGGCTACAGTGGACAGGGCGCCACGGAACGAATTCGCACAGTCAGACAGTGGGGCCGAACTGCTGTTGCTGAAGCTTCATGGATTATCTGTGTGTGTGGCGGCTTCGGATTTACAATAGCATCTTTGGCCGATGTCGAGCATCTGCTCCTGAAGGTAGCAGTCAGCTGTGGGTGGACCTTGTGCACATGTTCGAGGAAGCAATCCACGAGCGACAGAGATACTACCAGGCCTCTTGTCGCAGAAGGTGCTCTTCATCACGTTTTATGTTAAGAGCAAGCTTCTGCGATCTCACGGCATGGCTACAATTTGCTGCATGCCCAACTGCAGGTCGCTGACTACCTCACCGTCCTAGCTGAGATGCACCGCCTGGATGCAGAGCTGCGTGGGGCAGAGATGTATGTCTGCACAGCTCCTCTAGTGCCGCTTGGGCATCAAGATATGTCGAGATATGTCAAGATTTTATGCTCTTGCTAGTGCACTGTCGAGTTGTGTGCTTTGCTGGATGCAGCAGTCGAAATTCACGAATATCACGTCGCGACTCAGGTGTAGCCTCCTGCGGACGGTGGTCGAGAAGCCTCTGCTGGCATATCTGGGCATGCAGCTGCATGTGAACGTTGATAGGCCCGCTACCACTCATCAAATTCCACATACAGTGGGGGGCCCCTTGTCGCAGACTCCGTAAATTCACCAATGGAGCAAGGAACGCATCGGCAGCATGCAGCAGCGTCACCCACGCACACATACAAGAGACAACAAATCGGACGAAATGAGATTGCACAGGATCATGGAGGGGCCACGTGCGAAAGAGGGAGACCGGAAGACAGCCAGTTAGTGCCCAGAAGAAGCAACTTGCAGTCACGTTGGCAGGCAGACGGACCAGCTGTGGCTCATGCACTTCCAGGCCATGACCAGAACCCTGGCAGCTGCGCCCCATCCAACGCATCGAAGGGTGTTAAGTGGACCTCCTTCTCTTCGAAATGCGGGCTCATAGCCATGTCTCAGTGTGAGAGGCAGAAGCAAAGTGGGGATCGTTGTTTGGGGCAAATGGCAAGCGTACTTCACTCAACCCAGGAGACCGGGAGGGCAATGTTTGGGCGGCCCACAACTTTGCCTTGCGAGAGCAGATCCGGTGCCAATGCTTGGTTTGCAAGTTCAAGAAGTTCAGGGTCATCAGGTTCGGGGCGTCTGCTGACTCCAGAGCCGGACCTGCTTTAGAAAGTTAAGTAGTGGCCTCGCAGGCAGAGACTGGTGCAGAAATGTCGGAGCATCGAGCTTGAACCCCAAACCATCCCAAGCCTGCAGGACGTCAAGGCAAAAGCAAAGCACCGAACCTCCAAAAAATTTCCAAGCTGGGGCAAAAGCAGGTATGCCACCGGAGTCCAGCTGGAGGTTGTCCGGCCCAGGGCCCTCTACGTGTGCCCTGGTCGGTATCGGTCGCACCCAGGTGTTTTTTTTTCTTCGAACCTCGAACGCTATGCTTAATCGTTGGTCATCCACCGCGGGCCAAGGCAACGACCTTCCAAGCTGTACCGCACCTCGCCGGGCAAAGCATACCGGCGCCAGGTGCTGTTTTTCCGCAGCAGCACCTCGATTTCGATTGACAGTTTCTGCTGTTCTGCCATGAAACCCAAGTCTTCCCAACCTTTGGGAGCGGCGCATCCCTCCGCAAAACCCCCCGCGCTCAGGCTACTTCCAACTCTCGCTGTTCCTTCCGGTCCTGGAGGCTCACCGGGTGATCAGAATACGCATGTCGGAACCAAATCAAAACTTACACATCCACCTCAGAGTTCTTGCATGTCGTACTGCGAGGTTGTCAAACCCGCGTGAGGCCCACCTTGATGCCTGCGGCTCGCAGCTGCCTCTGGCTCTGCGCGTGGTTCGAAGCAGCGGAGATTTCGTGCCATTTCGAGCCTTGGAGCTCAAAAGAGGAGCAACGAAGTGTGCTGGGGTAGGATCGAGTGAGGCTACGGGGCAACAAAAAACAAGTTGCGAAGGTTGTCCAGGAAGTTGTGTGCTTCTTGTTTTCACCATGGTTTCCTTGGAACATTTGGAGGATCTGGGACGGCTGCAGCTCGGGCTCCGAACAGGGCGTGCGCAGTCAGTATCAGGAAGTCAGAAGCATTAAGTTATATTAAGCTTCAAAGCTTCAGATGGGTGCAAGACTGGTGCAAGCAATTTGGGGATCTCTTGGGTGATTTCGGCACAGACCTGGCCTGGCTGCAGCTTTGCCATGGGTTGTGGAGCCAGCGCCCATGTCCAGGGGACGCAAGTCACAGAGGTGAAGATGCCAGAGTGCTCCGTCTCCTCCAGGGTCACCAGAGGCAATGTCAGGGAGCTGCAGGCAGAGTTGCTGGGCGTTCTTCCAGCAGAAAACCCTGTGCACGGCAACCTCCGGTGTCCAACTAGGAGGCGAACTGTACCAGTCTCGACAGAAGATCTCTTGGAGTGGGAGCCAGTGGAGCACAAACGAGGGACCGAGTGGGAACCGGTGGAGCACAAACGAAGAACCGTGCCCGTCACGTCGGGCGATCTTCTGTGGGCACTTCCAGTGCACAGAGCTGCGCAGGAGGTCGAGAAAACGGTCGCGACAGCCAGGGGCCGTTGAACACAAGGACACAAGGGCGTGAAGTCGGGCAATCTTTGTGTGGGAACTTCAGAGCTGCCCAGTAGGTTGAGAAAACGGTCGCGAGATCCAACCTTCCCGTGCAGCATGAGGTCTGCATTTCCACTATGGCTGATCCTTGCAAGGCCCCGAGCTTGATCTGTTTCCGTCCTAATTCAGTGAATGTTGGGAGCTCGTTGCTTTTGCACACAGCTCCCGGTTTGAAGAGCTTCCATGTGACATGTGGTGCGGAGGGAGCATACTGCCGTGCAGTTTCCTTCTCTCCATGCAAATGCCTGTTGAGTGAACACTTGTTGGGCAGCAAAACGTGTCTCGGCATACGCCGTCATGAGTTCATTTCTGAATTCGAGTCCGTTTTCCGCACTTGTGATATGGACGGATGCGGAGGCAGGAGGAACTCAGAGGAACCTGTGGTTGTCCGGCAATCCTTGCGTCGTGTAATGGACTGGCTTGCCGGAGAATTGGCAGAATACAGCCTCAGAAAGAGTGCTGCACCGTTTGTGTTTGCAGAGGTAGTCGGCATAGTTACAGGATCTGTTGCGTGTTGGGGGCGGAGTGGGCGCCGAATATGCTCCCAGGACAGATGGCCCAATTCAAGGCGGCGGTGCTCTTCCCATGGGATCCGGCCTTGATGGCCTTCTACGAGCTCTACAGCTTGGGGCCGGCGCTGCTCCTCCCAAGGAGAGATTCAAGGATTCTGAGATTCTGAGATCCGGGGGGGCACTCCGAATTTTGCCCCGTTTCTCGTCTGACGTGCATCTCCCTGGCACATTCGATGCAAGGCAGCCTCGGCCCTCTTGATACTCATCCATACTCATCCGCACTCGCATCATCTCGTACTGGTAAAGATCATGGCTGCCGGGTGCCTTTGTGGATCTTTGCGTCTTTCCAGGAGCGCGTGGATCTTCAAGATTCAGCACCTCAGCGGCTGGACCACATTTCAGGCAGCATGGCCTTTCAACAGGGGGCTCAAGGAGTTTAAGCTCTAAGACCTGGGACTAAGGCGCCTAGAAATGAGGCCACGCACACTTGCACGCCCCAGTGCAAGACACGTGCGAGACTGTCGTAGGCCATTGGGGTCGCCCGAAGACGGCTTTGTGCAACAGTTTTGTCGCACTCAAGGAGCTCGGTGCCGTTGAGTTTCCCCACCTTCCAGAAGGCAGACACATGGAAGCGTCTGCTTCGGACCTGTATACATATACATATATATATATATATATTTGTGTGTAATTATATATATATATATATATCTGTGTGTGTGTGTGTGTTTTGTATATATATATATAGTCATATATCAATGGTGGTGCAAGTGGTTTGGAATCTGTTTTGTTGGGCAACGGTGGTGCGTGCGTCTGTCATGTACTGAAGGACTCCAAAGTGACCCGCCGCCCTTTTGGCGGCCAGAGACCTCGGTGCCGGAGACTGTGCTTCACTGGTGCCTTGGCCAGTCCAGCCGTGCAGCTGCACACCTTGAGACGCAGAACATCCAATCGCTCGAGATTCGAACCTTTCCTTGGCATTCTGTTTGATCATGGCGCGTGGCAGGTACGCCTACTCTGACTGCAGCCGCCTTCCGCCCCTCGCTGCACTTGCTTGCAGCTTTCGGGGGTTGGCTTTCATGGGCACTTCAGAGGCCCCGATGCAAAGGGTTGGTGTTCATTTTGGCTTTTGACCGTGTGGCGGTACTCAGTTCTTTGCACTGGAAGTCTGCGGCTCGCATTGCCAGCGTACCTCGTGCATCAAGCGGTATCGACAAAGCGAAGCATGTCATGGCGTGCCAACAATGCCGAGGCACCTGCTTCGCTTCGACTCCTTTCCTCAGCTGTTCCGGCTTCTTCTGGACTCTCGGCGCCTGCGTTTGGCGCGGCGCGGCATGCGGTGCCCGGCTTACAGTATGGTTGTGGTGCAAGGCTCGTGGAGGTTCATGAACGATGCAGGTCCTAGGGTCCTGTGGTCTCGGCCCGAGCATGTTTGATGTTTGCCCTCGTTTGGTTTCACCGGTTGCTGTGCGCACCTCACAGCCATGCCTTCTCTGCCCCTCCAGCTGCAGCACGGGTGACCGGGTGCGCAGGGCAGCCCCACAGAGGCTTGTCTTACGGCGACGAAGCAGAGATGGGCCGGCAGGGGGTGCTTGCGTATTTTGCTGCTTGTAGCATTTGACTTCACAGACTGCTTCAAGCAGGGAGGCCTGATGATTTCGTTTCTCCTGACCTCACGGAGAGAAGCATGGCGGCCCTCTGCAAGAAGAAGTGATCGGGATGTGTTTTGGACGAAGTTGTTTTGGTACACGATTTGCGACTGCTTGGAGCTGGACACGGCATGTCTTTTACGGTACGGGAAGGCAGAATGAGATGAAGGCAGCGTCCCCCCCTGGAGGCACCTGCCCGCACAAAAAAGAGCATCGGCCTCCAATAGATTTGCAGAAGGAGAGAGGGAATGAGACAACGCAAGGCATGGAGAGAAGCATAGACAGTGGGAGAGAGAGGGCCGCTTGGCTTTCCCCTTATCTCTTTCTCTGTTTAGACAAGAACATAGGAGAGACGGGTGGGCAGCGCTGGACTCCGCACACCAGCATTGGCAGTACGTGGAGGTGACTTCAATGAGCTGTAGTCCCTCACAGGCCATATGGCCCATGCATGTGATTGCTGCTTTTTGTGCTTTCTGTTGTTTTGGTCACAGGAACTCTTGCAGACGTGCAAGCTTTCTCCTCAGGTGTGTGATTGTTGGTTCTGTCTCACAGGATGGAGGTTGCAGGCCTGCGCAAAGAAAGGAGGGTTCTAGAAGTTGTTAGAGATTCCTGTCTGCTCCCTTCGTTGCTGCATGGGTGCAACTGGCGAGAACGTACCATGCCTTCAATCTGAAACGAGGCCGGAAATCTACGGAACCCTCCATCGTTCCTGCCATAGAACCCGAAGCCACAAGGCGCCACAATCGGCGAGCTCTCCAGTCTGGCCTGCGGTGGTACCGCGACGCCGCATTGTGGCTTCTCGCACATGCCGAAAAAGACGTGCAGGCTCTGAATGAACCAATCGCACGTCAAGCTGTTTTTTCAGTAGGGTGGGGACAGGGGCAGCGGATGGAGGGATGCGGGCTCTTAGGAAGAGAAAGCCGCCCAGTTGAAAAATATTGAAGACACAGAGATCGGGGGGGTTGCAGGGGGAAGAGGAGCTGCTGACAGACTTGGACAACTATGATGTGCCAGGGATCCAGTGTGCCCTCCTGATCGCCTGCAAACTTCCCAACCCCTCTCCAGTTGAAAGTGCAGCTTCTCTCCATCCACAGCTTTTGTTCCCTGACCCTGACCAGTCTCCCCCCTCCCCTCTTGGCATTTATTTCTTTCCAAGGTGATCCTTTTCCAATGCCTCGCCTTGTTTTGTCAATTCGTTCATTTTAGGGCTTAGGGTGTCTTCGTGCGTGTGCATACTTTTACCCAGTGGGAAGCCGTCATCGTGCAGATTGGAAGCCCTATATTGCAGTGCCCGCCGAGGTTGGAAGGCTGGCCTGAGATGACGTCGCAGGGGCCTAAGGCGTCAATTTTATGTGAGAAGTTGCTCTATGTATATCTAATATGTCCTTGAGCTTTGAAGTTTGGGATTTGAAAATCCTAGCCACGTTGGGTGCTGGCCTCCTCATAGTTGCAGATCACCTACTTGGGACACCAGCTGCCATGCAACCCACCTGGCCGATTTGGCCACCCTGCTGGTTCCCAGGACGGAGCGGAAGGTCATGATACATACCGCCGGAGCCTCGCGAAATCAAGAACCTTCGGCAGGCTTGCCATGAACTCTGGTTGCTATGATTTCTAGAGATTTTGGCCCTCCTGCGCAAAAGTTGCCTGAGCGATTGCGTGCACAAGGCCCTTCGTCGAAGGTTTCGAGCAAACGCGTGTGGTGCAAATCGGTCATGCCCCATCTACGCACCCTAGTGTACGTGCAACACCTGCGATGGACGCGGGGTATCTTGTTTGTACGGCCCATCCGACCCATCCAAGTCAGCACGCGTGCCAGATCTTGGTTCTGAAGTGTTGTGAGCGCCACATTTCTACTACAGCCTTTCCTCATCGTGATCCAAAGATGTGCCTGTATGGTTCGAATCACAGGGGGCTGCAATTGCTGCAGTGAATGCTGGTAGAGATGGGACAGCCCCTGACACTTCAAAGGTGGCCAAGATGAACCGCGCCCGGCGCGAGGCCATGGGCAGGAGGCCACGGTTCCAGCAAAGAAGAGATGGGGAAGGATTTGACGTACCATCTGGGAGATTAAGGGGTCATTCCGTGCTCTTGAAAACATGTTGTGACTGTGAGTGGCGTGTTCTGTTGCCGTTGGCGCCTGGGGTATTATGCCCTTTGCACTCAGCCCACGTGCGTCCCTCTCAGCCCAAGTATCCACCGAAAAATTCGCCCCGCGCCCGGTGGCAAGGCCCGAGCCCCTCGTGACCTTCAAGGGCCTCGGGCTGGAGCCAAGAGTGGCTGTAGAGAATGGTGCTCGCCTTCTCGAGATCGGAACGTCTTAAAATCTTAAAGTGTTCTTTTCAGAAACCGACGATTGGCTGGATTGCTTTCTCAACACCTGTATGAGTTCTGCAGTAGCAGGTGCTGCCAGGTTTCACCGCCTTGGGCCAAAGTGTGCAGGCTTCTTTTCCATGCTTCGGCAGCATGCCCGGAGGCTGAAGCAAGAGCGCACTTCCATCATGCATCGTGGAATTTGAGCCATGTAATGAATGCCCAGCTAATCAACTCATCCTCGATTTAAAACCGCAAGTCGTGCAAAAAAACCCTGAATCCCCAGTCTCCGGTGAGCCTGGAAGCCGAGCCCATGGCCACCGCGAAGTGAATGAAGACAAAATGGGTGGTTGGAGGGTTTCTGGGACTTCGTCCTTAGGTTCATGATGAGATGTGGCAGCACATGAGAGCCGTGAAGCCACCTCTTGAGTCCAAGCCTGCCAAGTCCTGTCCTTTCAGCAGCTACCCCACCGCTTTGACTCGGAGCCCAGAAAAGCCTGTGACAATCATTGCAATCATCACCAAGAGTCATCAGAAAGAGTCATCAGAGTCATGCAGAGTCTGCAGAGTCAGAGTCATCAGGGTTGCAGCAGCCTCAACCCCCGGATCTTGGCTTTCAAAGCAAAATGTCTCGGCAAATGCCTTGGCTGCCCAAACCCTGAGATTTCTGGGAGGCCGTGAGACCACGGCCTTAGAGGGCCACGCCTGGCACCGAGCAAGCAGGCTTGAGGTGGTATGGAGCGAGGGGTTCGGTGTGTTTATTGTTTCAGGGCATGAGACAATGAGGGCATTAAGGCATCTTTGATTGTTTGTGTTTGGTGGCCATGGCCTAGGGGATTTCTGTACTTGCGGAACGCGTTTGACAGGGATGCTGAGATTGCCGGGCCGTTTCTGATGGGCAGGCCTGCAGGATGGCATTGCTGCGCAGGGGCGATTCACCTTGTTCGTAGGGTTCTGCACTTCTGCTTAAGCTCCTCGTTTATTGTGGTTCCAAAGGCTGGAAGCAACACATCCTTTAGGAAGGCAGTGGCCAGGTTGGCAAGCCAAGAGTGCCCTAAGCCAAACTAGTGTCTTCGCAGCCCACCTTGGCGACCAGAAACACTGCTTGGCGACTGGATCATGGCTATGGCTAGGAGATGTTTGGCGCGCAGCAGCCGAACCAGAGCCACCAGCCAGCGTGTGAAAGCAGCACGGCCAGTTTTGGCGAAAGTCTCGCGCGGGTACGTGGCAACGAAATAGTCCCGTAGCCAGTTTGAAGCACAGGTAAAGTAGCAATTCAATGTGCAGTTGGTTCAATGCAAGCGACCTGGTGCGCAGTTTCGGCGGCGTTGCTTGTCAGACGGCGAAGTGTTGCGGAGTAGGCACCGAGGTTCTTGTGCCGCACTTTCCAGCTGAGCCGGTGGCAGCAACAGCTAACTAAGCCAAATCTAAGGACTGCAAGCAAAGGCGCTAAGAGAGATCTCAGCAATACGCAAAAGACGGCACAAGCAACCGAAGCTGAATTTTGAGGCTTGCAGGAGTCCCCCCTGCAGGGGGCTGAGATCACGCCGTGTTCGTTTTGGGAGGTCTTAGGGCACCCAGGATGAGGGGCTGATGTGGCCGGCTTCGACGGCTTGAAGCTGAAATGTAGAGGTCTACATAGGCTGAAGTGCCCCAACCTCAGGGTGGCGGATGAGAGGGGTTTCGAAAGGTTTTGAGGATCTATTCGTAGAATGATTCTTGGATACGTGGCTGTCGTTGTTCCTGGAGCTGAGTTGCTCAGGTTCTCGCGACCAGAACTCCTGCCGCGTGAATGGAAATTGTGCCAAGCTCAGACATGTGGAAGCATGAGGCGCCCCCAGGAAACCTCAAAAGCGCCCAGGTTCCGAATTAGAATTAGCTTCCAACAGGGGGAGCTAATTTTGAGGGGCCATATAAGGGGGGCCCCATGATGTCGGTTGCAGAACGCCGCACACACTCCTGCCAGCCCAGGCTGCTCTGATCTGATGTTTGAGATGCTGCTGGACTTCAGCAGGTTCCTGACCAGGCCCTGCGCGCAGGACGAGTTTAAAACAAAAGGCTTCAGGCTTCCAGTCATGGGCCATATAAGAGGGCACGGCTTGGACTTGGTCACGCCGGGGTGTCTGACCGAGGCAGAACGTGACCTTCATGGTGTCTGAGGGTACGTTGCTGGGTGCAGTGCGAGACCAGGAGAAGGGTCTGCTGCTCGAGTGAGAACACCCCATCTTCACCTTTTCTACTTCTAGCTTGCTCATGCGATGACTTGGGATGACAGGTCAGAAAATCCAAGATGATTAGCTGCCACTGTATTTGCAGGATATCATCCCTTATACTGCTGACTTGGACATCTTTGTGCCAAGAGAGGGTGCCTCTTCGGCATCACAAGTTTGGGCTGCAGTTGACAACTTGTTTTTTCCCCACATCTTTGCGTGTACGGGGTTCTTGCTTTTTGGGGCTGTCCTCCTCCTCCTCCTCCCTCCTCTCATTTTACCGCACAGCACAACTCACTACTCACTCACTCACTCACTCACTCATCATCACTCACTGACTCAGTCTCACCCACACAGCACAACTCACCACCTCACCACTCACTCACTCACTCACTCACTCAGTCTCACGCACACACACACAGCACACATTCACTCATCTGCCGCTTGCAACTCACTCATCAGTCATCATCACTCACTCACCACCCACTCAACCACTCACTCACTCAGTCTCACGCACACGCACACACAGCACACATTCACTCATCTGCCCGCCTTCCTCCTCTCAGAAGACAGCCTGATTTGCTCCTCGGGTTGTCCTTGGAGAGACTGCTTTGTCTCGAAGAGTCTTAGGCTGGGAACGGGCGATGCTCATCAATGAGGACCGCTCGTCGAGGTCAATTCCGCTGATGAACTGCGAGTGCGTCGTTTCTGTGTGCACGCATGCCGAGCTGTGAGGAAGACATGGGCGCGAAATCGTACCATTTCATGATCGTGTGGATGCCAAGCCTTATTTTGGAAGATGTCGATGCGCAATGAAGCGATGGCACAAACACGCGACAGCTGGTGGGCCGAGGATCCAGACCAGCCGCACTGTGCGCGCCTATGTGCAGTGCTCTGGCCTCAGCAAGGTAGCGCTCCGAAGGCCAGCCTTGAGTTCGCCGATACATGAAGCATGTGATTGTGGTTTCTTACAAAGGTGGGACGGCTATCCTGTAAATCGAGTCTGCGGCCCAGTGTCCAGTCTGGTAGCACCTTGACGGGGCCTTTGGGTGTCGCTTGAGCCGCTCCCAGAGACGCAGGCGCCCTTCAACGAGCACTTCGAGTGGGACACTGAGAAGGTGGGTGCGAACCTCGGCCAGTTGCTTGCCAATGATCATGGACCCGTCCGCGCACTTCGAGGTAGTGCGGAGCCTTGGCCGTGTTCGATTCCTGCAGAGTGTGCTCGTGAGGCAACGACCTGGCCTACTACATGGACATTTACGATGAAGGCCGTCGCAGCAAGTCTTGATTATACATATGTTTGGGCTCGAGTTGCTCGAGGAGCAGTGGGGAGCCGGATGTCGTACATACACTCTAATTATATCTAATTTTTATGATGGTTATCTTTTTGCCGAATGTCTATTGGGCGGGAGCTGAGACATGGACTTTGCCATCGCCACACAGCACCTGATCTTCCCGCCATCTGCCGCAGGGAGCTGAGCCTGCAGGTGTCAGTGACAACCCGTTCAATGCTTGGGTCGGAATCAAGACGCTCTCGGCACGGCTGTGGTGTGGAGGTCAAAATCCGCAATCACACGTTCCCCGCGCCCAGAGAGAAGGCCGCACCTTGTCCTGTGATAGGTCAGGTTGACTTCTCAAAGGACTGGCCGCGCTTGTCGGAATTGGTACTCTAACCTGGAATCTAAGAGATGCTTGGGGCCGCTTCTAGAGTTTGATGTATCTGCTTTAATGCCGTGTGTGCATTGGCAGGAGATTTATGTTGAAGCGCGCTATGGACCGTCCTGGCGGGTCCCTGACCATCAGGAGCGGAAGAGCATTTGAATAGCAGCACTGGACTAGAATATACTAGAAATGCCGAGTTTGTTGAAGCCAAGTCCTGGGAGAGGCGCGGGAATTGGCGGAGAAGTACCCAACGCTGGATGAGGCGAGGGCCGGTGCCCCAGTGAGGTCACTTCTGTTCTGCGGGTCGAGCGTCGATAGGACAAGGTTGTGCTTGAACGATCACTGAGGTCTGGTCCAAGAACATGCTCATGCTGCGGGAAGCCCGCCAAGATTTGCACAACGGGCAAAACCCTGAGCTTCGGTATCAAGGGGCCAGGAGGAGTATGAAAAGGGATGAGGGCAGTAGAATCGTAAAGAGTACCTGTCATGGGCACCCTGCAAGTTCCCTGTTGGTACCCTGTGGTGCCTTCAAAGTACTCAGGTACCGCCTCTTGGAGAGGGCCTCCGTCGACTTCAAGACTGGCTGGGGCCTCAATCTATGCATGTGTGTATGTGTGTATGTGTCTATGTGTGTATGTGTGTATGTGCGTATGTGTGTTTGTGTGTTTGTGTGTATGTGTGTATGTGTGTATTTGTGTATGTGTGTATGTGTGTATGTGTGTATGTGTGTATGTGTGTATGTGTGTATGTGTGTGTATGTGTGTATGCATGCATGTATGTATGTATGTGTGCATGTATGTATGTATGTATGTATGTATGGATGTATGTACCATATGTAGTACAGGTGTACATGTATATATATATATACATAAATATATACATATGTATGAATGTTTGCATGTGTACATTGTGCATTATTTGCTGGACATTATACATTACAATGGCTTTTCTTTTTTGTGAGCTGCTTTTAAGCTCTCGTGAAACTTCTCCACAGGTTTGCGCCTGTTGAAGGCTTTGCCGTTGCTTTGAAAGTTGTTCAGATTGTGATCGAAGGACGTACTGGAAGACGCACTGGCACCCCTGAGTACACCACGGAGGTCATACCTCAATAGATGTCGCAGCACACGTCGCCATGTCATGAATCAGCGTGCCTGGCTAGCACAAAGCTTGGAAAAGCCCTTCCATGCCGCACCCACCTCGTCTGGCGCCAGGCTTTTCTCTAACACACCACTGCCAGTTTGAGCACTGCGAGCATGCTGTCTAGTGCTTCTGGGCAACACTGGGGGATGTGCACTTCCTGCTTCGAGCTCAGTATTGCCCATGCCATATCATGCCGTGGGCTGAGGTGATATCCAAATCCCGGCCAATCAGGACTGGTCAGGCTTTGGCAGTTAGTTCTCCATGTTTAGAAGATACAGGCTGGTTGAGCTGCGAGATGCTGAGGGCGTGCAAGTGGTAGGATGGATCCGAAATTGAAATGGGGTTGTTCACTGCGTTGAGGGCTTCAAGCATCTGTACCCCACCAGGCAAAGAATGCTTGGTCTGCCTGGCTCACATCCATGATTCACTGAAAAGGTTGTGGTGGAAATCAAATTGGAAGCAAGTGGTGCGCAGATCTGTGGGCTTGTTCTGCGTCCAGAGGAGCCGCCACGCCATTCAGTCCTCTACTCGGAAATCTCGATTCACTTTAAATTTTGATCTGCTGCAGATGTTTGACAGTATAAGCCCCGAACCCGTGGAGTTGTTCAAAACTGTGATCTGGCCCTGCTCTACCCCCATGCGGCCCTATCTCTCGCATCTCTCGCGCTCTTGTATTCATCTTTGAAGGACACGTGGTTGAACACGTCCAATCTAGGCAAAGGATGTGGCGATTGAGGGCTTCGAGATGTCAGCAGACCGGAAGGCGCTTCGGTGCACGACGCAGCCTCGACACAGCCCCGACATGTAATTCGGGTATAGGTTTTCTGCCATTCCACACCCAGCCCAGATGGAAAAAGGGTTACTGCCGATCTGTGTGGCGGCGGTTGCAGGTCCTTGCTGGCAAGGTGACCATTTTCCCTCCAGATACAGGGGAGGACGAGGTGATGAAAGTGCTTCCCGCAGTCTGATCGGAGTCTAGCCGTGATCTGTGAACATGCTGTGGTTGTGCAGATCCTGGAGTACGTCATGTACTGGGCAAAGCAGGTCCGGTCAGGGCTGTTCTTGTTTTGCGCGTGAAGAGGCTTAGAAACTGAGGCATGGATACGGGTCTCGATCAAATGTCACAATTGTCATGGCAGGAGATCACCTGGTCAGACGAGCTGATGATCATGCGTCAGGGCCTCATACTGAAGGACCCGTCCTACTTGCATGCTCAAAACTTGCTAAGGGCTTCGCGATGGTTCCGGCATGTGTTTGCCTGTTCTTTTCTTGTTGGTTAAGGTTGAGGCTCTTCGGGCTTAAAGGTCTGCGAGACCCAGGGCTCCCGCAGCCGCAATGTCGGCTCAGGGTGAGTGGAGTCCTGCTTAGGGAAACTCCGGGCCCTTGTGCAGCTGAGATGGATGAAGCTGGGATATGACAGCTGCCCAAGATGGAGAGTAACTGTAGCCGCCCTTCTTTGGCACACTGCCGCGGTTGGGGCCGCGGCTGGGGTCTCAGGGCCTGAGCTGGATGTCATGTACCTTAAGTACAGGGAGCAGCCTGTTGATACCACGCCGGTCTTCAACCGCATGGACGTGATGTACAATGCCACCTTGGATTTCAAGATGGGCTTCTTCGCGGTGCAGGCCACACCCCTTGGTGATGCCATCATCACGAACATCTACCTTTGCCCACGCCTCGACTGTCTGCATCATGAGACTCCGCGGGCCATCATGGATTTCTCACAGAACATTGTCCTCGACCCAGGAGACAGCACGCTGTACAAATTCGATGTGGAGCTGCATGGCAGATCCAGGACGTACAGTATAAATGTCAATAGGCTGCTGGGGACGGAGACGAACTTGCGACACATGATTGTAGGCGGAAACACCCTTTACCCCAAGTTCAGCCCGAGCCATCATGGCCTGTACCGCTGTTTCCTTGACGTATCCACGGAGCTTGCAATGCTGGAGTTGCACCTGGAGGATCAAGGCCAAACCGTTCTAGCAGAAGCGGAGCCCCCGATACCTCTGAGAGATGACAACATCACTGAGTTGGACAACTCCCACCCGGAACAGTTGAGATCGTCTCCCATCCGGAGGCTCAGGGAGGAGGCATATGGGGAGTTCCAGTACCCCAACAAGTACCTACAGTTTCCTGTGCCAATGGGGATGAAGCGCAAGATTCGACTCAAGGTGGTTTCCTCCGACGGCGGCCACCAGGGTTACTATCAGCTTGACTTGGCACGGCAGGCCTGCAGCTCGGAGCTGCCGCTCTTCGATGTGCGAACGAGCAGTTGCGTGCGCTTCTGCAACGTCGGATACTGGCCGGACTACGCAGCCGGGCGCTGCAAGCGCTGCCCGGACCTCTGCATCAGCTGCCTCTCGGCACACGAGTGCGTTCTCTGCCCAAAGCCGACCGCCGAGATACAGTATAAGCTGCAAGACGGGAAGTGCATGGCCCAGACCAGGCCATTCTGGCAGCACACCGAGCGAGCCTTGTCTATTGCACTTGGAACCCTTGCTTTCTTGATCTTCTGCTGTGGCTTGGTGGGCTTTCATCTTGCGCCGTCTGGGCGCGAGAAGAGCACTGAGCCAGAGGACCACTCAAGCGAGATGGCCTTGGCCGACTTTGGCTCTGCTTTCAAGCACAGTGCCCCAGCCGGCTATCGCAAATTGCCTGTGGAAGACTCAGACTTCTTGTGACTTCTTGTGACTTTAGGGTGGGACCGCCTAGGACCTTAGGGCCTCAGGATCTCAGACGCCCGTCTCACCCTGCAACGAAGTTGGGGAGCGCAACAAGACAGCGGCTGCAGAGAGCTCCAGATGCGGGTGGCGGCAGACATGTTGGCCTCTCCTCAGCCAAGGTGTGGACTCGGGCTTGTCTTCCCCGGAGCGGAGGGTTTTCCACTGCGTTCTGCTTCCTGAGGGGCCCTCGCACGCTCGAGCTTCGCAGGAGGAGGAAGCGACCGAGAGCTCGACCACCGAGGCTTCGTGGTACGGTAGCCAGGAAACGTCGGGTCCTCCGTCTGCACAATAATCCGCTGTCTTTCGAGCCGATGGCCCCCTTTCCCTAAGGATTCGCCCCGTTGGAAGGATTTGGCGATGCAGGGCATCACCTAATCCGTTCAAGGCAATGTCGGACCATCGCTTGGAGCTGCACAGCGTGCTTGGCAGTGCTTGGGGGTCCTTGCATGTATGAACGGTGCATGTGTACATGGTTGTACATGTGTTCAGCTGTCGACAGGCCTGCAGTGTCCGCGGCATGCCGCTGCAGGCCACCTCTTATTCTCGGTAAGCTGCAAACAATGTAGTTTACAATGTAGTTTCGGTGCAGACTTGTTCTCTATTCTACACTTCGTCATATGTCATCTGAGATATGTGGGCATTGCTGTCTTTCCAAACTCTGTTCAGCGCAATCTGCGTTCGAGATGTTTGAGCACACCTCGTACGATGTCATTGTGCAGTTATACAAAGCGTGTCAGAAGGTAATGTCTATCAAGTTGTGCCTGAAGCTTGGTGCCGTGAAGTAGCTAGCCTCGCCTTGCAGTTATGGGTGCTGCCGTGTGGGGACCGGGCTGGGCAACGAGGGCAGCAGTCGAGTCACTTGGGAAATATCGTTTCAGTCGGCAGCTTTTGCAGGTGTCGCTTCCTGCTGGCATTCTTGTGCCCGAAACAGTAACTCACTTTGGCGTCACCTCGGCCAATGAGGTCGGATGCTGCATTGGCACGCGTTGAGACACAGTAGAGACACAGTAGAGATGTGGAACGGTGGCGATGCTTCCGCGCGTCAGGCGGGGGAGTGTCGTCGGCTGGCCTCTGTGAAGCTGTCTGGAGAGGAGGATGGGATCCGACAGCATGCGGGCTGAAGTCTACCTGCCTAGCTTTAATTGCTTGCCTTGCGCAACATTGCATCATGGCCACACAAAAGGCGTGGATAGCCTCTCGGGATCTGTCGGGGATACCATCGTAGCTGGCCAGAATGACATGAACCTTGCCATGCCTTCGCCCACGACTTCAGCAGTGTGCTCATGTTGCAACATGGCGGGTAGATGTGCAGCAATGCACTACGCGCTCAGGGAGGTTCAGCTTGAATCTGGAGAGTTTTGGGGGAAGAGGCCATGCATCCTGAAAGGAACAGGACGACTTCTCCAGCAAGGTCGTCCTCGGAGTCTTGCAAGGCCATCTTAAGTCTTCCTTCTCGGGAGCCCCAAGCCCTTGTACCAAAACAGGAGTCGAGCAGAGAGGATCTCAAGTTTGGATGTTTGGATGTTTCTGGGGGGCCTTTCAGGCTTCTCGACAGTGAATCGAGCTGCCTGTGGTCCAGGCCGCCAACTGTCATTTCCTAGCTGGTGGGCCCAAAGAGAAGCAGGGATGCAATCCATTTGCTTCGCGCGAGGGAAGTACTCCTTGGTGGACGATGGCTGGAAGAACGTCATGGCTCATACCCTTAGACTTCATGCAGTGCCGGGGCGTGTGGGGTCAGGTGGGTTCAAGTGGGTCAGGAGTGCAGCTTATCTACCAGGAGGCATGACTCTCACACGCGAGGTGCAAGTCATGGGCTGCGGCGACGCTTATATTATACGTATACACACGTACGCAGCACGTACTTATCTATGTATATGTATATATATATATATCCGCCTTCTGAAGCGCAGCCGGTCCTAGGACTCGATGATGAAGCGGACGGATGCTTCGATGAAGGCCCCTTTGGGGCATCGAGAGCCTCAAAGGATCCTAAATGAGAGCGCCTGGGCATGCTTGGAAACAGCTCTTTCCCGCATCATCTGTTGGAACATACCTATGACCGGGGCAGACTGGGGCAGGCTGATTCGCTCGCTCGCGCACTCTCGCGCTCTCGCGCTCTCGCACTCTCGCACTCTCGCGCTCTTGCGCTCTCGCGCTCTCGCTCTCTTGCTCTCTCTCTTTCTCTCTCTCTCTCTCCTCTCTGTCTCTCTCTTTTTCTCTCTTTCTCTCTCTTTCTCTCTCTTCCTTCTCTCTCTTCCTTTCCCTCTGTTCCTTTCCCTCTCTTCCTTTCTCTCTCTTCCTTTCTCTCTCTTCCTTTCTCTTTCTCTCTCTTCCTGTCTGTGCGGGTGCCTGAAGTGCTGTACGAGTCAGCGGCCCTACAGAGGCCCTAGACACACATCCCACAAGTAGATGCTGCAATTTGGGCTTCGATTCTTGAGGTCAGCTGAAACACAGCATCAGACATCCGCCGAACGCACCGATTATTTTGGCTATCCGTTCGAGGCTGCTCTGGGCCTTTTGGCGGAGTGGCTCGAGCCCGTCGCCCTCACGCTGGAGGCCACTTTCTGCCGAGCTGTGCTCTACGTGGGCTTGATGCCATATCATAAAGGGCGCTTAAACACTACCTTAGATGTTTTTGAGCCTTCAGCCAAAGCCTGGAGGACTGTGGTGCGTCGAAGGCCCACAAACAGCTGCCTGCTCGGTTCGGCTACCTCCACTGGCCAGATAGTGGGTAGTTCAATTTTCCCCTTTGCCCCCTCAGTATCGCAACCTTTATTGTAGAACCTGCACCTTCCCCCTCGACCCTTGAAGCGAGGTTTGCTGGTGGGCTGCAGCGCCTCCGTACTGGCACCATGCACATTGTCTGCATTTTCGACCGCCTTGCGAAAGGCTTCAGAGATGTCTCCGGGCTGTTAAAATGCTTTAAGCAACCGCCCCCCCAAAGTGCAGTTCGCTCAGGTTCTATCAGCCGGGTCAGGCCAGTCCTTGTGCAAGCTTGTCGTTTTGTGGTCAGAGAGTTGGTAGCCGAATATCGACAGAGTTCAAAAACATATTCAAGCCCAAGCCATTGCATACGAAGGGGGATGGTAATGCTGATATCCTGTACATCCTGGAGGCTTTGTCCATCGACAGACAGTCCATCTTCCATTGGGTGAACAATGCCATAACCTCCTTCAGGCTGGACAGGGGGGCTATGGGGGGCTAGCGGCCCAACCCCCTGCCCAGCGGATGTGTTCTGCTGACTTTGGCGGTGCCAGTATCACATTCAAATTGTTTGCACGCGTAGCGTCTGACGAAGGAAAAGTGAGTACGGGCTGTTCGGCAGAGACCTTGGCGGTCTTGTGCGCCAGATTGTGAGCCTGGCAGTGGTTTGCATCCGGGATTCTCTGCAGATCTGCAGACATCTCCAGACCTGCTTTGAGTCAATTCGAGGTTTCTCACAAGTCAGGGCAGGCTTGTTGTCGTCAATTCGGCAACTCTTTGTGCAACACGACAGGCCCCGCGAGCAGAGGTGGAAGAGCAAGCAGCATCAAGATCAGAGTCCGCTGTGTCCGAGCAAGAGTCAGAGGTCGCTCAGCTGAGCATCTAACCCGTTTCTTGGAGAAAGAGCAGGTTGCCGGCGTGACTAAATGACTGACACCCTGCTGACAGTATGAGGATGCCGAAGAAGCCGTTTCCTCCAGCAGCAAAGCGTGGAAGCTCACACCTTAGCCAGTGTTGCTCATGAAAATGGCAGGCGGGTGTTTATTATCTCGATCCCTGTCAGGGGCCTGAGAGTTGCACGGGCAGAAACGGCAGAATGATGCGTTTCAGAAATAGCGGAGAAAGGGGCAGCGTGGACAGCATGGGTAGCATGGGTTGCTCCGTAGAGCCAGCTCTGGTGCTAGCGCAGCGCTTAGAGACAGTGGTAACCTTGAGCCGTTGACGGCGGTCGGCCGTTTTGCGTATGTTTTACTGTGCTTGCTTCAGTCTCACCGTTGAGGATTTGTCGTGGCTCTGCGGGCTCAAGGCTAGGCGCAGATTGGCCTATCCAGCATGGTTGGTCTGGCGTGCTGCCGTGGAAAGAGCTTCCTGAATGCACTTAGGGACTCCAGTGGCTACAGCAGTGCTTTGGCCGTGCCCTGTAGGATAGTCGAAACGCGGGCATGATTTCCTCATCTGACGGCGCATCGCCCGCTGAGCGTTGCGTAGCTCCGAAGCCCTCGTTTGCGAGGAGGCGGCACGCATGGGTAAGCTCCTCAATTGGGCCAGCCTTCTTCGACCAGCATCGAAGGCCCGAGTAGCCTTGCAAGCCGTGCATGCTTTTGCTGACGCTCGCTGGCAACCTGCAGAAGAGGAGCAACAAAGTACCGAACTGTTAGACTCCTGGTACAACCCAGCGGCTCAGGAACACAAAAGCCCTTCCCGCACCTACTCTGCTCTGCTCAAGTCCGCGGCCTCCACGTCCAAAAACCTCAGAACCCTCTTCGATTCCAGAAACTTTAGCGATAAGCAGTGCAGTCAAGAACCCCGAAGATGCACCCCCCAAGGATTTTCCGAAGATTTCCGATGATCCCCGAAATTCCCCGAAGCCCTGCGAGGCGGCGGCCCAGCCACGCAGCCAGCCTGGACCCAGCCCACGCAGCGCTGCGGAGGCGCAAAGTGGCAAGTTGCGGTGGTGCGATGAGTATTACAGTTTATGTATGTATATGTGGGGTTGAGCAAAAAGGGCTTAACAAGGATTCGGGATGAGGGCAAAGAGGCCTTGTGTTTTTGATTTTTGAGGGTTTGAGAGTGGTTGGCTCTCGGTGAGCCGCAGCCCGGGGAACGGCGCAGGGACCGGCAGCATAGTTGCAATCCCTTCCATCAAGAGTTGTGCCGATGGCGGCAGCGGGTCGGCGAACGAATTGTTTTGGTCGTTGTGCATGGGCTCATGAGACACTCTTGGTTGTGCATTTGCTAGCAACTGCGGAAAGGCAAGTGCAGTTTGGCGTTGGTGAAACAAGGATTATTGTACCAAATGAGGATAGGAGAAAAAGTTGTCAGCGTGACAGAAACCAACTGGCACACCGTCGCTAGGCTGTTGTGGAATTCCGGAATTGTCAGATGCTCTGATATATTATACTTCAATCTTCCTCAGCAGGCCGAGCGATGGCGAGCCTTGACGGAGCAGGCACCTGTGCAGAACGCTTGTTCTTGGCCTCTTGACTCTTGACGTAGTAAGAGCTTCTTTTGTGATCTATTGTCATTCGCATGTTCTTGTGGCATCGGTGTTCGCACTTCAGGGCTGCTCACGGGATGGGGTCCCAACAAATGCAGAACTGACCGCGCAGGTGGAAAGATGGAGAGCTTCGAGCTCGCATGTCTATCAACAGGTGGGGATCTGTTCGCAAAGCAACCATTGCTAGTGCCAGACCGAGCAGTGGTCCCGATTCCGTTCAGAAGTCATTCCACGTCACGGAAGGTTGGCAACATATTGTGCGTATGCACACATGCACACGCTCTCCCACACCCACACCCACACCCACACCCACACCCACACCCACACCCACACCCACACCCACACCCACACCCACACCCACACCCACACCCACACCCACACCCACACCCACACGCACACGCACACGCACACGCACACGCACACGCACACGCACACGCACACGCACACGCACACGCACACGCACACGCACACTCGCTGACTGTAAAGCACCTGTACCCCCGAGTCGATGGCAGGTAGATGACTCACTTCCCATGGTCCTTGCCTCGGAACTCTGCAAAGGTTCGGGTAGTTTCGATCACTTTTGCCCGGGAGTCAGGAGTCCGAACCCGAAACGCAGACGAAATGTTGATGTGTGCGCCAGCTCGCCTAGCCCTTGCAATTCCCAGCGTGAGAATGAAGGCCTTGTTGTGGCCCCATTGTAAGGGTCCTAGTCCTCCCTGAAGTGTCCAAGCTCTTGGAGCCTAATCTTTGAGAATGTCGACACTGAACGACCGCTGACACGCCTGCAAAACCCTAGAAGGGACTTCGTTCGACAGTAGAGTCGTGATCTTTGTTCTTCAGCTTCATGGCACCTGCAAGCGTGCGCCGAGGTCTACCCGAGGGATGTCACCCCAAGGGCGGCGGACTCTCGACTGAAAAGGGCGAGTTCGGGCTCTGCACATTCAGGATTCAAGCTCAGGGGAGCTCCCGGCTCGAGTCAGATCAGCTTCGTTGAAGCAGGGCTGAAAGAGAAAAGTTGTCTCATGAGATCTGACTCTTACGTTTTCCGGGCAGGCTTGGAAGCTGACAGTCTTGAGAGCTAGGAGTTTGAAGTCGCTCGACTCGGTCACCGTCCCGTGTGGTTCAGTGGCGTTGTGCCGGGCCCATCTGAACAAGTGCCCAAGGACAGCCCAGTCCCATCATCCCCTGCCTCGTTTGCAGCGGCGCCTTGGCAACGACATGCGTGTTTTGTGGTGTTGAATTCTTGCAGTTCTCGGCAGACCTGTGGAAAAACAAAGTGTGACATAACATGACGGGAACAGTTGTGTTTGCTGAGGGGTCGGTTGCAGATGGAGGCTGGATCTGCACATGTAAGCTGTGGATATGTGAAACGACTCGACGTTCTATCACAGCAACGTCGATGTGGCATGATGTGGCAAATCGCAGCTTCGGAGCTGCTGGATGTTTTTATACTCTAACTGTCAAGTTGACATGTCGTCCATTTTATCCACTAATCCGGACTTGTTGCTGTCATGTTTAGCCAAACAGCCAGAGGCGCTGGTGCACGGGCCTTCTTGCTTATGTTCGCCGGAAGAAAGGGGGAATTGCAGTTCTAGGTCGCAGATCGAACTCCGGCCTGAATGAAAGAGTAGGGGACAGATGGGTAGGCGTACTAGAAGTGGACATTTCCTGCGAGTCTGCAATGGACAGGTCTTCCCTCTACGTTTGCTTCGGAGTCGACCATTTCATGGCAGTTGGAGGACCCCCTTCCTGGCTGCGCAGACCATGAGTGCCCGAGGAATCCCACCGCGTGGCCTTGAGCGTGTCTTGCGCAGGAGCCGGCAGCGCATTCGGAGCGGAAGCTGCTGGGATGAGAAAGGTTGTACGAGTGTGGGAACGTGAGGGGGTCTGGGTAAGCAGACGTCGTGGGATTCGACTGAAGATGCAGGAGGCACTGTTTGAAGCAGCAGTTGCAACGTGTGAGGTATGCTACAAGAAGTAGCGGGTCTTAGCGTACTCGAACCGATTTCTGATCGATGTTTTTCAGGTGGGGCCCTAAAATGTAGGGCACCCAAATATGATTTTTGACGGCTATCGAGGAAGCCCTCCGCCCTGCCGCCACTCCTGAGCCGCAGCCGCGTCCGGCACCCATCAGTCACAGCTTACAGCTTGGGAAGTTTCGGGGATGCGAGAGTTTTAGGCTTGTCAAGGCCCATGGTGTTTGACGCGCATGTGATTCGCACTTGCTGCGCGTGCTTCGGGAGATTGACGAATCCAGGGTTTGTTGCATCCTGACCTCTGAAGAAGCTGCAGGGCACCCGCAGCACTCCGAGCAAGCACTGGACAGGCGGCGGCTGGGTGACGTCACCTAATCTGCCTAATCAGCGCCGACCGCGTTTCGGTTCCTGGTTTGCTAGTCCGTGATGCAGTTCATTGGTGGCATGCACTCGATAAGATATCAGCCCAGCTCCATGCAGTGAGGGATGGTGAGGGAGGTGTCGGAGATACACCTGGGTCCTGGGTGTCAACATCTGCCAACCGAAACAAAATGGGGGAGGAGCAGAGGATGAAGATCTACGGCAGTATGCCTCGGCACTCAAGAAGGGCGCCAAGAGCCCAGGCAGAGGGTTTTGAGGGTTCTGAGGGTTCTGAGGGTTCTGAAAGTTTGAGGGTTCTGAGAGGGAGGTGATGGGATGTGTTTACGTGGATTCCGATGTCTATGCCTATGCGAAAATGGCACCTTGATGGAGGAGTGATTCGCAGCTCCGACGAGAGATATGACTCCTGGCTTATGGCATTTTATATTGTTGCAGTTGCTGTTGTCGCACGAGCTTCATGGACGACCAGTCGCATCTGGTGCTGTCAAGCACCACACCAAGGTCTTCTTCGATGGAGTTACGCCAACAGCAAATAAACATGTTTCACTTGTGCATGGGATGAGATGTGCGGCCGCTTGCATGCACCAGTTCAAGCTGATGCATCGTGGCAGAGGGCCTCTGTAAAACTGAGTTGACGCCAAGGACAATCGCCCAGTGGTTGTGAAGAACATCAAGAAAACCTATTTTGCCAGCAAGGTAGCTTGTACCGAGTCATGGACAGCAACACCCTCTTCTGAGAAATTCAAGTTGCCACTGAGGTGGAGGAGAAGCAGTGGCGAGCAAGTTGCCGGACACTCTTTGAATTGGCAACGCAAAGCAACTTGTGCCAGCTGCTGGAAGTGTCGGAGGCAGATCCGGGATCATCACTGCGGTACATAGGGGGCTTTAGGCAATGAGAGTAGCACAACATGCCTTCCAGCCCTGCGCCTCTATGGCACTATGGCTTCCGGCACCCTCTCTTCCCCAAATGCCTCTGTGAGGATGAAGAAGGCTACTATGTGGTTATGGAAAAGGTGCTCGGAAAGGATCTCTTCGACACGCTACGAGAGCTGGAAGGACCCATGCCAATGGCGGAGATGAGCCACAGCTAGACATATGATGCACCTTAGTACGGGCTAGGTTCAAGGCATCTGGATAGTCTGGCTTGGTTTTGAGTTCTGTTCACGTGTGATGCTGTGCGCGGTGCATGTGCTTGCTCCCAATGTCTGTCTGCCAAGGAAGGGCATCGTTGGCCAAATTTTGAAAGGCCTCACGGCACCTGGCCAGCAGTTATGCTTCCTCATGTCATGTCTCTTGGTGGTAGTGTGGGACTGTTGTATACCATTGTTGTTCAAGGGCATTCTGCATGCGGAAGAAGCATTGCATTGCTTGGCAAGAGATGATGCTGGTACGGATGTCTTGGTGATCTGCACTTGCCCATGGCACAGCACACGGCGCGCCACGCCGGGAGATGGGTTATGACTTGCATGCCTGCATGTCAAATTCAGAGGTCCTTCACGACCACGACTTGGTGCATCGAGACCTTAAGCTGCAGAATGTCATGATCAAGCGGGACGAGCGTGGCCAAGTGCAGGTGGGTTCAGCAGTTGTGCAAGATTGTGAACGCTTGTGCAAGCATGCCACCTTCTTTTTTGGGAAACTCGTGGCTGTCTTCCAGATGCGCGGAATGAAGGGGTGACTATGCCTGTCCACATGGGACTTGTGAACATGCCACGACAGAAAGTGGAGCTTCCATGAGGACCGAGGTCGTCCCTTCATGAGGTCCAGTTACCATTCCACCTCAGGGTTCGATTGTGGATTGCGGTTGAGGTGAAGATCATCGACTACGATACGCTGCAGACGGTCAAGTTAAAGGACGAAAAAGAACGAGGTGTCCTTTGGCAGTCAACAGCTGGCGTGTGAGTGGCTTGAACAAGAGGACCACACTGTTTCTGGTTGGAAAAAACCCCTTAGGGTCCTGCTCGAAGCACTCATCCAAGGATCGTGTGGTGGGATCGGCGACCTTGCTAGACTTAATAGTCGGTATGCAAGCTTTTCCCACGTCCCTGCCAGCACAAGACTTCCGGCCACGGACTGAGGATCAGTACATCGCGCCGGAAGCGTATGAGGGAAACTACTCGCAAGCTTCTGACATGTTTGCCGTGCCTTGCAATGAACAGGTCCTCGATCGTGTGGCTCATTTTTTATGATGTGTCGTTAGACTTCGTCGGGTTTCGACGCCCAACAGAGCCTATGCCGTTCGGCACATGCAAGGTTGGCGTGATGATGTTTGCGCTCATGAGGGGTCGGTTCCCATTCTCGCACAAGCTCTTCGACCTTTGGCTGAAGAGTGCCGTTGGGCTGGGGGCGAGGTTTCAGACCTTTAAGGGGTTCCAGGGAGGTTGGGACTGTGCGCCGGGTGAACCACGGCCTGAAACCTTGGCTGCGCGTGAGGTTTCAGGCCTTGGCGTGCCAAGACGTTCCCAACAACCCGGTTTAAGCCCGACACCGGGGCCACCAAGGATGACCAGCCAGGGGAGAACTATGTCGGCTCTGCAAAGCTGCTTTGCTCTACAAAGGGAGAGGGGGCCTTTCAAGACAGGTCGGGAATGTTCAGGAGTTGTGGGTTCTTCTGGGTGTTCGGATTTCGAGGTTGTGCGTGCAAGGGGCTTGAAGTCACAAAGGGCGCTGCCAAAGAGCTTTCCAATGAAAGGATGAGCCAGATTGCACACAAGCTGCGCTCCGCCACCATCTCCTGGCCGAGCAAGTTCAAGGAGGCGCCCCGCGCCGGAATCGGCTGCGCGTTGTTACATGTTTGGGGCGCCGAGACTCATAAAAAGAAATCCTGAGCCAGGAGCACCCGGGGTTGCGCGTTGTTACATGTTTGGGGCGCCGAGACTCATAAAAAACAAATCCTGAGCCAGGAGCACCCGGAGGCAGTGGATCTTTGCCAGTGGCTGCTGAAGATGCAGCTCGTCGGCAGTGTGGTTACCTTCGCCTCTGAGAGCACCCTCCACCTGGAGACATCCACGCAGGTCCCCTTGCAAAGGTCATAGGATCCCAGTACTTCGGTTTTCTTGGGGTCCCTTCAAAGGTGCTTGATACAGATCGTTTCACAGGCCACCCTGCGCAAGTTCTTGCACGTGCCTTCGGCCGTGCCTTCTGAGCACCGCCTTATGTCAAGCAAGCGGGAACACTAAGGAGGCGGCCCATTCGGATTCCTAGCAGCCTAGCGACTCGTTTTTGGCTGCCTTGCTGAGGCCTCCAGAACAGCGGCCCTCCGCACGGAGGGCGCAGAACCACCCCTTCCTGGCGCAGTTCTGACAGGGTGGGGGTGGGGTTGCTCGGTTAAGTTCCGAGTTCCAATTCAGGGACTCGGCTGAATGTTCAAGGCATGTTCAGACTGATTGAGGAGTTGACCCAGAGGACAGTTTCGGAGGACGGAAGTGAAACTTTGCATAGCAAGCTTCAGGCTCCGGCGCAGTCAATACTTTATCTCACTTTGTGTAGCTGCGCTGAGAGAGTGGCAACCGCTCAAGGTGGAGCCACCTTCGCAGATTTCGCAGATTCGGTGCAGTCCGTTCGGGCCAGAAATGGTCTCCGAATTTCGTGCTCCTTTCTACTCCCGATGCTGGGAGTGTGCGTTTAACGGCCGAATACTTGTAGAGGCACAGGGGAGTGCTTTCTGCCCTCGGCAAGAGCTGCCGAGGTGCTCCCAACATCTCCCAACAGAGTTTGGTTGAATCGCACCATGAGTTGCAGAAAAGAATTGCAGAAGAAGTGCAGGCACTTCTGGGAATCCATGGATTCCTAGATTCCCAGATGTCTGCACCTGCGCGGTGCCGCATATCTTCGTTATTAGTTGCCTAAGCATGAGCCATTCTAACGAGACGTTTGTCTGAAGCGTGCACCATGTTTACAGCAGAAAATGAGCTTCGCATGAAGTTAATGCATCGACCCCCGCTTTTTCAAGCGGTGCCGAGACCACCGCTGTCTTTGCGGGCCTCCGCGAGCTCAGGTGTTCTAGACACTTGACCTTCAGCATTACGGAACGATGGACGTCTCTATAGCTCAGGGGGGAACGGTGACGCATCTGTGGCAAGAGGCCGCGTGTCCTGTGTAGATCAGTTTCGAGAGATTAGAGCCTTAGTTTGCATCATTTCCCGGCGTGAAGTTGGAGCTGAATATGTGTGGAGGGCCATGTGATTAGGCTGAATAGGGATATATTCGTCGGCCAGTGAGACTTGGCAGCCCTCTTCACGTGCGTGGACAGCCGGAAGTGGACGTTGGGGTGGTGGGGGTTCTGATTGCCTACGATGGTTTGCTTGATTTTGAGGTGGGTGCGCGACATGCAGAGTATGAATCACTATTCTCAGGGTCCTGCTACGTGGTTCTTAATGTTTTTGGCCCCAGGTAAGTTGTGTCAGCGGCCTTGATAGTGAGAATTTGGATGCAACGTGTAGCTGTATGTAATCTGGATGACCTGGGATCGTTGGGTGTGCTATTCTGATGACAACCCCAGTGCAACCCTTCGGGGCATTGCAAGACCGCATACCTTCATAGGCCCATGTGTGCGCAAAAGCTGCTCACCGCCTCGTGCTTTGGGATTACACCAGGCTCGACTTAGGTTCATTTCTTTGTTGTTTGCTTGGGTTGGTGTGTTTGTGTGCAGCATTGGTTTGTCACGTTCTTTTGTTGCATCTTGTTGTATGGCCGGTATGCTCGGGTAGAGTACCAAGGGACGTTTGACTTCGCACTGCAGGCGCTGACTCACAGAGGAAAGGAGGCCACAGGAAATGCTCATAAATACGCAAGCTGTGGGGTTCAAGATCAAGCCTGCAGCAAAACAAAGTCCGAAGGAACATCTTGAGGGGCTGCGACATGTCTGACTGGACTGAATTGACTGGTTGCTTCAACTCGCTGCATCGCGGAAACGGGACAACCTTCGAGTCAAATCCTCACTGCCGCTGCGCAAATATCGGGGCTCCAGTGACCTAGTACTGGGCCGGGCGGAGGGGGGATTTCCCCCCCACTTCGCAGGCTTCCGCGGTGCTCCATGTCTTTGGGGGGTGCACCCTTGTGAGGGATTTGGGTGCACAGTTACATACCGCTTACACACACACACCAAAGTTCCTGCCACATACGCTGTACACATGTTCTCTCTGCTTCGATACTTCCGACGCAGACCACCTTTTCGGACCCCGCTGTATTTATGCACCATTGCCATCATGTCTTCACATCCAGTCTAGTCACAGGTCATGGCCGCGGAGACAGGTGCGGGGGTAACGGGCTTGCGATGGTTGGCTGTCAGAACCCGTTTAAGGTCGTCTCGGTTTCCCAGCTCGTTCAAGACATGCGGGCCATTTGGTGTGTCCTACAGCCCCTGACCTGCAGGAAGTGCCGAGGGGTCGAGCCGGCCCAGACGCTTCACGTGGGCACCCTACACGGTGTTTTCATGTCATGCACGGGCAGCATTCCTATTTTGTCAGCAGGCTAGGGCGTGTGGGGCGATACATGTCAGACCATGCCAGTTTTGTTTCGCAAGTTGTGCTTGATATCTCGAACCTATGCAACCGAACCTGCAAATCCCAACATCCTCGTTTAAAGCATCCATGAGCCGAGCAACCTTAAACAAGTCCTGGGCTCAGGTTCTCCGATGAGGCACCTGCCCCCCAGTCCGCCCCGGCGCCGAGCACCTCGTCGACCGCCATCCCGCCGCGGCAAGGCCGAGCTCCCTTGGGCCAAGGGGGTGGAGTCGTGGATTTGTTTGTTGTTGATTGTTGTTTGTTGTTCTTCCCTGTTTTTTGGGGGGAGGGGTTGGGGAGATGTGAGGCAGGTTGCATTGCTATCAGGTCACTGAACTAACGGCATGGGATGAGTCAGGAGTGGCCGAGGGGCTCCTGAACAGCCGTTTGTAGCAACGTGGCCTATCCGTCTTTGCCACAGGTTTTTCAGCGGCCACCCCGCCGCCTTCCTATGGGGGCTTTAGCCAGCAACCAAGACCGCAGCTGCCTCAGAGCACGGCCGCAGTCGTTTCGTGCATAGTTTCGTGTTGCGGACAGGGTTACAGGGTTCTGTTTGCTAGAGAACCAGAGATCCTTGCAGCATCCAAAGCCATGAAGCCCCGACAGTGCAAGCTATGTTGTAGATATGCCGACGTGGAAGTCGACGCCTAGATGCTTGTTTCTGTGGATCTGTAGAAGTTGAATCGCCCCTGCTCCTGCAAACGGACAGGGCAGCGATGCACCAACCGCCGGCGGCTGCTTGGCCCCAGCAGCAACAGCAGCAGCAGCCGCCAGGGGGCCAAGCTGATGCTGGTATGGCCCTGAAAGATGCAAAGCCAAAAAGCAAGCCCCCTGTAATGCCATAGAGGCTCCCTCCCTCCCCTCCCCCCCCCCCCCCCCCCCCCCGAACAAAAACAAAACACAGCAACAGCAACAAAAATAGACTGGCTCTTCCCAACCTCTCCCCTGGTGACATCTGACCCTATCGACTTCCGAAACCGCCAGGAACTGGGGCCCTCAAGGCCCCGGGGCCTGGGGCGCGGGCGGCCAGGGCCTCGGAGTCCGAGGGCTCCAAGAGCTCCGCAGCTACTTGGGACCGGCTTGGGGTTCTTAGAAGCAAGTGCATCGTCCTCTTATTCAGAAGCATCTTGTGAAAGTATTGATGAGAACAGGAGTAAGAACAAGAAACATCATGTGAAACACAGGAAGAAGAGTAAGAAGAACAATGATGAGATTTAAGAGTGTTTTTGAGGGCTTCAAGTGTGGAGCCTTGGACGATCCAACTTGCCCTCAAGAACCGAACCCTCGCAGCACCTCAACGGCGGTTGCGGCAGGTCCGGGTGATGGCTGCTGGGGAGGCAGCGAGTGTTGTGGGGGTTGTGCATGTTGTGCATGTTGTGCATGTTGTGCATGTTGTGCATGTTGTGCATGTTGTGCATGTTGTGCATGTTGTGCATGGTGTGTGTGTGTGTGTGTGTGTGTGTGTGGTGTGGTGTGTGTGGTGTGTTTCATCCCAGACGGCTGCCCGGCTTGGCCTTTCGTCAGGCGATGCGTGGGCCGGTGGATGGGGCCCGGGTGATGCCTGGGCAGGCCTGGGCTTCATGCACGAGTTGGCTGCGGTTTTTTCCAGCTGCAGTTGCGATTTGGCATTCTTTCCACGCAAGGCTGGGGGCAAGGAGCCTGGGGCAAAGGAGGAGCAGGAGGCGCAGGCAGCCCTTCGGTATTGCAATCCTCGTGCATTCCATGTCTGCAGAGATTCCTAAGCCGGAAGCTGCGAGGTGCGTTTGGCGGCCCTCCGATGTTCGGGCCTCCCTGCCGCAGTTCCCGAGCATTGGAAGAGCCTTCGCGCCCGCGCAGTGCTTTGGGAGCCTCAGCCAACTTCGGCCAGGACTGTGCTGATCGGTACGGTCAAGAGCTACTCCTCCGTCAAAGGCTTTGGGCCAGGAGCCTGGCTGACGCATCCAACCTCTGATGGCCCAGCCCAGCCACCATAGGTAGGATCATGAACAACCGTTTCACAGTTCCTGTTACTTTGCCGAGGTTCCTGATTCACCCTGATATTCCGCAGGACAGCCGTTCGTGGTGGCAAGGGTCCAGAAGTGCATTGAATCGAGACAGCCACCAGGACATATGGTTTGCGAAGGAAACCGTGGCTGCGGAGCTCAGGACGGTGCACTGGCCCTGAGAATGAACTAGCCCGTGCCACTACTGGCACTCCAAGTGGAATGAAGTGGAAGACTGTTGAAGGCCTCGGAGAGTTTTGTGGAAGGACCTCCGACCTAGCCGGGACGGCCATGGCCTTCGAGCTCATGAGGGCTCCAGATGGCAAGCCTCAGGTCCGCGACTGGAGTTTTTTTGGAGGGCTGGGCATGGCTGGGCCTTGTTTAGATGTCCGGGAAAGGTGGGGCTTTGTGTCTCTCCTTGGCTCAGCACATAGACTGTTGGCCTTGGAATTGACGCCGGGCTGAGCCAGGCTCGCAATCTGCGACCTGCCCCGGCCATAGCCTCATGGGACAACGCGCAGGGCACCGGTAGCAACGATTCTTTCTCGTTGCTTTTAACAACGAGACTGGGAGATACGATGGAACTTATCTCCTGATGCGATGTGAATTGGCTAAACTTCCTTGCGCATCTCGGGAAGTAGGTGGCTTGACGACGGGTTGCAAGGACGGGCGATGATCAAAGTGTGGCTTGCGAGTCATAGCAAGCGCAGGGAATCGACTGAGAAAAGCTGGCCTTTGGAATCATCTAGCTCCGTCAACCTGGAATTCTTATGACTCCTCCAGATGCTGTAGCCCTTGTGGTCCAGACCTTGAGAACCTTCTAGATTGACCTGGATGGCCCCCATTAGTATGTCATTGCATTGCTTGCCCCGTCTGATCTGCGAGGCCGGTGCCGGAATGCCCCCACCCCCGGTGAACCCCAACCACCACCCGCACCTGATGCCGGCCCGGGGCGCAGAGGGAAGACTTTGGTTCGTCGAGGTTGGGGAAGTTGGAGCCCTCTAGATCTGGCCTACCAGTACCTCCTGGGACCTTACCTTCGAGTGTAGGCGGAAGATGGCGGAAGCATCTTGAGTTGTGAGGGGTTCTGATGACGAAGCAAGGAGGCTCCAATTGCAACAGCGCTCCTTGTGTAACAGTCGCATTACTTGTGCTTATTCACGAATTTGTTCATGGCTTTGCCCAGCAATGCGCAAGCGGGGTACTGGATTGACAAGACACCGTACACCTTGCCAAATTCTAATCTCCGCAGAAGAATCTACCCATCAACTCATTCAAGGCACCTCAGAAACAATCCCTAAACCCTCAACCCTAAACCCACTACAGGGCTTCCGGCCGGGATTGCCGGGCCTCATCCGACCCGGTTTCCCGGGTGCGGTCCGTCCTTTAGGCGTCAGTGCGGCGCCCGGCCCTGCTGCATGCTTGGAGGGTCATGGGCACCTAAGAAGCAGGGTTCTTAAGCAGGATATTCATAGTTGCCATCGGGGTCATCCACCTTATGTTGGGCACTGATAGCCAATATGAACCTTTAAAGTGGGCTCATGTTTCCAGTGCCGGGCTTGGAGGCTGAGAGCTCAGTTTTTGCAATGGCCAATAGTCCGACCCTACATGCATGCGTGAAGGTTCTAGAGGGGAAGCCGATCAATACGGTTGCCAGGACATACTGGGCAAACATGTTCTCGGTGTGCAGATGGCAGGTTTTGTCGGCGATTCCGGGTTGATCTGTTGCCTTTACCCGTACCGGGGTCAGTTTCCAGTCGCCTGGTTTCCAGTCGCCTGGGTCCGTTGCCGTCGACAAAAAAGCCCCCCTTTTTGTAAAAATCGAAAGCTTCGGTTTGGATCGCGAACGCCTGCCCCACGAGCCCGCCCTGGCCCGCAACACTCTGCTCCTGCTGCGCAGTGGGCGTTGGTGTTGGAGTTCCACTCGGGGGCCCCGGCCAGCCGAAACGCAGGGCATGGTCGCCTCATGTCGGGCACCCGGCAAACCCGGAGTCTTCAGCTCTTTATGCTTTTTCATGAATGGGCCAGTTATGCTTGGGTCATGTCGGGTCCACCAGATGGGAGCCAGCATGGAGAAAGAATGGATGCACGTAGTGCCGTAGTGAGAGCCAAGATGCCGTGAGCGGATGCTTCAAGGCTGGTTCTCGAGCCATAGCTACAGCCTCCATGGAAGAGGGGCAGGTGCGACGGTGGCATGCTGTGGCTGGCATTGGGTCGCTGTGTTTGCTGTGCTGATCGTTCCCGAAGCCCTTGGCTGAGAGGCACTTCCCGTCAGCAGTCATGACCATACATGCAAACCGAGCTCGCTGAACCCGATCCGGGCTAAAGTAGGTGCTTCAGATTGGACACCTGCCATGGGTTGCTAATTCAGCGCGCGGCACGTGGCACACCCCGGCTACTGGAGTACAGGCAAGAGAAGAGTCATACATCCTCAGCACGTGACGCTCATGGACTCTGGAAGTGAGGAGGAATCCTCATCCGAGGGGCCGGGTCCCGACAAGCGACGACGCCTGAGTGCCACCCGTCACAGGATGTCCAATGGCCTTTCGTGTCTTTGCTGCTGCGAGTCTATATATATATATAATATACAAATCTATTTGTCCATATATATATATATATATGTATGGAGGTAGTTCCTTTTTTTTATGTTCTTCCACAGTTGTTCCGCTGCTACGACGCCAGCGCTGCCCGAGCTGGCAGACTCTTCAAGGCTGCCGCCTGCCTCAGGTGCCTCCCCCGCTGCAGGGCCTCTTCGAGCGCACAGAGGAGCCAGAAAGCCACGGCGGCCGAAAGCGCCGCGTTCCACACGTGGAAGGGAATTACCCTACCTTGGCTGCTCGGTCAGGGAAACCCAGACAATCTCTACTCGGCTTTGCAATGTTCAACAGCTGCCGAGGTAGCCGGACCTGCCCCGCAAAAGATGTCTAGCTTATTTTGCAGCCAAGGTGTTTATTCCTGTGGCGAGGACGCCCCTTTGGCTGAAAGCATGTTAAGAGGAGCACCTAAGCCCAAGGATGTCCAAGCTCCAAGGCCTCGAACAGCTTTCCACGGTTCTTGTTCGGCTGCAGGCGCGCTTGGCTGCGGACTTGCGACCGCTGCAAGGCGTGCAAGGGGAGGACGGGGAAGGCACAGTCAGATGTCAGGTAGTACGCAGTAGGGAGAGCCGGGTTTTGGGCCCCACTACCAGGCGCTGCTTTCGCAGCTGGCGCCCTTGGGGGAGGTCCATTGCACAGACCCCGAGGCCGTGATATTTTGTTTGGTGCTCTTTCTCTCTCTGTGACGAGAAATACCCACGTCGCGCTAAAGCCTAAGGACGCAGTGCAACTCTGAATGGCCACCGTAGAATGCGTAGAAGGGATGTAGAAGGCCAGCTGAGTTGTGAGGCTTTGGAGGGCGAAGCTGGGGAGGTCTGGGTTTGCCAAAGCGTCTCTGGAGCATCGGAAATAACACCAGAAGCAGTAGCCCGCGTGCCCTGAACAGGTTGGCGCAGGACCAGGGTCAGCAGGGACGTCTGAAGGGTTGAGAGTCGAGGGTGTCAAAGCCTGAGAAGCTTGGCGTTCGAGTCAAGAGAGGCTTCTCTGACAAAGTCATGTGGGTCTGCTGCACGAGCCCGAGTACTCATGAGACTCAGCGACGAATTCCATGTTGGCACCCCACACAAACCAAGCGGCCCATTGGTTTGCGAGGATGGCACATTAGCCTGGCCCCACTGATGATGCTGCGACGTCAGTCAATCCAGCCTTTTGAGGAGAGGCCGGGGCCCAAGGAAAGCAAACACGGGGGCTGTAGAGGGCTTCGGCCTTTGAAACACTCTGGGGAGTTGACCTTCTGACTTCAAGCAGAGAGAGCTTCTGAAGGTCGTGGCATCTGCCAGAGTGTTGCCGTGACAATCTCGAATACCCAAAACGCACGACTTGCGGACTTGATCTTTGCATTCTCCATTTTTCCTTAGGAACGGCTGAAGCCGAACCTGCGTCTTAAGCGCATCTTGTGTTCATCTGTCAGGCTCCGCAAGCTTGCAGAGGGCCTCAGCGTCCCGGAGGGTGTGCAGGAGACGCGCTGACAAAGAGGGGAAGAGTTTCGAAAGACCAACGCCATAGCCAAGTAGGTCGCTGGAAGTGGCTTTCAACCGGTGTGGTGAACAAAAAAGAGTACGATAGGTTTCGGGTTTGCAGGTCCAAAGCAGTTGCCTGTGGAGTGTGCTCGTTCAGCCAAAGAAGGAGTTGGCCAATATGGGCCAAGCCTGACAGGTGTTTGCCCGAAAACATCAGATCCCAAAGGTTGCCAGCTAGTCGGCTGGAAAGCGCCTCAAGAATCTAACAACCACCTCTCAAAACATGCAGAAAGGGTCCATCTTGGGCGCCTTGCCGGAAACGTATGGGTGACGTGCGTGAATTTCGTTGGTCAGGTCAAAAGCCACATTCTTAAGTGGCGCACTCCTGCGTAGGGGGTCCTCCTGGAACCCTTTTTAGCAAACCAAGCCGTGGAGGAAGACATCTGGTTCAACGAAGGCTTGGAGGTCTTCTCATCGGCTGAGGGTGACAGATGCTGGGCATCACTATCACACTATCGAACTCATCTGCTAGAAGTTTGCTGCTGCATGAATGAAGGAGGGCTGAGACCAGCAGCCAAGGATACTTTGCTGGCGCAACCTGGCCACTTCTAATTAGCTTCCTGGATCTTCATGTTCAGGTTGAATGATCATGAATGATCTCGCATCTCACAGTAGCACGGTTCTCAGGACCAGAACGCTTGGTTGGCTGATCAGCTCGTAGTGAGTCTCTGTCGAGGCTTCGCTTAATATGCTCGATCCACATCCCACGAACCCTGCGCTGTACCGAGCAGGTATCATGAACCCACCGAGCGGAGCTCCCTTAACCCAAGTCTACGAGGCAGAGCCCGCCCAACAGACTCAGAGCAGGTCTCCGCGGCAGCTGCCTCCCAGCGCTGGCTGCGGCCCTTGGCAGTCGCCGTGCAAGCTGCAGCGCTGGGGGCCCAATGGGGCTTCAGTTGTGGCCGCCTCCCTCTGCGTGGTTTCCGAAATTAGGGGTGCGTACCCTGTGTGGGGGCTCTTATGATAAGGGGGTCAAATTCCCTAGTGCGTATAGTGCGTACATACCCATCATGGTTTTCCATCAGGTTCCCTTTTTTTGTTGGGGAGACAAGAAGGGGCCGGAGCCAAGGCGTGACCTCGGGATGGCGGTGCCCAGCCACAGCGCTGAGCTCCTTCAGCTGTCCCACGGCTTCAAGATGTCTACGGGATGTCCCAAAAGGATGTCCCAAAAGGATGTCCCAATAGGATGTCCCCAATACAAGAGGAACTCACAGGAACTCACAGGAACTCACAGGAACTCATAGGAACTCATAGGAACTCCTACTCTTGTTGACTTGCTTTCTTGGCTGCTGCCAGATTGCACGTCTTGAAAGCTCGGAAGGTTTTCAAGGAGGTGGTTCGCTCTCGTTGCTAAGTAGAAGAAAGCACTGGGATCCTATTCATGCATACGATAAAGATCCAAGGAGTTCTTATCTCAGGCACTGCTCACTGGCCTGGACAGTGGGTGAGCTGCAGCCTGCGTTGCGCGCAGCAGGTGCTGACATGCAGGCTGGCCTTGGACAGGGGTCTGGGAAGTAGGAGTGCCGGCTGAGAGCGGCCATGTGTGCTGACTGCAACGGGCATGAAAAATGCTGGGCTCTTCTGCTTGTCGCGATGACGGAGCCCAATACGAGACGAATGTCAGGAAAGTCCGTGGGGTCGAAGATGGACCTTGGATGCATCCTGGCTCATCCTGGGAGATTTAGGGAGGCAGGATTTTTTTGTAGAGGGTTGGGACAAAGACCGAGGGACGTGCAGTGCTCGTGGATGGAGCGGGGTGTATTTGCTGTTGGCACCAAGTCAAGTTGGGTGGTCAAAGCCCTAGACTCACCAGACCGGAAACCCTGGACCACTCCATTGCTTGAATGCATTGCTTGAATTCCAGAGACAACGCCGAGGAAGACCCTAAGCGCCCGAGACCACAGGCGACCACTTGGCCTGGGACTTTGCAGAAGGCAGCCCGGCTCAAGGCCACATAGGCCACAGAATACAAGCGGGGGACAGTGTCCGCTGTGTTTCGTGAGTTTAGTGGCTTTGGACCGCGATGGCAGGGATGAATTTTCTGCTTTGCAAGGGGGAGAGGGGGAGAGGGGGAGAGGGGGAGGGGGAGAGGGGGAGAGGGGGAGAGGGGGAGGGGAGCGCGGGAGAGTGGGGGAGAGGGGGAGAGAGGGCGAGAGGGAGAGAGGGAGGGAGGGAGGGAGGGAGGGAGGGAGGGAGGGAGGAGGGAGGGAGGGGAGAGGGGTTCCCCCACGAACGACCGGAATGAGAGAGAGCCTTCATGCCCCGTAGAAGAAGAAGAAGAAGGAGAAGGATAAGGATAAGGAGAAGGAGAAGGAGAAGGAGAAGAAGAAGAGGAGGAAGAAGCAAAAGAGGAGCTCTCCGGCGCCTGCTTAGGAATCCATCCGCCTTCGAGTGAAGGCTCGCGGCTGCTGGTGGCGTTGCTGGTGTCGTTGCAGGCACAGCGGGCCTGTGTCCAATTGCACCAGCCTGCGCCAGGGCCTGATGGCTAGAATCGGCGACAGAACCACAAATGTGTCCTTTCCACAGCTGGCGGGTGCGGCGCCTAGTTTCCAGTTTCTGTGGGTTGGACTGCACGAAGCATACGCTGGAGCCATCTTGAGCCCATTCATGCAGCTATGCAGCTGCAGGCATTGCAAGCGAACGTGAGTCCGGGTCCGACAGCGAGAATGACGAGGATTAGGCAGTTCACCTGGCAGATGCTGAAACATTCCAGGCTGCTGCCATTAGATGAACCTGGACGCGACATGGTGCCATGCTGAGTCGGATCCATGGCGACGATCTATCTCCCCGCCTTGGCAGCATCAATTGCGGCGATGAATGTTGACATGGATGGTCGATGATGGCCGATGGGCGGTGGTGTCGTGTGGTGTGTTTCTTCGTCCGTGCCGCAGGAAGAACGGCAGAGGAATCAGATTTGTTCCTCGAACGTGGCTGCGCAAGCGCGAGATGTGGGTGCTTCAATCATGGCGTGCCTTTGGTGTGCACGTCTGTGGCTGCTACTCCTTCCAACAGAGCTGTTCTGAATCGGGACTCGTAGCGACGTTGTGGAGTATTTGGACCATTCCGAGCGCCTTCATTAGTAAGTTTGAGGTTGAAGTCGGCGGTGATGCTTGCGGCGAAGGTTTGCGTGTTCGGGCTTGGACTACACAGCTGCTCTTGCCTTTTGCCGTTGCCGCTCTTTGGATCAAGATGGATCCGCCGAATGACTTACAGGCCCTCTAGGTGATTTCGGGGCGCTAGAAGATCCAGGCACTACAAGAAACCTCGCCTCGCAATCTTGCGGCAAAGCAGAGGAAGCGCGACATCTCTCCAAAACCTATAAGGCCCGAAGGCACATACCAATACTCTACTTCACGACTTCACTCGTGAGCACATTTACAAGTCGAAGTTTGGTCGGAGTTAAGTTGTGGGGTGTGAGCCATATTGAGCCATGGCTCGCACGCAGGGCAGAGTGAAAAGTTTCAACGGGGCAAAGGGCTTCGGTTTCATCGACGCCTGAGCTTCATTCATCAGCTTTCTGGATAGTGAGATCATCTGAGCCCTGATGTCTAAGGTCGAGGCTGCGGCGTGTCAAGGTTTTGTAGGGACAGCGGTTCGTACGACCTCGCGGAATTTCCCGCCGACAGGCTCGGCAACTTGCATCCGCTTGCTGAGGACATCGGTTCGGGCACCGATGTCTTCGTCCACATCAAAGACTGACACTTGGAGTCAAGCAAAGTTGTGTGATCACAGGGGCAACATCTCAGAAGCTTGAACGGTGCGGGTGGATTTTCCGTTCCGCTTCGTGCACTGCACCCGCGCACATCCGTTTCTTGTGCGTTGTTGTTCTTCTCGGCCCTCAATTTTGAACAGGTTGGTTTGCTTCCCTGTCTCGTGTTGCTTCCCTTGTGTTTTCGCTGGCGGTGGTGGGCCCAGCTCCAGCTAGCTTTAGGGTTTGGGGCTTGTTGTGGGAATCAGGCTGGGCTGTGGAGCGACGAGAATTGTTTGCGGACTTGCACGAGGTATAGACGACAAGCAGCCAGTCCCTGGGGATGTCCTGACCTTCTCGATGGAGCCGAGCCAATCCAAGCCAGGGCAGATGGTGACGTTGCCGCACCCAGAAGCCATCCCTGTACTGACGCGAAAATTCGATTCAACATGTGCCTGCTGAAGCCTGCCGCTGCCGCCACAGGTTGCCAAAAATGTAGAGGGCAGCACCGGCGTCAAGGCCACCTCGTTTGAGGTCGAGCGCAATAGGCGTTTGAGTGGGGCTTGTGTGCTGTGATGGGGCGTGACCCAAAGGGATGTAACTGGGCACTTCTGCCCTAGACCTCCCAAAGACCGCAGGAGTTGCCAGCGTTCTCTGCAGAGCCCGCGCCGGATATCCCTGGTTCTGGTGCGCACGTGGGCAAAGTGCCTCTTGGCCTGTCTAGCCTTGCAAAGCTTCAGGCTGGTCTCCCGATGTGCCTATGCGCACGGAACCTTGAGGCGAACCTGGAACGACACCAAGGGCTACGGCTTCATTGATTTGCCTGGACAGCCGCGCCTTGACCTGGTGGTGGCGATCTCGGGGCGAGTGGGTGCAGGGAAAGACATGGCAAAGATTGGCAAAGTGATTGCTGGTGCCCTTGAGAAGTGGTTGTGGGGTTGTTGCATGCGTCTTGTTGCATTCGGGTTCACGCCTCTGCGTGCTCGCACGTGACCGGAAATGGTCGAGGCCAACAGAAGGCTTTGTCATTTGCTTCGGGATTTCGGTTCTAGATGTTGAAGGCCTCCAGTCTCAGGAATGTCTGGCTGCACGTCAAGGAGTGCGTCAACACGCAGCCGCAGCAAGGCCGAAGTTGTTCGGGTTTTAAAAACAGTTAGAGGCCTGGATGCCAACAAAAAGGAACAACATGGGGTTTTTGTGCCAGGTGATTGGGTCCGCTTCGACGTGCAGCCGAGCGAGACCAAGCCGGGACAGATGGTGCGGTTGCCGGCTGACCCCCTGATTCCCGGAACCATCCCAAAATCGAACGGTTACAGTCTTTAAGTAGCCCAGCCCCAGTGGCCGCAGAGGTAGTAAATATTTGTTTCCAGCCACGTAGACAAAAACAAACATCATGCCTAACTGGCTGAACTTGCTCTGCCCAACGGTACAGCCCGCCCGGCTTCACCTGTCAGCTTTGCTTGCCGAGCAGCCACTCGTGGACTGCCCCTCAAGCCATACTCCATACATCTCTGCATTGAAAACCGAGAGAGGGGCCCGCGCGATCCCCTGTGGAGGTAGTCAGGCAGAGTTGTTTAAGCTATGTGCGCATCCGTGTGTTGGGTGATGGCGTCTATCCCCAGCATGCAAGCTCAGCTCTACCAAAAGAAGGTCAGATTGAGTCTCGAAGTGGCTCTCATGGTGCTTCCAGGTCGCCAAGAACGTGACCGGAGGTAGCCAGCCCCTGGGCCAGCGCGGATACGGCCCGGCACCAAGCGGAGGCCTGCCACAGCGGTGCTTGTTTCTTCAGGCTTTCAACTTCCATGAGGGTGCTGCCGGGAAAAACCTTGAAGAAGGTTACCTGAGTTACCCTTCGGCCCTTAACCGACCAGGAGCTTCCACAGCGGGGTACAGTCCCTACGGCGTATCCGGCTTGACAGCAGGCAGGGGACTTGCAGCCCAATCTCTACCAGACCTACTGTGATTCACCTTGAAAGCGATGGATTAGGCGAATGATGTGCAGGATTGCGTAGGGCATCGGCAGGTTAGAAACCTCAAACCACAGAATCGCCAGTCCATAAGATTCCAGAATCTTCAACAATGGTACGGACCTGCAGGTGCCCTGCAAGGCGTGGCAGGCTATGCTGTCCAGGTGCAGCAACCTACGCTCGCTGCGTTGCCCGGGGCCCGATCTCTCTGTGAAGGGATGGGGGATGGGGGGGATGGACGCACGCCCAAGCACATGCACATGCAGCTGCGCTGTGTGCGCTCAAATACGCTCACCAGCTGAGGCCTGGTGGTGGGTACGTCTTGCAGCAATCTGTTCCGTTTCAGCAAGCCGTGCCCCAACAGGGAGTCTATGGCGTACAGCAGTATGCCGTCCAGCAACCTGGCGTGCAGCAGTTGCAGCAATTCGCCGTTGGACAACCTGGACTGCAGCAGTTCGCGGTGCAACCTGGCATGCAGCAGTTTGCCGTGCAGCAGCCTGGCGTCCAGCAGCTTAGTGCGCAGGGCTTACTTTCGAGCCTCAGAAACAAGGGTCGGCCCGCAGGAATCACGGTGATTCACGCGTCGCGCAGCACAATGGGTCCCTGGGACCCTGGGGTCCGGGAATCTAAACTCCCAACACTTCCTGAAGTGGAAGGGTACAGTGTTTGAGATGCGTGCTTTAGCTTTGGCTGCATGCTTCAAGGAAGGATGGAAAGAAGGAAAGGAAAGGAAGAAAGAAAGAAAGGAAGGAAGGAAGGAAGGAAGGAAGGAAGGGAGTGTGACACTCTACAGGAGGAATAGTGCAGACGTGACTTGCGTACACCGTGCTAGTATTTGCAAGCTTGCACAAGTTGGGAAACACTGCATTTGAGTTCGTTCTCGGGTTTACTGAAGGTGCCTGGCGGCATGCAGCTGCAAGCAGGGCTGCAGCAGCAGTATTTGCAACCGGCAGTGATGCAGCAGTCTCTGGCCATGCAGCAGCCATTGATGCAACAACAAGCATTTCTACAGCAGCCTATGGGCGTGCAGGCTCTCTTTGTGTGTGCTTTGGTTGAAGCGCTGAAAACATCTGAAAACCACATCTTTGTGCCAGGAAGGGGCCGCTGTTGGCATGACGGTGGGGCCCTCGGAACTGATACTGACACTATGGAAAGTGATGCCAGCAGACAGGGATGCGTGACATTCCTGATGGCGTAATGCAGAGGGAGCAATGCCAAGGTGATGGCCGACCCAAGTGCGCAAGCTGCAGCCTTCCAGATGACAGCACCGGCTGCCATGCCAGGAGCTTTTGCTCCCGACATGCAGGGCATGCCTCCCGCTGAGGGAATGCCTGAGCCGATCAATCCCGCCCTGGACGGGGCCATGCCAGCCATGCCAGCCATGCCAGCCATGCCAGCCATGCCAGCCATGGATGTGGGTGCGGGGTCTGCGCTGCCACAACCGGCGGTGCAGCTGCCTCCAGCAGGCGAGCCAGCAGGCGAGCCAGCAGGCGAGCCAGCAGGCGAGCCAGCAGGCGAGCCAGCAGGCGAGCCAGCAGTGCCTCCACCAGTCACCATGCCACAAGTTCCCCAGATGCCTGAAGCGGCAGCTGCAGCCCAGCCGGCTGCAGACGCCAGCGTTGCAGCGCAATTAGCAGCTATGGTGGGCTCGCCGCCTCCACCCGCCGATGCTGCAACACCGCAATAGCGTGTGGGAGCCCGTGCTGCAATAGCCGCAGCATTCATGCAGGGTTTTCGTGTCCATTTGGGCTTCCCGCATCGAAGAAATGTGACACCTTGTGTGTTTTTCTGCTAGGCCACCCGAAGAGCCGCCAATGTTCTGACTCCTGATTGCATGCGCCGGCGCCTGGACAAGTGTGTGGGATGTCTCCTTTCAAATCGCGAAGGTTCTGCCATCTTGCAACGACCCATATGGAAGTTGTATGACGCAATACGAAGAGCACAGCGCTGTCAGTCTCACGCTGCAGGGGTCTCTGCAATGATCAAGGTTGAATGGTAACCGGTCTGGGTGCAAGCATGTGCAAAGTTTGTGGTTGCAAAGTGTGTGGTTGTTGTTGTGGCGCGGCTGCAGCATCGCCAGGTCTCGGAGTGCTGCTATGTACGGATCATAAAAAGGGCTCGTGCCATGTTCGACATGCCGTGGGGGGAGGGGTCTTTGTCAGGGACAGATGTTGTTTTTTTTTTTTTTTTTTTTGCATTGTCTCGGTCACAGTGCAGCAACCTTCGTTCGATACAATGTGAGGGCTGTGGCCTAGAATGTGAAAGAGATGAGAGATCAGTGTTCAGAAGCCTGACGTGTGCCGGGTTTGCACTCAGCTGCGAACCGAGAGCCTTTGTTTCGAGCACTAATCTCGAAAGGCTTGGTATCTACTGACTAGATCACTTACATCTCAGCATTCTTTTGCATTCTTCACCCTGCTTCGTTTACGCCGTTTGACTTGTCTTCCCCGCAGACAGACTTGGACAGGTAGGCGCCCCGCCGCCAGTCGTGGAGGAAAAGGCACCGCCCTCCGAATCCGAGGCGCTGCCCCAACAGCCCTGTGCCGGCAGACGTGCAAATCAGCCAAGCGATCAATCAACACAGAAATGCCCATTGCAATGCTACTCATTCGGTCCTGCTGCCAAGAGATGAGCTGTGGCCGAAACGAACAGGGTGCACCTGAGTCACGGTGATTGCCCTTGCACCTGGCCAGAAACTATTCCGGACTTCCAAAGAAACACATCTTCCACAAAGAAACACATGTTCTACAATTTGCAGAGCCCTGATGCCTGGAGGCGGAACGGAGCGCATCCTCGCACCGCACGACCGAGGAATTCACGCCATTCTTCAGATGTTAGCTCACAACGATGAACTTTGGAGATTATCGCCAGAATGCTGCTGCTCCTTTCTTCTTTTGCTTGGCATTTCCTTGGACTTGGCATAGGAGTCCTCGGAGAGCTCCTCAGAGAGGCGTCGGAAGAAGAAGAAGGCCGTGTTTGCATGTGGTAGGCACAGGGCAGTGAAGAGAGTCCCAGATACCCTTACGCTGTGGTACAAGGGTGGGGCTGAAGGGGCTGAATGGCAGTCTCTCAGACGTGTGGGCATTCGCCCTCCTTACGCGCAGTGCTTGTCATGCCGTTGTGGGATGAACTGGGCTGGCGGGTAGGTGTGGCTGATTGACTCATGTTGCATATGCGTATGCGTGTGTACATGTGCGAACGCCTGGGTGGCCTCTGAGGACAAGAAGAAGAAAAAGAAAAAGAAAAAGAAGCAGCTGCCCCAGCATCGTTGCTTCTTTCCTGCATGTAGGAGGCGTTTCGAGAGGCCCAGTTGTAGATCGAAGGATGCTGTCCGAAGCCCATGCGCAGGTCTAAGAAAAGCGGCCATCTCCTCAGATATCGAATCGAGCAACAATGCACAACTTTGAAGCCAGAGATTGTCTGGTTCGTGCAAGGGTTTGCAAACGTGCAATCTGGCTCTCAGAACATGCATGGTGGCACGGACCATGTCGTGCAACAACCCTGGGCTACTTCCCGAGCAGGACTGCTCCGAACGTGCCATCGCAAGAACACCTTCGCCAAAGCATTGGCGACATTCTAGCGCGCGACATGTGCAAGCCAGACCTAGCCGTTTCATAGCCAGACAACATCAGCGGCTCCCATGCTGCCGTCGGCTGCCCAGTGGCCATGGCTTCCGCCTTCCTGGACACGGAGACCAGGTTGATATTTGGAAAACAAACCGAGCTTAGTTTTCATGGAGAACTACTTCTGCATGGCCGGAGGGGAGGGGTCACAAAGTTTAAGCTGTTGAAGTTGGGACTCGACTTGGACGTCGCACGCATTTCTAGTCTACAAACAAGCCCGATACGTTTAGCACTTACATGCGCCCATATTCATGTGGGGAAGGTCGGGGTTTGTGCCACAAACCCAGTAAAACACTAAACTTCCTCATGTCGTGTAAGGCATTTGGCCCACGATGGAGCAGAACTGTCCCATGATGCTGACTGAGACACAGGAACAGAAAGAGCACGAGCAGTTCGGCTTGAGGGGCTGGTCGGGCCTGCTTTCACGGAACGGAACAGACAAAGAACACACAAGAAGAGATGATCTGCTGGGCACAAGAAGCAGACCAAGGGCAGCTGCAAAGAGGCCTGGAGGAGCGCAAGCTGATCAGCTGGCACCCGTTGTTCGGCCTCTCTCAGTGCGCACCTTGCATGTGGGCATTCGGCCGGCCGCACCCACTTTATGTTCCGGCAGTGAAGTCCAAGTGTTTGGGAAAGGGCAAGCTTTGGAGTAACGGAAGCTTGATGGGAGCTATGTCAACCCAGGAGCAGGAGCCCGAGCTGCTCGAGGGTCTGCCGATGTGGATTGTGGAGAACCAGCAGCCGCGCGGCTTTGTCCGATGTGTCCGAGTGCTTGTTTTAAAGTCAGATCCTCAGCCCGAAGCAGGAAGAGCCCAGGGTCCCCCCCCCCACAGGATTTCTAGTCCAGGTTTGGGATTTGCAAAATCTTGGAAAGTCTTGGGTACGTATGCGTATGCAATATACATACATATATATATATATGTATGTATATATATATATATATACATATGTACATACAGTTTTGAGAAGTCATGCCAACTCCATCCCACATAAATACAAATCTAGACATACACCTGCATATATGTATGTATGTATGTAGACATGTATATGTATATATACATCTTTTTGTGCAGATGGACGGAAGGGAAGAAGTCATAAGAACTCCAAGGATTGGCTGGTCCGGCGCCTGGGAAGAGACCCCCACGGCGGAAACCCGGAGTTGGGCTGACAGCCTGATCGAGGCCCGGGGAGTTTAGGGAGTTTGGGATCTGAGAGTTTCGATCAGCCCGAGACTTGTCTTCTCTCTCCCCACCTGCTGAGAACCTCCTCACTTCACTTTCTCCATGGCTCTCAACATGTCAATGTTGGCCTGCTTTCAAGTCCGTCTTCCGCACTCGTGCATCAGAGATTCAGGGAATGCCTGGATCGAGGGAAAGGTCTCAAAGGTTTATCGGTTGGAGCAGACAAAGAACCTTCAGCAATCCTACATGCAGCAACAGGCCATCCCGTCGGAACAAGACTGTATTGGAGGAACTGCTTTGTTCAGACACCACCTCTTCCACTCCCATAGCTGTGAAGGAGAGGGCGCCGCCTTACGAAGCCCTGCAGCCCCGGCAGCAGTTGAGCTCATGGGTTCACTCCTCATTCGTCCTTTGGGCGAGCAGCCCGAAGCATCCTTATCAGCTTGAGTCCCGTGAGAGAAACAGTGTGCTCTAGCGCCTGAATTCTAACCGTCTCGTATCCCCTGATTCGGGTTTCGAAGTCTTTTGGCCAGGGCCGATGATGGAGCGCCCAATCTGCATATTGTTAGTGCGTGGGCCATGTGAGTGGAGCTGTTTCTTGAAGCCGAGCTCTCGCTCTCTCTCTCTCTCTCTCTCTCTCTCCCTCCCTCTCCCTCTGTGTTTATGGGATCTTCAGGGTTCATGGGGCACAGCTGCTGCTCCAATTCCATGACCTGAAGTTGCCGGACACAAACCAAATGCCCGATCAAGCGGGATAAAAAACAAACAACCTAATGAACACAACCAATGCTACAGACAAAAGTAACAAATCAGGATACAACAGCGCCAGTGACACCCGCTCCGCCCCCCCCCTCCCCTCGGAGCCCCGAAGGTGTCGATGATCCAAATGCAAGGGGCAAATAGCCGAAGTACATGTCCCCGGCACAGAGCGAAGACCAGCTACCATTCGAGACTCAAGTCTCGAGACCAAAACTGTGCACGACGGCTGGCAGGTCGCCTTTCGAAGCACGTCGGTTACCGTTCGCGACGACGATTGAGGACGCTCTTGCCGCCTTCTTCACTGTCGTACTGAGAGCAACGACAGTCACGGCAGCAGCAAAGGCAGCAACAAAAGCCGTGGCGGTGGCGTCAGCGGGAAGGGCAGCGGCAGCGGCAGCAGACACCGGAGTGGAGTGGTGGAGCAGTAGCCGAACTCGCAGTAGCACATAATTTATTAATAATAGCATGGGTAGTAGTCGTGGTGGCGGTCCTGGTCTCTCAGTGGTGTTGCTCGGTGCGTGAGGTGCTTCCAAAATGCTAGGAAGGCATGTAGCAGCTGTAGCATGTAGCAGTCGCTAGAGGACTAAAGTGTCGGCAAGGTTACCAAGCTCAAAGACGCGACTCCATTTTCGCTGCCGCCCGGATGAGCATGGCTTTTGACAGTTCCTGCCACCCTCTTAGAGTCTGAAGAAAGTGGCATTCGCCCAGGGCAGATCTCAGGGTGCTCGTGTATCCTCCACAGCCCGATGGTGAGGAGGGCTCTTACCTCTACGGTCCGAAGGCTGGCCTGCAGCTGGGTTCCCTTTAGGCACAGTTTCATGAATGGGAATGAATGGATTTTTACCAGAATGCCGTTGATAATGAACATTTGGGGAAAAAGCCAAGATTTCTACTACATTTGCACGCGTCATAAATTCCATATCATTTTTTGGTGGGCTTTTCGTACGTTTACGAGTTCATTAAAAGAAGTCTTATTTGGCGCGTCTGTTGGTTTTTATGGCGCACGACAAAAAAACAAATTCCTGCGTAAATATACAGTTCCAAGGGCAGCAAGTATATTGCAGTAGCGGCTCATGATGTAATGTTTGCCGCGCACAGTATAACACTCCTATGGGAGCGCGAAGAGAATGCTCTTTTCCTTCACTTCTTTCGTGCATTCACTACATTTCGTGCGTTCGTTTCATTCCTTAATTAGAGGTGGAGGAGAAAGACGGACAAAGCAGGCCATCGTGGACGGGGGTCCCTCCTCGGAGGGTCCCTCCTCTGAGTTGTCCTCCCCGCTATATATAAAAGAAGAACAAGGATAGAAAGAGAGAGAGACGCCAATGGCAAAACCGCGCGGGGGCTCAGACACAGAGCTCGGCACGGCGCCGATGTTCGCTGGAAGGAACGAGGGCAGGAAGGAAGCAAGGCAGGAGGGAGGAAGGGAGAGAGAGAAAGAAAGCCGAGAAGGGAGAGAGAGAAAGAAAACAGAGAGTAGAGAGACCGTGACGCAGTGACGCGGTACCGGCGCGCTTCCTGGAAGATTCAAAGTGAGTTGGAATGCAGTTGGAATCCACTCTTACATCCAAGCGTCTTGGTGTGCTTTTTGCCGGTGCGTTCAAGTGCATAGAGACCTTTACATCCCAGGTCTGAGATGGGCTTTTAAGCAATGGGATGGCGTGCAGCATGCAGCCCAACTTGCGAAGACCTTGCCAGGTGGATTCCACCACTGACTGCGATGGTTGGACTTATGCAACGAAGCCCAACAGGTGGGAAGCCGAGAAAGCTCACTGGTGACCGCATGTCCTTGAAGGTCCATGATTCCGGACTCGTAGTGTATTCACAAAGTTCACTCAAAGTTGAATGGGAGCATGAAGAGGCAAGGCCATGCCAACTTTAGGGTGGAAAGTGGCTGAAGTTTGTTCTGAGGCTCGACTCCCAACGCCTGGGTGGCCGTGCCACGCCACGCGACATGGCCACAGGAAGACTATTCTGTTTGGTTGTGGTCGAGTACTCGCCTTGTGCTGGTCAAGATGCAAGAACGTAGAGATATTCCAGCCCGAAGCTTGTGGCCCGGCCTTTGAGAAATCTCACATCTTAATGCCCTCCCCACGACAAACCTCACTTTAACGCCACTCGCGGTACGGAAAGAGGCTTCGGAGACAGGGTGCGCCGGCGCCGCTGGCGTCGTGGCGAGCCTTTCCGGGCCGCTCCTCCGAATTCGTGCAGGGACGATCAGGGACTAGGACTTGAGGGAGATTGCAACTCGTGGCCCCGGTGTAGGAACGAGACTCTGGGCGTGCACTTGTTGTTGTGTCAAGGTTTCCTTGAGCTACCTGAGGGAGTCTCACCAGAACAAGCAGATGCTGCAGTTTGCATAATGTACTGGAATCCCTTCAAAAGAGTGCATGTTAAAGTGAAGCATCTGAGAAGACGTGGGGAGCCCAAGAACGCAAAGAACTGGGGAGTTGCAAACATTGAAACCGTATCATCAGTGGGGACGGGGAAACACAATAGGGAAGAGCTGGGAAGAGCAAGTCCTGGATCCTAGCAAAAGGAGGCGTATGGCAAAACCCTGATTCCGAGCTGGAGCGGCCGCTGCCGCAGTACCGGCAGTGGCCCATTTCTCAAAATTTCTGCCTCCTGCAAGCGAGGAAAGCGCTGACACTGTGTTCTGGTGTGACAACAGCTCCAGTGCCATGCAGAGCCTGTGGAATGCTGTCGGTGATCTTGCTGGCAGTCCGCGCCTCAGCACTCAGCTGGCAGCTGCGGCTAGCTCCCTCGACAGTTGCCTAAGGACGCAGCATGTCTCAGATTTCAATCGATCCCACAGCTGTGATTCGACGGTCGCATAACGATGTGGCACCTCGGTGAAGATTCGGTGAATGGTCCGTGCGATGTCAAAGAGGTTTGTCATTGGCTTTCTGCGCTATTCGTAATGTCCTCAGGACAAATACCAGAAGCTTTGCAAGGGGCTCTCGCCCTGGGACGACTTGCAGACTTTATCGGACTCTTGGAAGAGGGCCATATGAGATGTATTCGGATGCAGCGAGGCATTTTCGGAACTGTGTTTATGACATTCCAGGAGATGTTGATGGCTGCAGTCTATAGCCGAGCTGCCTATGCCTACACGGGGCGCCGTGGCCTGTTCGATTCCGTGACACAAGGACTGAGTTGCAGGGCCTCACGGCTTGCTTTGAGATTCGGAAGGCCAAAACATGTTCCGCAGGAGCCATGGTTTTCTCAGTGCATCGTGCAGCTTTTGACTTCGCGGAGCATGTCGATGATGCATCCAACGAGCCTGGCTTTCAGTTGGACGTCCAGTCCCACTGGTGGGCGTGTTAGCTTTGGTAGTTTTAGTAGGCTTTGGCTTAGGCTTGCAAAGTGCAGATCTCAGGAGGCTGCCTTCCTCGACATGATGTGCCTGGCACCAGAAGACCTGGTGTGTGCACAGTGGCGCAGCTTGGGGCCCCTCCAGCAGCCGGGTCGCACGTGCAGTTGAGCAGTGTCTACCGCTAAACTTGCACGATGTTGCTTGTTAGACCGATGCGGTGAAGAGACCGTCTTGTCACACTGCCAAGGCCGGCCTTTGCGGTTGCGCGAGATCACTCGCTCCAATGGATCGTGGTTTCCGTCCGTGGCACTCTCTCGCTGAAGGACATCCTCACAGACTGTGCCGTGAACTCCGTGCCGTTCCTGGAAGGCCGTTTATGCCAGGTTTGCGCAGCGGCAGCTTCATGTCGTTTGGGGGCAGCCGTTTGCCTGAGGCACAGCTCACGAGGGCTTTGTCAAAACATCTCAGAAGCTGCTGGAGGCCCGTCCTGTTCTTGCAGCTTCGATTATATTTACATCTCTCCCACAATCTGCTATTTCTGTCAGGAAATCGAGGACGTGCTGCGGAAAGAGATGGCCGCACACAAGGACTACCGACTGGTGTTCTGTGGGCATAGCATGGGCGGAGCAGTGTCCGCCATGTGCGTGGCCATGCTGCGGGACAAGGCCCGAAGAGTATCGAAGAGTAAGGGGTGGCGGGGTGCCATCGCTTTGCGATTTTTGCGAAACTGAGCAGTGTGAGCAGCGACGAACTGCAGGCAGCCAAAGATGCTGACCTCTATGGCCCATGGGCTTCACAATGCCCCTGAGCTGCTTTTCGAGGAGGCTGACGCATATCGAAAAACCATGTGGGATACTGGGATACCGGTTCTCAAGCGTGAATCCTACAGTCCTGAAGTCAGGCGAGCGGCGTTTAAATGTTGAGTTGTAAAGCCTCTGCCGCCCAAGCCGAGGCTGTGCCTATGGCATCGGCACCCCGGCAGTGCTTTCCCGCAACATCTGTGAGCGTCTGGCCCAAAGTCACGCAGCTTTCGTGGCGGTAAACGCGCAGGAGCTTCAATGAATGGATTCACCCATGTTGTTATGTGCTACTTGTACGGGGGTTTTGATGAATATATGTCGTAAGGAACATAGTGAACGCACGAAAGTAGAGTAAAGTTGGGCGTTTGCTTGCGGCTTCCTTGACCATTTTGCCGCGAAAAAACTAGAAAAAAGACAGCTAAATGTACAATATTATCAAAAACTAGTGACGCATGAATGTAGCATATTCAGTTGGGCCTTTTTGCACACGGGCCATCTATTGGTGGCTGAGTTTCACTACATGTCCAGGACTGGTCCCCTCGCGCGTCCGTGTCGCCACATGGCTGGCACATGAAGTGGGGTAGGCTTGATGAGAGATGTGTTGCTGAAGTGGAATGACCCCGGAGATTTTTCTTGTTCTAGGTTTCACGAATGCCAGATGCCTGTGAAAATTTGTTCGGGTTAAAGGAGCGTCTCCGAGCTCCTCGACAATTTGGTGGAGCTCAGCCTTGCCCGGACAGTGATCCGCGACTTGCCTACAGCATTTCCGAGACTCGCTACAAATTCGCCTCTCTTTCTTTCTCTCTCTCTCTCTCTCCTAGTCTATTTTGTGCATGGGTGCAGGACTCAGCATCGTGCAGCGCAGAGCACATATTAACGCAACGGAGCAAAAGAAGGGAGCACTTACTCGCCAAGAGCCGATGGACATTCGGCAGCTTCAAGGCGTTTCAAGTAGGGACGCCAGGGTGGAGCCCTGATACTCTCAGGCATGGCCACAGGCTCCGAACCGCAGCCACGGCGTCCGGAACCTGCACAGGCGCGGAGTCGAAAGACACACCACTTGAGATAACTTAGGGCCGAGGGCTCAGGGATTCTTACCGCCACCGCGTTTTGCCCAGTGCTGCGCGTTTCACAGGCGTTTCGCAAGTCGTTCCCGTAGATGGAGAGTGTTGGATATGGTACAACAAGCACTTGTGCTGCCTTCTTGCCAAACAAAGGGGCTTCTCCGGCCTTTTGCGAAGTTTGCACCCCTCACGGGACCAGCCTGATTGCCTGCAGCTGGAGCAACTTCCGCCTGGAGTGGTGCTGCAGATTGCGCCGGGCCAGGAGAAGTTTAACCTCCACACACTAGTGGAAGCCAAAGCACGCCCACGCGAATTCATGGCTTTCACGCCTTTGAGAACGGCTCTTTGAAGGACCAGTCATTGTTGAAGGCCTCCGCAACGGACTACCGACACTCGATGCCTGCTTGGCCCGACGTCGCTGCTCATATCCCTCTGGCTTATGTGGAAGGTTGCTCGCCTTTACTAGGTTTGCCTCCGGTCTGCAAGCCGATTCGCCCGAGACATTTCTGCTTGAAAGCTTTTGCAGGTTTGGCTGCGGGGCTCGCACGAGCTCTTCATGGTGATAGTACCATGAAGTGGCGCCACCTGCCTGCAGACTTCTACAGAAGCTTGGGACATCTTGGGGCATGGCAGCGGCCACCCTCTCTCAGTGCTCAGTGCTGTCGCTTTGCGCTTGCCGAGTCGAGGCTCAAGCTGTAAGAGTAAGTTTTCCTCAGCCTCTTCGCCCTCGCGCAGAGGTGTTGGCTTCAGAGATGGCGTCGGCAGACATGAAGGAAGCGAAAGCGGAGGAAGTGCAGCCTGAGCCGGAGGTGAAGGACAAAGCCGGCAATGACCTTGCGGCAAAGGAGGACGTGGACCTGGAGATGTCCCAAAGCGATGCCACGGAGGACCTGGAGAACTTGGAGAAGCCGGATCAGCCGCCAGTCCGGATAATGATGCTTGTTATGCTCAGCATGTTTCAGGGCTATGCCTCCATGGTCGGCCCGCTCCAATCGGCCTACAAGCACCGCTTGGGCATCAGCACGGATGGAACAGCGGCAGCACATGCCTTCACACAAGCGGCCGTGGGAGTCCACTACGGTAAGCTGATAGCTCGCCTCGGGCACAATGTCATCTTCGCATGCCTCAGCCCATGGGCCCGTGTGGTCATCGCGATGGGCTTCATGTTCGTGGGGATCACGATCCCGACCATTTTAGTTTTCTCCTTGGGCTGGGACTGGGTGGGATCGGTCTTCATCGCCTACATTCTCTCAGGCCTGGGGCTTGGGATTTTCGAGGTGACCTTCCTCAGCGTCATCACGCCCTTGGGCAGGGCCACGAAGGCCTGGGCAATTGTGGGTGCCCCCGCGGGCTTTGCGACCATCAACATCCTCGGCCTCACAGCCTCATCATTCGGACTGGAGATGGTGTACATCTACTGGTACATCCTGGCCTGCCTGCCCGTCGGGCTCTTCCTTTTCTACAGCTTTGCGCCTCGGGGCAACACAGAGCTCAAGACGGCGAACTTTGGGTCCTCGCTGCTCCAGGCCCGGCGATGGATGCCCGGCATGATCCCTTTCTTTGCAGCGCAGTTCCTCAGTCATTTCGCTATGGAGAACTGGCCGGCCATCTTCTACATGTTCCACCCGCCCATGGTGCCCCTCTTTAACCCCAAGAGCGACCAACACCTCATGAAGTGGGGACAGTTCTTTGCCATCACCTACATCTTCATCTTCCTGGGAGATTCCATCAGCCGCCGCATCGCCATCTACCTGTCCACGCCGAGCCTGCGGAGGCGTTTGGTCTTCCTGGGCCTGGCCATGTCTTGCATCGCTCTGGGCTTGTACCTGGAGTCTCTTGCCATTGCCATCATCATCCCCTTGGCCATCTTCTTGGTCTTTTGGGGGAACGGCACTATCTACGGTCTCACGGCCCACCATGTCGACAAGCATGTGCCGAGCGAGCACAACTTGGCATCGTACTCTTTCTGGTGCTTTGTGGGCGATCTAGGTGCTGTTCTTGGGGGCATTCTGGTGGACAGCACCCACGACTTGTTTTGCAGGGGCCATGAGGGGCCCTTCGAATGCTGAGAGCCTGCGGCCTGCTGCACGTATGCATCACGGGCCTGGAGAATTCCTTGAACGTTTTCCAATTCAATTTTGACCCTGCTTCGGCAATCGGAGGCAATCGGGCAGGGGGAGTTGAAGAGTCAGGCTCCGACACAGGCCGGAGCTGGCCAGCACGTGCCAATTCAATCAGAAGCTGCGGCGATCAACGGATTGCTGCCGAAGCTTGTGCTTAACTGCCTAACGTGTCCCTCCCAAGAGTGTTGGGACAGAAGGGTGTTTCTCAAGACTGGGGCTCAAGCCTTGGATCCATTTGGTGACGATCAAGCAACCTAAGCCTGTTTTTTTTTCAAAACATCCATCAGCCCTAGTTTCGGGAGAGACCCCAGTCACGAGCCAAACGACAGAGTCTAGCTGAGTCTAGCTTCTCGAAAAATGGTTGAGTTGTAGAGACGCTTTATTCACCACTGTGTCACCTGTGTGCCTTTGACAGAGCCGGCGGCTGTTCTCATGACGCCCATTACTGAGGCAGACATCACGCCATATATACATATAACCCACATTTTTCTTCTTTTGGTTTGTTTTTTCGTTTGGCAAACTGAGGTAGTTTTCCCGCTCTGACAGCGCTTCGCCGGCTCTTTGCCGGACCGGGCGAGCCCGCGGCAAGCGACTTCTGGCAGCAGAGAGTCATTCTGAGTCATTCTGAGTCATTCTGAGTCATTCTGAGTCATTCTTGCAGAAAGGACGGTCCAAGTTATTGCGGAGGGTATGTAGCCTTAGAAGTGGCAGAAGTTAAAAGTGCATTACGCACATAGTCATCAGGATCCCCGAGATCCAAACACCATATCTTCGGGTTGAGGGCTGATGTGCCTGGGTATCCCGGGAGCGAGAGCGAAAGCAAAGCAACGTCAGAATGACAACTTTTGGCTATGATAAGTGATGCAGGAAGGTGGAGCCTTGCACCTCGTAGACTCGTAGACTTCTAGACTTTCTTTCGTTTCCGTGGTGCTGCAACCTATATATACATATATATACATATATATATATACATATATAGACATATATACATATATATATATATATATATACATATAAATACACACACACACATATATATATATATATATACATAAAGATTTATTTATGTATATATATATATATTTTTTTTTTTACACATACATAGTATAGTATCGTAGAAGCTTGCAGTATCTTAGCATAAGCTTTATATTATATGCGGGCCAACGCTCTTGACTGCCAGGCCGCCTAGGCCCCTAGCCGAAGTAGCCACGTCAACAGGCCAAGCTCCCGAGCTACCCGGACAAGGTGCCACCGATTTGCTGGATTTCCAGATTGTGATTTGGCGACATGTTGTGCATTCAGAAAGTTCAGTGTCAGGGCTGAAAGGATTGCAATGTAGTTCCTGTAGCTGCCGGATCTATCTATATGTGTTCATCGATTTATTTACAATGCGCTGGCCAACTTTGCAGTCCACCCCTGGAGGCTTGCGGAGTCCTGAGTGCTGAGCTGAGGGTCATCTGCTCTGAGAGCGTGGTCTTCCTGTGAGCCTCGCTAAGGAGCACCATCTCTGCAGTTTTAATGCATGTGGCTGGGCTTCCCAGCAGTCATGGCCAGCATGGAAAGCATTGAGCACACCCTCGTGAGGGCGGCCCCCAGGCCTTTGCTCCAAGTTTTGCCTACTCGAACACCTCGGGTGCTGCGCTATCGGGTCCGTCCTCATCCGAAACTTCGGCAGTGCGCTTTGCTTCGATGCGGGAGGAAACACGAAAGACTCGTGCTTTCTTCCGACATTTCGCGGCGCTGCCTTGCCGTGTGGCCATGTTGTTGTTTTGGCGGGGCATAGTAGCTGGCTGTGCGAACTGCAAGCCCGAGGAGCTTGATGGTGCTCGCCACGCTGCGCTTCCTGCAATGACTTAGTCTGAGCAGGAACGCCTCGAAGCAACTCATTGGTGTGCTGCAGCGAGTACAGGCAGCCAAAAAGTACGCGCCTCTCCACAGCCCCTGCATGAGTCACAGTCCTCAAGCTTGACCTCTCAACTCACGTGATCACCGCATCTCTTCTTCTGATAGACAACAAACATCGCACCCCAACAGAGGCAGGCCTCCGAATGTCTCCAAGACATTTGGGTTTTTATGTGGCGAGGCTCCAGCAGCAGCGTCCTCGAAGCCGAGGAAGTGCGCAGCAGCTCGAGGCATCTGCGAGTCCAACTCCTGGCTTCCAAGGGAAGTGGTTTGTGTGCTTCCGTACCGCAGTACGCAGAAGTTACTTAGGGTTTCCGCGACTGGACTTGGGTACAGTACCTTGCCAGCAACCAGCTAGATGTGGTATTAGTTAGTTAGTCCTCTATAACACGGGCCCATTACATGTAGTATCCCCCAAAGAGGACCACGAAATTCGAGAGCTGGCTGTGGCGCATGGCTCTTTGGGGTGTTCTGCGGGGTGTTCGGCATCCGCCAGGAGCCGGAGCCCGAAGAAAGTGGGCGAGCGCGCCGGGGCTAAGGGCAAGACAACGTCGCCGGCCATCGAGCAGGCACCCAGTGTAGCAGAGTAGCAAAGACATACATATGTACATATATATGTATATAGATATACATAGAACTAGTAGTTGTGTTCTTATTGTTGTTTTTGTTACTATTGTCGCATGGTTGTGTTAGTACTACTGTCATCATTATTGTTGTGTTTCTACGTGCATTAGCATGTGTTGTTATGTATTGTAGTTATTTGTTATGATTGTTGATACTATTTCTACTATGATTATCATGGGTATTCTTTGTCATTATGAGATTTTCCTTAGAAGTTATTGTGATCAATGAGTTTTGTCATTGTCATTGCTATATTTTTCGTTCTCGCCGCAATCATTGTTGTCTATGATTAGGTAGTATTTTCATGAGGCGACTCGGAGTTGTTTGTTCAAAGATTGCAGATGGTCCCGTTGTGGATTGCTGTTGCTTGTCTCTTCGCATCGGTGCGTTTTTTTTGCCACACTTGGTGGGGACCACACAGGTAATCCACAGAGGTAGGCGACGAAACGCTTGCTGGTCAGGCCAAGCTCGAGGCCCTAGAAAAGCTCAGAAAGCTCCAGGCAGCCTCAGTGCTTTGCAGATGTTGAGGGTTGATGAGGATTGGGGGATGTTGGGGCCTTGAGGTTTGGGCTTCAAGCTACAAGTGAGCCATGCTGAGCCGTGCGTGCGAAGCATGCGTTCGAAGCACCATCGAAGCTGCTCCTGAAGCTTCGACTGCCCCTCAGCAAACGCATCCAGATCCCGAGTGTTTTTTGAGCCAGGGGCCGAACCCAGAAATGTTTAGGACAGCTGGAAGAGTGCTTGAAGCAACCACTCTCCTAGTCAATGAAAGCCGCTCCACGCCCAGTCCGTCGAGCCCAAAGAAGCCAGAGCGAAGGAGTGGAGGGCACTGCCCCATGATTGCAAACCAGAGGGGGGTGGGGGAACCAGCGTTGATGTTTATGCCAGCTTGGCGCGCTTTGCGCTTTGTTCCAACATAGCCTAGTTTTTCAGTTTTTCTGACCTTTGCGCAGGGGCCACGCAGAGCCGGGGCATTTGCCTCTTTTTACCTTATGGCCTGAGGTTACGGGATTGGCATCCGGACAAAAATCCGGACAACATCGAGGCTGTGGGACGTTGCAGGGTGGTCATGAGTAAAGCGTATGCAGGAAGTCGTGTGAGTTTCGGACCGCGTTTGAGGGCAATGAATGTCTACATTGCGATGGGCTAAGACAATGGTCAGTCATTCGGCGAAAGGGAGGGTGGGTGGGGGGAGGGGGGTCCCTTCAAACCGCATATGCAAACCCTGCTGCGGGCGGGCCCACTTGGAGGAGTCATGTCACAGGAACAGCTTCGACAACTTCATGGTGCAACGGCGTTTCTGGGGTTGAACGCTGTTTGAACAAGACGGGCCGCCTACTATTTGGGGTGGTTCCTTCAATCGGGCAATCGGGATTGATTATCGCGTTCTTGGGTGTGTTAGGGGGGATCCCGTTTTTGGGGAACAACCAGAGCCAAACGCCAGGTGGCGAAGGAGGTGTTTCAGTTCCTCCAGAAGGGCAAGACCATTATCAATGTGTAGTGAGCCCTTGCAGGAGGAGGCTCCATGGGTGAGGTTGGGTGCCTTTGTGCTGCAGCAGAAGCTTTCACCTTAAGCCTCTTAAGCTTGAGGACGTCTAGCATCACTTTTCTTGCGGGCCTTCTCACTGTTCCAGGGTGCTCGTGGTGGAGCCTGCTGTTTGCAGTGCGATGCAGCAGGTTTCTAGTGGGGTGGGCTTGGTGCAGGCATTGGAAAGGTCAGACTTTAGCGCAAAACGTGGGTCCCCACCACGAGAGCCGTGTAGCGGGGCTGAGTCCTCTTGTCGTAAGAGTTCGGGTGTTTGTATCCTATGTCAGGTTTCAGCGGATTGTATGTGTAGTCGCTCTCAAGAATGATACGCAAATAGAGGCCTTGCCATTCCTGGCATCTGGCTGTGGTTTGCTTGAGTGCGATCTTCACAGCCAGCTGCGTCTCAGGGCGGCCGCGATCGCTCTTGGAAGTATGTTGCCAGTAGCATCAATAGCAATGAATGAGTCTGGGGTGTGGCCGGCGCCTGGAGATGTCAATCCGAGTCACCTGCTCTCACCCCTTCGTGCCACTCACGTTAAAGGTGTCTACACAACACATGGGGCGTAAGACTCGCCTTGCACTGAAATAAAGGCTTAGAAGGTCGCTCGTGAAGCTTATCTACGCGTAGGGAGCTGAACTTGCATAACCGTCGCCTACCTACGCGTATGGATCCATGAAAGTATGGCCGAGTGATCTGTCCCGACGTGGAAAAAGGGCGCCAAGTTCTCTATCTTGAATGCACTGGTGGAAACGGGCCTCTGATCGAGCTGAGAGCCATGCATGTTCAACCGGCAGAAAGTAGGGTAGTTGTGGGTCTAAGGCCTAAGGTTCAGGCGATGGCTCCGTGCCATGTGAGTCTTGTGATTTGTTCGTGGGGTCCCGGTGACTTGTGCGGACTCAAGCTGACGGAACCGGAGCCCAAGGGCGCGATTAAGTGGGTTAGGAAGAAGATCGCTTGAGATGCTACATACGGGCCTCGGAGATGCCTGGGCCAAGAGGAACTCGTTCCGAGATGGAGAACCTTAGCAACATTTCAAAGCCTGGGCCCCTGAAGATGTCGGAGTCGGGAACTGCAAGTCTCGGCTCGAACCATGTGTGTTCCGAGCGTTCCCCCGTCTTTTTGACTCTACGGTAATTCGGCCTTGAAGGCCATGCAAGGCATGGGACCACTGGCATGTGCAAATGACCGGTGCCCATACCAGGCCTGGACATGTACTTTGGATGACTGTTTTTTTTGAGATCAACCCTCCATTCAAGGCATTAGGTCACCCGGAGCAGGATTCAGTCATTCTACAGCATGTTTGGGGTTTCTGCCCTTTTGTATTCTTGCGGTTGGCTCGCTTCAGCATGTCGCGTGATCGCCTCGGTTGGTGGCATTGCGAGGTCAGCCGATCGGATCCCTTCGGTGGCTTCTGCTGTAAGCGAACCTTGTCTCCAAGTGCATGCACCGACACTTGCGTGCCCCCACCCCAGACCCTCATAACGGCGTACTTAAGGATGTCATGCCTCATGGAGAAGTGGGCAACAAGTCCAGCATGGCTTTCGCTGTGCCTTGGCGCAGTCTAGTTCAGGTGCCATCCTCCCGAAGTCAGCGCTGCATGGAGGAATGTGCATCGTTGCATTCCAATCCTCGTCATCTGATACCCTCAGCCACTACAGGGGTCCAGGATTAGTCATTTAGAAGGCGGGGAGAAGTGGAAGCCAGCAGGTAAGCGACGCAGGTTGAGAGTTTGAGGTTTACATGTCGTTCTTGAAACTGCTGGTGGCAGTCATGACTAATGTTTCTTTCGTCGGCTGCGTGCTTTGCGTTGACCGACTCCAGAAGTGCAACAGGTGAGCAGCGCACCGCCGCCGCACACATGCCGCGGGCTGCCCCGGTTCCACCAGATGATCCACTTCCGGTGCCCAAACGTGCCCCGCTTGCTGAATGATTGTGGCTTCTTCTTTCTGCATTCCTCAGTCGCCCCTAGTCCCGAAGCCCCGGTTTCAACTTTGCCCTTTGAGGCCGCAGAGGTGGCCGCAAGAGGAAGGCACGCTGGTGGCTCACAGGTTTCGAGGTCCTGTGATGTCCTGTGGTTTCTGACTGGTTCATGCCTTTGTCATGCTTTGGTCTGAAAGTTCGGCTTTCCTGCTCCAGCAGGTTTGGCCCGATTCGCCACGGCACGCAGAGCCAGCCCAAAGCAGGAGTCCGGATTCACCGGAGGCACCAGAAGCACCGGAGGCACCGGAGGCACCGGAGGCGCCGGAGCCCCCGCGAGCGCTGCTTACAGCGTCGTCCTCCGTTTCCTTTGCCCGCCAGCGCTCCGAGACCGTCGCTGAAAGGCCCCAGAAGGAGCGGCTGCACGGCTTCCAAGCGCGCCCGCTGTGGCGCCTCTGCCCCCCACCGACCAAGCACAGCGCGTATGGTGAGCCCGAGCCTGACTTAGAGGAGGCACTCGTCCTTGACCAAACTTGACCAAACAGCTTGTGGGATCTTGTCACATGAGAGCTTGTGGTGAAGGATCGTGAAAAGCCAATCGCCCGTGTGCACCGTGAACGTCTGCCCCAGAACAAGGAGCCGTCAGGCCGCTGTGGTAGTAGACTGGTAGTAGGCTTAGTAGGCTTTCCTTTGCATCACGTGAGGTTCCCGAAAAGAAGTGGCTTTGGCAGGCCAAGCCTCATCGGCGGACCGCGTCGCAGCAGACTCGCCGGTGCCGGTTGGCAGGCATGCTGGAGGGACATACGCGAAGCATTGCAAAGCATAAAAGCTGTTGCCATGCAGGCCAAGCAGCGATGGACTGCACTTTAACCTCGCAGCCCTCGCAGACAGCAGCTGGGCAGATGAGCTGGTGTCGGTGTGCCAGGAGGCCATGAGGAGCGGCCCCCTTGTGGCCCAAAACGGTACCAGCTCCGAACCTTCTCCCAGCTCTTTGCCGGCCGGCGCTTCGACTGCCTGCGCTGCCCGCAAGGGGATGAGGAGGAGGCTTCTGGGCTGCTTCTGGGCTTTGATTTCTTGAAGTGTAGTTGGTTCATGTCTTGCCCGATGCTCTGAAATGAAGTCTTTCTTTCTAAGCCTTTTGCCCTGAACTTCCCGGAGGTGGATGGGGCTTGCGCCCTGCGAAGAGGACGCAGAGAGGTCGGAAGGCGGCTTCGCCAACGAAAAGCGGGTCCTGGCCGCCTCGGAAAGTCTTCAAGTGCATTCTGCGCATGCCATAGTGAGGTGGAAGATCAGGCGGCACGAGTTTCGGCATTGGGCTGCTGTCGTGGGAAGTGTTTTCCGTATCTTCTGAAAGCTGCAAGTGCGCATGCCGCCATGACTCGTGATGTAGCAGGCTTACATCATGGCGCTCTTGATTTTCAGGTCTCGCAAGCCATCTGGATTACATGATTGCAGTCACGTCGAACCAAAGACTGCGCCGTGACCCCTAGCTGCCCGAGCCTGTGTATCCACATGTGTCCGCAGGGTCCACAACATACCACAACATACCACAACATACCACAACATACCACAACATACCACAACATACCACAACATACCACAACATGCCACAACATGCCACAGCATGCCACAACATGCCACAACCCACCTCCCTCCTGAGCCCAATCTTTGAAATCTATCAGCCTGTGCCTCGTTGACCTGTTGCACTAGGCATCATAGGACAGCTAAATCTTCTAAGCAGTGGTGGCGCCACACGTGCCGAGTATACAGCACATATCACTAGAACACCAATCCCATGAAAGTTTCCGACCTTTGGTGGTCCGCCAATTGTAGGGCGCTGGTGCATGGCTGCTCGGCGCTTGCGGGGGCTCTCAGGGCACAGCTTGGTTCACCCGTGACACCTAGAACCCTTTGCACCCAGTATATGCCAGAGCGTTGTTGGAACGGAACTGTGAGACAGGTGGTCCTCTGGTCTTGGCAGCATGGTGATTTGTAAGCGGTGCGGGTCATCGTTGAGAGTCGGGACTCTGGCATGCCGCCTTCACAGAATTTTCTTGGCGGACCATTGTGAAGATGCAGGTGCTCACATGTAGTTCGTGCACTGGTTACAGACGTTATGGCTTCGCATGATGATGTAGATATGCACGTCTTTACATACGCTTCTAAGCTTGTCATCCGTACAGCTTAGAGAAGCAGCTGCGCACAGTGTCACCATCTTGGGGCCCCGAACTGAAGGTGAACTGTGTCAAAGACCAAGAGTAAAGCAACTAGCTGCCAATCCTAATCCCGCTATTTTTGCTCACGGGCGAACGCTTAGCTTCTTTCTTTGATTGAGGTTGGCGCAGGCAGGACACCCAGCGGTTCGAACTTGGATTTCCAAATGCCTTGATGGACAAAAGGCTATGCTTCGCAGGCTCTCCAGTGCCTACAGTGCCTTGCGACTTCCGCAATCCAGGTTGAGCCCAACCCTCCTGTATACGATGATGATCGTCCGAACAGCAGTGAAGACTCGACGCCAGAACCAAACTGTCTACATAATTTGTGCCGATGAAGCCTAGTGACTTGTGCGACACTCCTTGTGTTGACCTGAAGGCCCTGCCAGGGGCCCTCCGCAAAGAGGATGGCGAGGACTCGCCTAGTCCCTGTATTAATACCGGGGCCGTGCAAGGCATCAGGGATGTTTGTGCATTCAGGGCTTAAGAGCTTAGGCTTAATTAGGGGACAGGGATTGTTGAACAAGCGAGATCCTTGATCATGAAAGTGTTTGTAGTCGTAGTAGTAGCAGTAGACAGTTCGTCAACAAATAGAATACACAAACGATTTCTTCACAATCACATGGAGCATTTATAAATCATGATGGGTTTATGACGTTGTGAGATATTGATCGCACGATGAATCCGAATATCAACCTCCAACGCCAGGAAATTCAGGCAATTAGCAAAATACATTTTACATACATGTGTACAATGGTTTTCTGACGGTTCTCTTGGCAGTTTATCATCTTGCCGCTGATGTGTTCTCACCATTGAAGCACCATATGATCAGTCAGTCCTTTGCAAAATCAAACCCAGCTTATTTTCCTGATGAAGCAAGTGATTCAATCGCTCGTTGATTCCAACATACTAATTTCAGTGATAATGCAGCAGGCAACGTCGCAAAGTTATGCGGCAGACATAGTTTTGGTTTTTCAGTGTGACCGGGTTTCGGCACCTTAATACATAGTGTCTGTTAGGGCCCACGCCGCTTGTGATGATTTTGTAGGCAGTCTGAAGCCAGACGGGTCTCGGCACAAAACTGCCAAGACTTCACTGGCAATCAACTTCGGTTCAGGGTTTTAGGGCTAAAACGGGGCGAACGAGAGAGGTCGAGGGCCTAGGCAGGGTTTAGGGGCCGGCTACATGTGTTGAGGGCTCGGGGTTTTACATTGTTAGGGCTTTGGGGACTGCTCGTTTTTGATCAGAGGGACGTGGCTCTCGTGATGCAGGAGAGACGACGTGGGCCGCCTCAGCTTTCCACGAGTGTGCGCGTCAAAGAAGCCTTTGGGGTGCGCCTAACGAGTGGTCGATGCTGCAGGGTGCGCCTGTCCCCACTTCAGAGCTCCACTTCACAGTTGTGAAGTTGTATGAAGTTGTATGAGGCACCAAAACTATGTATGGACAACACTCTGGAACTCTACGGAAAGAGATGCTGCCGCGGCGGTAAAGTTCGAGGCCTTGAGGCCAAACAAGATCAAGTCACAGTGCCCGACCCGAACGCCCAACGTCCCATTCAGTCCCGTAAGGCCGAAAGCATCCATGAACTCCTCTTAAGTCCCCAATCTCCTTCAAAGGCCGCACCTCACGCTCTCCGGAGGGTGGGCTCATCCTGCGGCCGCGCCCGGGCATGGAAGGCCTCTTGCGCTGTTGCACGCTTGCCCGCCTGCGGGCGTCCGTGGTCTGGAGTTCCTTCGAGGCATCATCTAGGCCAAGGTTTGGGCCTGCGGATTAGCGCCAGCCGACCTTGACTCCGAGTTCTGGAGCACCAATGCGTGCAGCAAAATCCGTCAAACTTCTGCGCCTGTTCCTGTGCAGACCGCCGGTCTGAAAGCTCCGAGGGCATCAAGGCCCTGAAGCAGGGCTTCTGGACTCGGGTTGATAATCAAAGGGCTTGCTGCTGCAACATGGAAAGGTCGAAACCACAGTTGGGACAAGGTCTTCTGTGGCGGAACTGGAATGTGTCGGATCTAGTCCATGGAGAGACGCTGTTTGCATTCCGCACCTTTGAAGGGCTTGTCTCTGCATTTGGTTGGTATGAATCGGCGAGCCTTCAAATCGCAGGTGACACTGGCGCCCAGAGCGCGTGTACAAGCCTCAGAAAAGTTGAGGTTCCCTGAAAGTATTCCGGCCTTTTGATTTTCTGTCATGGCAAGCAATCTAGCAGTGTGGGAAGTTTGCGCTTTATGCTGAAAGAATCTGCAGCCGACCGCCGAATTCCGGCGGAGCGTGATCGGAGCTGTGTGGAATCTGCGTTGCGCCCCACTCTTGGCCCATTTAAGTCCCACTGCCCACGCCAACATGTGGCTTTTCGGGTGCTCGACTCTGCACGTCTCAGGCACAGCCCTCATCAGCTATAACACTGCGGCGGCGAGACTCCAGGCCCTTAGGGTTGTGGCGACCTCGTGCGCGTTCGGGCTGGTGTGGGTGCAGCATGGTGCAGGACGTGCTTGTGATTGCTTTCGTTTGCGCCCCCCCGGTGCTTGCAGGGAGGACGTGCCGCAGTCTTCCACCGTCAGCCTCAAGGCTGTCGACAGTGTTTCCAGCACAAGAACGGGCTTGGTATTGCATGACTTGCGTGGCTTCAGCCTAAGGAACTTACGCTCGCTTCTGTGATCATGGAAGCTTCTTGCAGAATGCCTGCCGTCGGGAGGCTCCGGTGCGAGCTAGGCTTTCCCGACGGGAGCAGCCAGTCGCGCCCGCATCTCCAGAGTTGAACTCGAGCTTGTTGTAGCACCATTCAGCACGTACAAAGCACCTGTTTCCTGCAACGGAACCTTCTGGCCAGTGTCTGAGAGCATACAATTTGCACATCCTGAAAGAAAAGAGCAACTGTTTGCTTACACACCCGATGGACGATTACATACGGCCCACTGGCCAGCGAAGTTTCGGGCGCTCTGCTTGCCCAGGCGCCTACAGCCATGGGACGACAGGCAGCGGAGGGTGATCCAGGCCTGAGAGCACAATTCCGATGTGACGTGATTCCCCGAACTGTTTGTCCTCGTATATCGTTCGGACCACACGGCTAGACTGGCTGTCGTATCAAGAATCTCGAGCAAGCCATGATGTTGTTGATTTTTCTTGCACCACCCAGTCGTTCCCCGATCCTAATGAAACGATCCACTGTGAAGTTGCTGAGAACGATGCGGGTTGGCTCAGTTCAGGATTTCATTCGGGACTCAGTTTGTAGTTCCCAAGCTCATTGAGCATGCAGTGCATGCAGTGCATGCAGTGCATGCCGATGTCGAGACAGGCGTTTTGGGTGCATGGCATCGCGCTCCATATGCCCGAATGTGTTCCATGTGCGGTTTGTGCAAGCCTTGGGCCATCGCTGACTCTCAAACTCCTGGAAGGAGCGAGGCGAGGGATCAGAGTCCGAGTCGGAGGAGGAGGAGTGGCGGCTGGGGTTTCGTTCTGGGTTTACGGACTTTCTACAGCGTTTGCAGAGTTTGACAGAGTTTGGTAGGGGTTGTGGGACCCGAGTTTTGAGCGTCGAGGAAGCCTAGGGGTTTGGGCCCTGTAGGCACTTCCAGTAGCGGACCTGTGTTGTCACCAGGTGCTGGCGCACGTTTACAAGCGTGTCGCTTGTCGTAGTCGTGGCTCTTGGAGCTCCCAACGTGTCCCCGGCAGGACACCGAGCAACCCCCCCGAGATGTCGATGTGGAGACTGGGGAGTCGGAAGAGTCAGAGCAGGACATGGGGGGGCCCCTTATGGTGTCTTCGTTTTTTGGGCCCTCGGAAGCCGATTCCCCACACAAGTTGGTGTTGACCCTGTCCCTGCCGCCTTTTGTTTCGTTCGGCGTTTGGCCTTGCAGGCCTCCTTCGCTCCAAAAGTGAGGGTTGAGGGTTCTGGGGTCGATATGGGGCTATTCCGGGCTCGTCGCCCTCCTTATTGATGCAGTCGAGAAGCACAGCGGGCCTGCATCGGTGCGTTTTGTGCCAATTGATAGTTTCCGGCACTCTTTTAGGCGGGTCGGTCTTCGAAATGTGTTCCCTAGCTTCGGTTCACCGCATGCCACAGCTTCCATCAGCTTCCATCAGCTTCCAAGAAATGCTGATGCAGTGACGATGCCTGTCATTTACTCTCGCATTTTTGGGCCAGGGGTGGAAGTTCAGAGCCGCCGTGTTTGCGCAGTGCGGAGGTTGAAGCCTCTTGTGCACGTGCGCAGGAGGATGCAGATGTGGATCGGCCTGTAGACGTTGACAAGGACGACGATGAAGAGGCCTCAGCAGGGGACTCAAGCGTCTCCCTTGCTTTGTCGCTCACGTTACTGAACTCCAAGTTGGCTCGGGGTTGATTGCTTCGGCAGAGGGGTTTACAAAGCCATTGCTCTGCAACCTGAGGCCCACATCCTAGGCCGGAAGCCCTCTTAAGAATGGAACAACTTCCTTCAGACTCAAGGCCGTGGAAGACTTGTAGCGCGGTACGCCTGCATGCAGCCCGCCAGTCCAGCAAAGAGCAGATTGCAGCTCTTGCTCTCCCTACCTCCAGCTCCTGGTTGCGCTCCTGTTTCCTCGCACTTCTTCTTCAGCGGTTTATTGTACTGAAGTTGGAAGGACTCAGAGTCAGAGGAGGTGCTGGAGATGGATGGCGCGCGGGATCCGGACCAGGAGAGAAGAAGGCCCCTCTGCGATGTCTAGGACGGCACGCCAAAAGGAAACCTAAAACAAACACGGAATGCCCCATTGTGGGGGGTTCCTACAAACAAGGATGATCTTACTCTGGGGGCATGTGAGGGGTACTCTCTTGGGAAATGCGCATCTTTGAAGACCCCGCACCCTAAACCCTAAATCCCCTTAAGGCACCAGCCTGGGGTTGCCGAGCTCTGGAGGCGAGAGGGCGCTTTGCAGAGACTTCCGCTGATTTTGTGGTTGGGGTTTAGGGTTTAAACATCGGGTTTATGGTTGGGTTTTTTCGCTGATTTTGTGGGTTGGGGTTTAGGGTTTAGGATTTAGGGTTCGGGTAGGGTTTCGGGTTAGGGTTTTTGGGTGTGTGCAGGCGAACTTCAGCGAGTGGAAGAAAGTCCAATCTGTTTGATCCATGATGTGGGCATGGCATGGGGAATATGAGGGGCGCAAAGCCTCCAGGTGGATGTTGCTTCTTGGCTCCACGCATCCGAAGGGGATCGGATAGAGGATCAAGCGAACAGATGAGCGCATATCACAGAATCTGCAGTAGACGCCTCATCAGAGGCCTCCCCCCCCCCCCCCACCCCAGTTTGGCCGCTTTGAAGCTGCTTTTTTTAAGCCATGGGCGCTGGGAAAGGGGTGCAAGAGCTTGAGCTGACCGTGTACGGCCGCTCGCTCGAGGAGCTCCAGCCCGCATGGCTGAGAAACCCGCGTATGAAATGCAAGCCGAATTGAAATATCCGCTCTCAATGAATGATCGCTGGCAGGAGCTACCGCCACATGCGGAAAGAGCCATCAACCGACTCTACGAGGCGGGTGGGACACTGCCAGGATCGAAACATCTGAGGGAAGGAATCGTGTAGCTAGATACGTGTAGGAGGCAAAAAGCAAGGGGCACTTCCTGCGCCCTGCTTGGCGACACGTCCCTTTCTTTAGCATGAGGCCCGTCACTTTTCAAGAGTATCACTTGTGTTTCATACACATTGCATATTCCTTTCCGAACTGAAGATTCCTCAGTGTGGGGTTGTTGGATGTAACAGAAAGGCATCCATCGGTATCCCGCAGAGTATCGCTGGAGTGACACCCCGAAAAAAGTTTCGCAGAGTACCCCCCCAGCCCGGATTGTAAGTGTGAAAGAGTTCTTTACCAGCAACTTCTACGACTTCTGCAGAAGCTCAACTCGTAACTCGTCAGCGATGACATGTTTAACATTGTGTAACAGTGTCTTGCTGTACAAATAGACGCGCGCGTGAATCAGACAACTCGACCTATGGATTACGGATGTGATTACTCGGCTTGCTTGGTGTAGTCATCGTCGGCCTCTTCGCATCCAGGCCCAGATTCAGAAGTATCGGTGCGAGCGGGAGCGATTGGAGCGTGCTGGGTGCCTGAAGAAGCCGTCAGCGAGGTGGAACAAGCAGGACTGGCCACTCAGAGTTCACCATGTGCCTATAAAAGGAGAAGGGGCGACATCTGCCAAAATCTTCCGGTAGGTCTGAAGCTGACAGTGTAGTTCGACGGATCTTTGTTCGGACTTCCGAAGCAGAACGGTTCGCCGAGATTTGCTGAGGAGTTGTACTTGAACTCGGAGCGCCTTGCTGAAGCAAAAACTGCCAGCTCCTTGCCTTCAACTATGCCCCGGAGGGTGGAGGCTACAAACTCCTGAATGAAAGAAAGCAATCACAGCTCATTAACCTTGATTGACATGAAGTCAAACGTGAAATTAGATAAAGTTAGTAAAAGGGTACTGAACAAACACTTGATAGGAATTAAAACTCATTATTGCCCATCATAAAATCATCAACTAGCATCGGGAATCATGAGAAATCATCAAAATTGATTGGAATGAAAAATAGTTCAAGTGAGAATTAGCTTAAATGATTGAAACTAGGTGAACTTACCTCCAATAAATCCAAGCCAAAATTCATTAAAATTGAACTCAGTATAAATCGTCAATAATACGAAATTTCGTTAACATCAAAATCACTAAAATGCGCTCGAAGACATGAAAGTGCATGAAGTATGAAACAATAAAATCAACAATTAAGTAAGATTAAGCAGATAAATGCACACACACACATGTATATATACATACATACACATATACACATACATATATATATATATATTTTTTTTTTTTGAAAGTAAGTAATAGTAAAGAAAAACTAGCAGAATTGAATATAATTATCGCAAATTCAATATAATGATTCAAAGCAATTAGCTTTATATTATTGACAATTCATGAAGCTGAATCGCAACTACGGAAAATTTATTAGAATTACTGAAATTTTTCAGATTTATTGGAACGAGCTCAAAACAAGAGAGATTAGATACAATATGTCAAGATTAAAAAACATGGTTAAAATGAATCATAACATGGAAAAACAGCAAAGAACTAAACAAAAATCACGTAACATGAGTCTTTAAATTGAATCGAAATGATGAAGAATACACATATCAAAATTATAGTGTAAATCAATTAGCGTAAATTCGACCTGGATAAAGTTATGCAATATTTGCTTAAAAGGGATTAATAATGGCTAAACGCAACGGAAACTAATCCGAACTACGTATAGTTCATCAAAAGCATTAAAATTAGTCAAGATTTCAAACTAATACGCTTGTTTAAACTGCCATTGAGATTTTTAACACCTTTTTTGATGAAAACTCATGAATTCTAACCAAGATTTTGGAAAGGTGAAATAGGTCAAGTTGATGAAAAGTGATTGAGTTGAAGTTAAATGGTTTAAAGTTAACGTATTTCAAATTGTTCAAGCATCTATTAACATTCATGAGACTAAGTACAGTACAACATATGTAGAAACAGCAAAAGTGAGTAACGTCTATGAAAACGAATTAAAATTAAGAAAATTGTTCCAGAAATGAAGATAAACAAGGGTAAAAGTTTGTTGAGATTTGTTCAACTTATGAAAATCTGAACTCCCGGCACAGCAGAATGCCATGCAATTTATAGAACTTGTGAAGTCTATGTAGCCTCTCTTAGTACGCCCAGTGATTCATAAACTCTTATATGCACCTTATAGACTTACATTTAAGGTTTTCTGGGGTGCAGGGAACCCACCAGGTTTTCAGTAATGATACCAACAGTAGCATGAGTAGCAAGCACCAAGCACAGCGCAACTCTGGAAAGTTCATTCTGCTTTGATGGGGGGGAGTGTTCACTGGAGGACATCCCTGTATGTGAAAGGTTGCTTAAAGCAGCCAGTTTTCATGGCTAGTGTGTTTGAAGCTGTGGTGCAGTATGCGGCAATTGCAGGGGCTCGCTTGGTTGCTGCCTTATACTACTCCTCATTCACACTGCACTTCTGAAAGCATCATCCCAGGTCGGCAGCATTTGCTCCGACACCCTCAGCTACTTTCGGGCGCTCAACGTCTGCAGCAAGAGGAGTTGCCACAGCCTTAGAGTTACTGCGTGTCGACGTCTGTACGCACTCATCAACACTTTCTACTTGATGGTGACAGAGTCATTACTGAGCTGCTTGGCAGCGGGTTTTCGTCGTTTGATGGCACCCTGCCGCGTGTAAGGGGAGCGTTGCTTGTGGATGGAGAGAGCGTCGTTGCTGCGGTCTTGCGCATAAGCGAATGATTGCCAGTGTTATGTTTTTGAAGGGGGCAGGCAGAAAAGAGCCTGACAGCCTGGTGGCCGCCATATCCCATGATCCAATCCAGCTTATGAGCCCTTTTCAGTACGGCCGCATCGCTCCACGGAAATTCTTGAGGTCCACGATGTTATTATGTAAAACTCAGCTGCTGTTCGTTGAGTGCCAAGCCAGACGCTCAAAACCTGTGTCTCGCCGAGGCTGGAGCTTGTGGCGATGCAGTGCCCCAGTGGGCGGTTGAGGGTTCGTGTTGCAACAGTGTTACTTCGGAGGCTTCGGATGCATTGCAACCCAATGGAGACGAACCTGACCCCCACACGTTTCAATCTTGCAGAGACCTACGTGACATTGACGCTTGCTCCACTGTCACGCTGGCGATGTCAAGGCACTTCCTCTGGATCGACTTGACGGATCTTGAGGCAGACCCAACAGGGCGCTGCAGCGAGGATCGGTTCACCGGGCCAAACGACTCGGTCTGTGAGCAGCTGATGCTAGATGCCCCGCGAGAGCTCTTCGTCATCGCCTTCTGGATTGCATGTGCTGAGCTGCAATGACAGTATGTGATGGACTGTCCTTCTTCACCTCCAATCCAAGGATGGGGTGAAGTACGACTTTGCTTCCACGGTGCGGGCCCAGCCAGATGTCAATGGAAACCAGCCTGCAGTTGACTTTCGATGATCCCTCTTGAATTCACGGCTGTCTCACTGGACACGTGCTTTGGCACATCACATCGGGCCGTATAGGGCCTAGGGGCTACAGTAGGGCCTAGGGTGGTCAGGAAACGATCTGGAGCTGATGAAGTCAGAGTTCTGTGAGACTCAGCTGCAACATCGGAACCTCACTTCGTTCGTCACTCACGGTACATGCCACAAGCGCTACATCGGAAGCACCCGAAAGGCTTGGTTAACATCTGACAACATCGCAGATTGAAGGGCCAAGTGGCTGTTAGCTTTGCAGGATCCCGGCTAAATGCAACATTAGATTGATATATTCTACTATTCACGTACGTATATTTAATGTAGATGTATACATATATATATATATATAGAGCACATGTTGATGCCACAAAAGCCATGCCCCCCTCACTGTCTAGGGGCCGAGGATCGGATTGTTTCTGCCATCGCGCGCTGCTTGGGCGCGCAACGACAGCAGCTAATGCGAGCGGCGCCTGGGTTTTAAGAGGAGGTGTTGGTGGTGAGGATGCAACACTCTGGAGGATGGTCGGCTGATAAACAAGTTGCAGAATCCATCTACTGTTCTGGCACACTGCAGAGTTCAACAGTCTCTCAGGTCACCAGCGGGACGCCCAGCTAAGAGGAAACCAACCCCTGAGTTGTGATATCCTTGTGCCTTGAGCAGTTCAGAGACAGGATCCGTTTGCATGGTGATGACGCTGACAAGTACTGACAAGTCCGGCCCCTTCCCCTATGTTCCCTCTGAATCTCCTGCCTTCCATACACCTGATGCCGATGCCCAACCGAGCCAGGTGTGAGCTCTGTCGGTTTCCTAAAGTAGACAGAAGCCGCAGACTCCAAGGCCCCATTCCCAAAGCCTCGGTGACGAACCTTGCATTTGGGAGTGTGTGTGTGTGTGTGTGTGTTTCCTTCGCAAGTCCCAAGCCCCAGGGAGTTTCACGGTGTGAAGATGTGAAGGTGACTTCCGCACTGTCACAGTCGGGGCTGGCCCATTTGGAGGCCAGCAGTCGGAAGACCATGCAATAGGGCGTGGGTTTGGGAGTTTGGAATGTTGAGTAGCCAAGTGGCTGCGATACTAGTCACGTACTGTCCTGCCGACGTCTGTGGGTAGAGTGCTCAGCAAATGGCACCTCTTGCTTCGAAGTCCTTGCGCGACTTGGAGCTCTTGTCCGAGAATCCTCGCCGCGGCAACAAGATCCTCCCGGAGATGTAGCTTCGGGTCTTGTGCCTACGCACACAAGGTCTAACCCGAAAGAAGCCAAGCAACCTACACAAAACCCAACCGGCTCAAACCCTTCCCTAAAGAGCAGAGCTGAAGCCTGCCCAGTGATTAAGTTACCAGAGGCTGCCTCGGCCGCCCTGCAGGTGGCTGTGGCTCAGCTGGTGCTTAATTCACTGAGACATTCAGGCTTCGGGCAATATGAGGGTGGACAGTATGCAAGGCCGTTATGCGCAAGCCGCGAAAGGATTTCTGAGGTAAGTGTTTGGACTCTTGTGCGCAACTTTTTGCTGTGTCTTGAGCAGGCGTACAAAAATTCCTTTGAACCTTAAGGTCAGCGGTGGAGAGCAGCAGGTACGGCCCTTCTGCTGCAAGGATGGGCTAGCCTGGTCCTAGTGGTCTTAGGACAAGGTGCAGCACAGGGCCACAGGGTGTGGAATACACCATCTTGCACGCGGATGTTTTTGAAGGCTTGCGCCTTGCGCTGCACTGCGCAGATGGCTTTTGCTGTCACCTCGTCGTTCAGCTTCTAACAGCTTTGTCTGGTTGTTGCCCGCGCAAGGTTCGAGCTGCGTGCCCCGGCAGCAAATCATTGTGCAGAATGTGCCAGGCCTTGTGTGGCACAGGCTACGGGTCCGGCCAAGCAGAAACCACAGGGCATGCACCGTCCACAACCGAGGAAGCCTCTCAGCAGACGGCCCATGGGATTTGGAGCTTTACGTGCGTAAGGCCCGAGATGTTGCCAGGATGCTGGTGGCCCGAAGTCCCTGCGAGAATTATGCAGTCCCGGAGAGGTCCGTTTCGCGCATCAGAAGCATGTTCATGGAAGGCGAATTTTCACCAGTGCATCGTCTACGAGTCCCCGTCCGGCTCTATGCCAGAAGCGGCGGAAGCTACGGACCCGAGGGTTGGAAGGGGACACGCACACACATGGCTCTTTCCGCGATATCAGGCCATGCCTAACCTACGGGTAGGCCTGCCGTAGACCTATGGGTAGGCGCCTACAGGTTTGCCAGGGCCTATGGTAGCCTACCCACAGGCTTACCAGCCTACCAGCCTACCTCCAGGTTACGTGCCCACAGGCCTAGGCCTGTGGTAGCCTGTTGGTAGGCCTGAAGGTCGCCTGTGGCCCAGGGCTTTTTTGCCGAGACTTTGTGCCGTGAGCAGGAGTCCAGCCCTCGTACCTGCAGCCCATCCTCCTTCTTCGCCAAGTGCTGCAGTGACCGTGCTTGTCAAGATGTTGCTTCGTGGGGCCGTGGGATCTGGATTTAGGATGCCTCGGGTCCTTCGTTTATTGTGACTCAGAGCTCCACTCGTGACTGTCACCAAAGAGATGTAGGACTATTAAGACTGCCACAATGTGCATGTGACTGAAGGCATCCGGTTCTCGGCCCCTGGTCTGCAATTAAAAAATCTTTGACTGGCTGCAGTTGTCAACAGTTGTCGCAGGCATCAGCCATCGTTCAAGGCCATCCAACACAGAAGTGCATGCGGTGGTATGTAAGCCTGTTAGAATGAGTAACGGTATATACCATTAGTAGCTACATACGGTACATGTAGGTGTACATGTATAGAAATGAGCAACGGAGGACACAGGTGCGGACACCGTGATGGTTGAGACATGGCAAGCCCTGGCCGGCCTATTCGGATCGTGCACAGGTCGTGAGGTTTGTGTAAGACTGGCATGTGCGTTTCGGGATTTCCTTGGGTCGACATACTCGTGCCATGTTATGACGTGGGGCTCATGGGAGCCCATGGACCTGGAGCTGAGGACGTCCTCAGCTTGACTCACGAGCACTATCTGATTGACGCGGCCGGACAGCCGCTGCTCAGCTCCGGCTTTCCTGTCCCTCGCCACGGGAAGTCATGAGTCCGTGGGCTTCAAGGGGCCAATCCGCTACTAGATGCTAGGTAGAGGTGCACAAGGTGCCCAGTTCAGTTGGGGGGTGCAGGAAGGATTTTATGGGGTTACGATATGCTACGATGGTTGCAGGGCATGAGCAGCAGCCCATGGCAGAAGAGGCATGAGCTTCATGCCTTATGAGCTTTAGTCTGAAGTGCGTGCCGTGTGCTTTTACGGCATCCGAGGGCTGTCCTTGCCGCTGCCTTCCTCCGCTGATTCTGCGGCGCTTCCTTGCCCGGGCCTGTGCCTGGTGGCATCGCCGCCTGCACCGACTCCGCCACCTCCGAGGCATCAAAGACAGCCCGGACTGAGCGGACGCGGCCGCAGTCCGGCCTTCGCGACATTTGAACGTCATTTGGCTTTTGCAGCAGGTTTGGAGAGCAGAGGCCCCAAGCCTTAGTGGATTGAAACTCGCAGCATCACCCCGATGCGGTGGGTGCCAAAGGGTGCCGCGACCTCACCGCATTGTTTTCCTTCAGGAGTGTCTAGCTGCTTGTCAAGGCCCAGGAGTTTTGCTTCTGAGGCTGGTTGATCATGCTCAGGCCAACTGGCCTGAGGGGTATTCGCATTGCAATGTCAGGCAACATCAGGTGGAAGGCCCAAAACAATGTCGGGTCTCTGTGAAATATGGTGGACTGTTCGCTGAGGGTCGCGCCTGTGAGCCAAAAATGGGAAGATGGGCAACGCTCCCCATGAAGACCCCTGCAAACGCAGGCAAAAATCTGGCCCGTCGTCTCCGATCCGACAAGCCACGGCCGAAGCTTTTGCCTAAAAGAGTACCTGATTATTATTATTATCATTATTATTCTTATTATTATTATTATTATTTCTAATACAATTACCATTATTATTTTTATCCGGGCAGCGGCCAAGTTACAAGTCGCAAGCATAAGTCGCATCGAATTCTTCGAAGCTGGCTCTTCTACCATCGTGTCATCGTGTCAGAGTGGCTTACTTCGCAGAAATCAGGCAAGGAGTCGTCCAAAAGCACAGGCATGTGCATGTATATGTATATATGTATATGTACATATATATATATATATAAGTATAGAACATCTGACAACATATAATGGCATAGAATAACGAATGACAACATATAATCATATGAAAAGGCAGGTTTAACAAAAGCACGTAATGACATATCGCAACATTTACTATAACATGGGATATAACGTATAGTAACGTTAAACACATCACATTTTACATGTCTGTTCAGTTTATGAGATGTAAATAAAGAAAAAAAACAAATACAAAGAATATAGATATATGTATATATACATATATATATATATATATATATTTACACATCAAAATGTAGTATAGGGACTAATGAAAGAGTAGGCACCATAGTAAAAGACCCGTCGTAGTAATATAGAAGAAGATATTGAAAAAGAGCATCAACGCAGAAGTAATTGTATAGTAGTATACAACAATGTAAACTAGCATGTAGACCGAGGTGCGGGCAAGCCCGGCGCCAGCCAGGCCGGGGACTTCATCTGGGGCTCGGGTTCATATGACAGTTTCCGACAAGAGGGTTGCGGGTGTCGTGTTTGCCCTTTTGGGGGGTTCCCGTAAAGAGGATTGCATGCGTATTAGTGAGCACCTCTACTTTGGGAATGCCCCTATGGGGCAGGGTTGATATTCCTGTTATTGGTGTGGAAGTATTATGCTTCCGTACAAGCACTGGTGAATGTATTGGGGATGCTAGTGTTAAACACCCTACCTGACGATGACAGGTATGCAGCGGTGGAGAGCTACAGCGAGGGGGAGGACAATCTCGGATCTCCTGATCTGTATATCTTGGGGCTTGCACTGCGAAAGCTATAGTCAAGATATGATGAGGAGGATGACGAAGTTGGCGCCGTGGAAGTCAAAGCTGACAGCATTGATGAACTTGATGATGAGGAGCAGGAGGAGGAAGATGGCGAAGACGATGAAGACGAGGACTCTCACCAGAGTTGCTGGTTGCAAAGGTGCTTCGATGCACTTCGTGAGATGAACGCTTTCATTGCATGATCCTTCGGCTGGAACGAGGAGTCATCGTCCAGTTTGCCTGCGAGGGCACCGCTTCCACGTTCCAAAGCAAAAGACAAGAAGGAGGATTCCTGTGTAGGTTCCTTCTTTGCTTCCTTCACAGCCTGTGCATACTTGTGGCTGCTGGTGGCCCCGCTTCGTGTGATCAGAGTACTGTCACAGGCAGGGGCCTTTGTTAGGTGAACCACGCCCGTCAGAATCACTCTTCTTGCCGGCCGCCGCGAAGTGCTGTAAAGTGCGCGCCGCAGTCAACATTGCAAATGTGAGCAGGACGAGGAGAGCCGACACCGGCTGGAAGCAGCTGCAGCGGTGCCCCCTCGCTTGCTATTTGCAGTAGTTCTGCAGCAGGGTGTTCGGTCTTGCTGCTAGTCCTTTGCATGCTTGTTCTTCCTGTGCGATTCGGAAAACCGCTTCATCGATGTTTTTGCAATTTGTAGAGTGGACCGCGGCGCTGCTGCCGCAAGTAGACGCAGGATGTGTCAGACTCGGACGGCACGAGATGCATGACTCAGGAATCCACCTACTACCATAAAACCCTGGTCCTAACCCGAAGCCCGAAACCACACGTATGAGCTCGCTTCTGCATGTCGCCGAGAAGAGTTGCAGGCCGCGAAGGCAGCCGAATCCAAGAAGGGCCGCAAGGCACCCGAAAAGTCTTAACAAACAAAGTGGTGTTCACACTATGTACGATTGTAGATGTATATATATATATATAGACAGTTAAAGTTCTTTCTCTTGTTAAGTTTGTTGTGACTACTTTTCCTATGAACATTGCTACAATTCTGAGTATTAGCACAACGTGTCTCCGCAAACCGCAAATACTATGGTCTTCTTCAGGTAGGGCTTCAGATACTCAGTGACATGCAGGTTCCAGCTGCTGCAACATGAATAAGCTGAGCCAATATTTTGCGTGTGGGGCCAGTGATTTCTATCTGCCAACGCAGTTGTGGAGATTTGAACGACTACTGACGTACCGCCAGGCACCGAAGAAGCACAACGTCTGGTCATAGCCAAACTATTTTTGGGTTGTCCACTACCTCTCCAGATCGAATCTTGACACAGGTCTCCAGCTTTATGTGCACACGACCTGCTTGTTAGACAGGTATGTAATGTACTGGTAGAGTTCGTGGAGTTTTACTTACACATGGCCCGTGGAAATGGCTCGTGGAGCTAGCGGAGCATCTTACCGTGGCCACACCAGAGGTGGTTCTAAAACCCTTGGCTCGGGTGTCAAAGCCCATGGTTTTTGAGTTTTTGAGGTTGGGATGTTCACCCTTATACTTGTTAGTCCTTAGTGGGGATTATGATCGGGGGTACTATATTCAGGACGGTTAGTACAGGGGGGGGCATCCCCATTTTGAGGTGCTAAACGGTACCTCGTCAGCCCGAAAGTTGCTTCTTGGCCTTCGGGGCGCTTTAAGCGTGCTGAAGGCTGAGAAGCAACGTCTTCCCTCGGCCGTCGCTCGATGCGCAACTTCCATGCGCGACGCCAGTGACACCGCAAGAAACTGCAATAGCTTTCGCCGCTGCCGTCCCCTAGAAAAGCAATGTAGTGGCAGCGTTCGTTGAGTCAGGCTCTCAATGATATTCGGTTCTCCCTCAGTTCAATAGTTGTGAAGTTGTACCGGCACATTTTTCCAAGATCCAGATCCTAGATTGCCGGGAAGACCTCCCTGCAATCTTGGATTTTGGACCTTGGAAACATGAGCCGGTACAATTTGTACCGGTTTGTCCCGGATTTTGCCGGTCCGTGTATAACCATATATGAATAATATGGCAACATATGGATAACATGAAGCAAAACGCTGCGGCTGGAGCCACATGCCAGGGAAACGAAAACGCAGGACCAGCGAACAGCAGAAAGAATAACAAATAAGCAAATAAGGCTGGATGCACGGCAGAGAGAGAGAGAACGGGGGGTACCCTCTATTCATTTTCATTTTTTTTTTTTTCTCTCTCTCTCTCTCTCTCTACTTCCACTTGCATAAAGAATCACAACTAGCTGCTCAAGCTTCGACTCTGTAATTGGTGGCCTTTCCGGCTTCCAATCCGGTGCTTTGATCGCATTCACTTCAGGGACTCTCAGCGTTCCAGGGGCTCCTCCCGAGCATCCAGCAAACTCAATGCCGGCAGGAGAAGCGGCCAAAGACAGCGGCAACGCATCTCGGACCCAGGGGATCAGGGTTGCGTCATGTTGCGCCCAAGCAGGTCCGCAGTTCGCCTCATGGGCAGTTCTCCAAACTATCAAGGGATCCCCCAAGTTAGAGAGCTCCCTTTGCATACGTTCTACAGACTTCAGCAGAGCATGACAAGGCCGGAGAGCGAAGCAAAGCCAAAGCTCGAGGCCCTGTGCTACATCAGCTTTTAAACTTTATAAGCTTAAGCCTTTAGAAGTGGTTTGGCGCTGAGCTGGTGGGGATGGTAAGCGCCTTGGTACTCGCCTGTAAGCACATGAAGCACAGTAGGGGGTTGTTTGTAAGCCCGATGCTTGGATGCATATCTTCAAAAAAATGGCGGCAAATTTGGAGTGGCTTAACCTCGAGTCGCAACAGACCTGACCCTCGCAGCTGCAGGAGAGGTCGCGGAACCATGATGGTGGCTCGAAGGGCAAGCACAGCGAGGCGCGAGGGGAGGAGATTCTCAGAGAGAAGGAGAAGCGAAAGTCCATGGAGAAGGACACTGCGCAGAAGGAGAAGGAGCAGGAGCATGCCCCAAAGAAAAAGAAGAAAGCGAAAGACGCGGACGCAGCCAGGAAGGACACCTCCCGCAATGATCTTTCTTCTGCACGAGAGAGATCACAGGAGAAGGTGCTGACAGCAACAAGGGATATTTCTCAGAAGGTGAGCAGAAGAAAGGAAAAGACTGAAAAGGTCCGTGACGACAGGAGCCGACGGAAGGAACGCAATGAGGCAGCAGACCATGAAGATAGTAGAAAACAAGATCAGGACCAGGCTGTGAAGCAACGGAGAGAGAAGGATCGCGAGGAGACAAAGAGGCGTGAGGAGGAAGACCGTCGCGAGAAGGAGCGCAAGGAGGAGGAGCGCCGACGAGAGAGAGAACAAGAGGAGGAAAGAAGGCGTGAGCGAGAGCGTGAAGAGGAGCGGCGACGTGAGAAGGAGCGCGAGGAGGAGAGGCGACGGGAGGAGGAGCGGCGGCGTGAAAAGGAGCGGGAAGAGGAGCAGAGGCGAGAACGTGAGCGTGAGGAGGAGAGACGACGAGAAAAGGAACGGGCAGAGCGCGAGCAGGAGAGGAGGCGAGAACAGGAACGGGAGGAGGAGAGGAGACGGGAGAAGGAAAGGGAGGAGGAGAAGCGCAGGGAGAAGGAGCGAGAGGAGGAGCGGCGCCGAGAAAAGGAACGCGAGCAGAAGAGGCGAGACAAGGAGCGTGAGGAGGAACGGAGGCGTGAAAAGGAGCGAGAGGAGGAAAGGAGACGTGAAAAGGAGCGAGAGGAGGAAAGAAGGCGAGAAAAGGAGCGTGAAGAGGAACGGAGGCGGGAGAAGGACCGCAATGATGACAGGCGCCGAGACCGGGATCGTGAGGATGACCGAAGGCGCGAGTCCGGTCGCGATGACAGACGGAAGGACAAGGATCGAGAGGATGATCGCCGCCGCGACAAGGACCGGGATAATGAACGGCGAGACAAGGATCGTCATGATGATAAGCATGACAGGGATCGTGACAAAGATCGAGACAAAGACAAGGACAAGTACCGCGAAAAGGATCGAGGTCGCGATAGGGAGCGATCGCGCGACCGAGAGCGGGAGCGAGATCGAGACCGCGACAAGCATGAGCGGGACCGCGACCCCCGCGACAGGGACCGCTCTAAGCAAAGGGAGCGAGATCGTTCCAAGCAGCGTGAGAGGGAGCGATCAAGGCCAAGAGACAGGGACAGGGACAGAGACATCAGGGACCAAGATCGCGACAGGAACCGACAAAAGGCCGAGGGCTGAGCCGTACGGTTGGAGTGTGCTAGCGTGATTCAGAGAGTCTGCCGTGCATGTGGGCTTGGCCGCTAGGCCGCTATGCAGCCCGAGACCCTTTGTTGTGACCCAAAGCTGAGGACAACGAACGCGACACGAGGGACAAAGAAAGAGCAAAGGAAAGAGAAAGAGAAAGAGAACGAGAAAGAGACAAGGATCGTGCCAGAGAAAGGGACCGAGACAGAGCCAGGTCCTGAGCATTTCCAAGTGCAACCTCAGAGATTTGCAGGCGGCACTCGGTGTTGCGGTTTAGTTTATGCGCGTTTTGGGCTTCTGAGCCGACTCCTCCCAACGTGAAAGCCCCCCAACCATCCAAGCACTTTAAACCCCAAGAGTAGGACTCGAGATGTTAACCTGACGGCAAGAAGCCCCAGAGTCCAATTCGACCACCTGGCCTTGCCCGAGGATGCGGAGGACCGAAGGAAGAGGGAAGGCCAACGCCAGGAGAACGGCGGCAAGGCAAGGTGGTCGCCAGGGCATTTTGCATGAAGCTTGATGCGAGTGATCTACAACCCGCGCACTACTTGCGTTGTTTTTTCCTGGCTTGCCTTCAGGCACGTTCCGTGACCCCTCTTCCAGGGCGGCGGGGGGCTGAACCTGGCATGACGGACAATGAAAGGTGGTTTTTGCGCGAAGTTCAGGGCTTGTTTCCAGAGCTTTCTAATCCTGGAGTGGGTCATGGGAGGTGCTGACTTTCGTGGGACAGAGTCTTTTCTGGGCCTCAGTGGGCGGACTCGGCAGCTGTGGTTGAACCTCTGTGAGGCCTCAGCCGCCCCCAGCCTCGGATGCTGATGGTGCAGATCTCAATGTCACACGTGTCATATTGCTTTTCGCGCAGAGCTTGCAGCTTAAGTTTAATTTCTCGACCGTGGAGGTAGTCAGCAAAAGCTCAGCACGCGCGAAGAAGTGCGGGGCAGATCCCAGCAGAGACTGTCTTGGCTGAGAAAGTCTATCAATTCATCGAAAACAGAGAAGTGAGCTAAATCCCACCTCCTTGCTTTTCGTCTTGGCTTGGTGAATTTGTTCCCTTTTTTCATCGGGGCCTTCTCAGGTGCAGCCTTTCCACCGCCCCTGCCAACATCCGAGCGCAAGGGAGCGAACGGGTTTGGGGCAGGTCCTGTTCGGAGCAGCGGGGTGATGTAGGAGGCCGTGCAACGTAGCTCTGCTGCCACTAGTGATGCCTCCGCGCTTCATGTTTCAGGTTCAAGTCACAAAAAAAGTCACGACTCCACACCATTGCAAGTGCCCAGAGCAGCCATGGAAGCATGTGCAAACATGATCGAGGTCCCTGTACCATCCCGTGCCAACACGCGTGGCAGAGCTCGGCTGCCTTCGATCATCCTGGGCCACAGCAGCTCCCCGGGCCCTTTGGCCCCGCGCTCAGGCACGCCGAAGGTTGAGGAGTCTGCCAGGGAGCGGCTTCCTCTGAAGTCCCTGTGCCTGCTGAGCTGCCTCGGCCTCCTGTTGGTCTTGAACATGGCCGCCTTTTCTGATCATCTTCGATCGTTAACAGCTCCGCAGTGATGCTCTCTGGAATGCAAGATTGTGGCTCCGTGCGAGGAAATTCGAGGAACGTGCCAGCACTTTGAACATGGCTGCAGTGACGCTTGTCCGCTGTGCTGGCGACCAGGTTGGTGTGGTGCTTGCATGCAACGGCCTCGCCATATCCCAGCTTGGAATCTTCCTTGTTCTTCTTTCTTGCCTGGATCCTCAACTCCAGCGTGAAAGCAGCTTTCCAAAACGACGGACTTTTGTAGCTGACTTTGTTGGCCCCGCCTTGTTATCCTTGTAAAGTGGCAACGCCGGCATTATTTACGTTGTACAGCCACGGTCGAGATCGTGGGTCAGACGAGAGATTTCGTGTCTGATGTTTATGACAGCCTCTACGGCTCTAAGCAGCTGGACTTGATCCGCGGGTGTGAGACACTGCGGTAACGAAAGCTGTGTCGAGGCTTGCTTGATCTCAATTTGGTACAGGACCACGCTGGGATGCATCATGTGTGGACTCGTAGGACTCTACGACCCCGAGCGCCCTCCAAGCTCCTCACCGGCGGCGGGCTCAGTAAGGGAAAGGAGAAGTCTCGCGTTTTGAGCTTCAAGCCCTGGGCTTCAATTTTGGGTGTAAAGAACGTCTTGGAGAGTAGGTGAATATAGTATACAGTATAGGTGATCTCCAAGCCCATCCCCAGCATTTGCCGAGGCTCCTCCTGTGGGGCCCGGCAGGCTTGGAGCAAAAGAGTACTCCTTGCTGGGCGGGGTGTGGCCGAGTTCAGAGGTTGGCACGCGGTGTGGTTGGAGCGAGTTGGATGAGAAGAAGGTTGAAAGACACTCTGAAGCCTTCGACGAAACCCTTGGAAACCAGCAATGAGAACTCCAAACAGCAAATGAGGGTTCCTGCTCCCACCATGAAGTCTGCACAACCAGAAGGCTAGTATGGCCTGTATCTTGCAGGACTGGCTCTTATCATGTGGACAAATTGCCATGACAGCTCATAACCCGTGGTGCATGGGAATGGGGCGATTTGCTCTTGAGCACTGGGGTAGCTTCCGGACCATGTCTTCTCCGAAAACAGTTCAATTCAAAGCTGGGGCAACCAGCACTCTCCACCATCGATTCAACAGCCCTGGCTTGACCGCCCAGAAAACCAGAAATGTGTTCCACGGCCCAGTAGAGAGCACCTCATTGTACTCTCATTGTACCCAACGAGCTGTTTCCATGTTGAACGAGTCAGGAGTCAGGGTACATTGGTAGCTGGAAGCGCCTGGGGGTAGAGACCTATGCTCTGTTCACCTTAGACGTTGTCAATGTCCAATGCTATTGGCAAGCTCTGGGGGATAGTGCCGCAGCTGGGCAAACCTTTTCTGGCGTTCCTTGCAAAGTCGCGCCGGCTTCCCACTTCCCTGCAATCAGGCAAGATGGCTCGTCCTTGACCTTTGCCAAGCCGACGACAAGGACCCCGCCTGCAGGCACTCCGAGAATGCTGTTGGAAATTTTGAGTCAGGGGAGTAGCTTTCATCCAGAACGAAGACGCCAAGTGCCTGACGTGCGTCGTGTGCCCAACCTCTTGAGTCTCATCATGAGCTACTTCGTCGCGACAGTTGCGAAGCTGCGAACAAAGCAGCCAGTTCCTAAACCTATCCGAGGTGCAAGGACCAGCACAAAAGAGCGAACAAGTTCAGTGAGACTCATATACGGATAGCGACCCTCAAGTGCAGTAGCGATGAAGTCCCCGAATGCGACGGGTACGTGCTTCATGGCTAGCGCGCATCTGGCGGTTTTGATTGGCATTGTGTGAAGCAGAGCCGCGTGGATCGACATCCACATGTCAGGCCCGGCCCGTCGTCCGATCCTCAACCTCAGCTCCGACAGCAGCAGCGAGGAGAACAGCCCTTGCCATTGTGCTTTCGGCTTTCTGGCAGCTAGTGGATATGATACCACTATGTCTATACTATAGCTTTTTGTTTATCTAGTGTATGTACATGTATATCATCTTCTTGTACATGTATATGAGTATGGCCGAATATTCTATGTGCCTGGCGGGTATACTTCGTATCGTCGCTCCTTGATATCCAGGGAGCTCAGGTTGATGGAGCACGTGAGAATTCTGATGGTTCTTCACTGATTCTTCGGGGTTACGCGGATGCGTGCTGCCCGCATGATCTAGTCAAGATCCTGCGATTGCACGTAGTGCAGCTGCGTGTACATTCCTTGCACTGCGCGAGCAGCGCTGGCATACCGGTCAGCTGCAGTTTGCATCTTCCATATGACGTAAACAGTATATAGATACATACATATATCTATTTATTTGTGCACATATATACATATGTATGTGTGTGTTGGATAATTCTATAGGTTGAGCTTTCTCAGAATGATTTCCGCACTTGCCATGGACTTCAGGCTGTTGAGGGCACGTGTGACGCCCCTCTGGCCCCGCTGTGCTTCAAGCTGGGTTGCGTCCTGTGACCTGCAGAGAGGCTCTGTCTTCCTCCGTAAGGGCATCTACTGTGAGGTGCGAAGCTCTAAGCCTGCCGGTCATGGGCGCTCTGCGGACGGGGCCTTCGAGATCCGCTTTCGCGAGCTTCGGACACGCAAGGCCCGGGAGATGAAGCTGAAAGAAACGGACACTCTGGAGGTCGTGGAGTGTGAGCGGGTCTCAATGCCAGTGATGTACAAAGATGACAAAAGACTGGTCTTGGCAGATGCCGACTACAATGAGGTCGAAGTGGCGATGGGGCAGCTTGGTGAAGCGGGCGACGTGCTCCAGTGTGGGCACACCGTGTCGGTTCTTTATCACGAGGGCAACCTGGTGAAGGTGGTCCCTCCGCCGGAGATTGCGGACCAGCTGCAGCAAGACTACCGCAAGCAGCGACGTGCAACACTTGCTTCCCGGCAGAAGGAGCGGAAGGAGCTAAGGGAGAAGAGGGCCCACATAGCCGAGGAGACTGGCCGCTAGCCGAATATGAAGCAGTGAAAAAAGGCAGCTTTTGCGCATTGTCAGCTTGTACTGAGTCGACTTCATGCATGCCAGATGCAACAAAGCTTGTACTGAGTGCGCACCAAAGAGAGCAGGATAGCGCCAAAGACGCCAAGAAACCGTCGGACGCTTGGATAGCTGTCCCGTGCAATCTGCCTACCCCCCGCCCTCCCTCCCTCCCCCCTCCGGTGCTTAGTCCACGACCTCCCCCGCCCCCCCCCCCCCCCCGAAAGGGTGCAAACATCAGCTTGGTCTTACTTGTGGCATGTGACAGGACTCGTTGTCTGTAATTTGATTCACGAAGTCTTGGTCACCAAGTCAACTAACGTTTCAGCTTGATGGAAACAAATCTAGGCCAAAGCGCCAGCGGAAAGGCTCCGATTCTGATGAACAGTCAGGCGGGGGAGATCAAGCTGATTACGGAACGGCTACTCACTTGCAAGCGCCAGCATCAACCAGCGTGTGAAGGCCAGAGAGTATCGAGGCTCTCACGCCACACCCGCGCGGCACTCTCAGCTTTCTTTTAGTGCCTCCTTTGGGCTCTTCCCATTCTTGACTGCTCCGTACTGAATCTTAGACATTTGCGAAGGTCCGAGCGTCATGCATGCAGGAGGAGTGCCCGAGTTTGGGAGGGAGGGTGAGCGTGCTGCGGCTGGCGACGCGAGCAGTGCATGGGAGCATGATCGAGCTGGCGCATGAATCAGGGTTCAAAGGACGCTAGTCATGCCCTCCAGCTTGGGCCCTTGTGTTTTGCATCCAGGAGTGAGTCTTCGGCCCCTCAGCTACAAAAGCTGAGCCGATTCATGGCCAATGAGTCTGAGCTGCCTTCTTGCTTCGGGGGAGAATGGACTCCCTAGCCTCGCACCTCATCCCTGCTTGTCATACGCACACGAAGAATTAGGAACAAGATTGCCCATAAAATCGGTTTCGAAGTGCAGAAGTGGAGAATCCGGGGCGCTCAGGATGAGTGCTACCTGGCCAGGGATGGTTTCCAGACCTCAGCTGGACTTGTACAAAGCCATCAAAGCCGTCGAAGGGTGCGGAGTTTATTGCAGTCCTGTGTTCCAGGCTGCCAAGCGGGCCAAGCCAGAAGGGCCTCTCTCAGCAGAAACAGGTGCTTTGCTGTGGCACCTGCAGTGCTTGCAGTTCTTGTCGCAGTCTTGCGACAAGTCTCCATTGTGGTGGCTCAAGCCGCACAGCATGTAGGCAGGCGCCACGCCATGGAAATTGACATGCGAGGGTGTTTTAAGACATGCAAGTATTAAGGACAGGATTCGCATCTCATTCGCGCATGCACCCTGCACCTAGCAAGATCACCACGTGTCAACACTACAGTTTCCCCTGCGCTGTTTTTGCGCTGTTTTTGCGCTGTTCGTGCTGAGAGCCTGTGTCTCATCGTTTCAAGGGCCAGCAGCGAGCCATTATTGAGGTGCTTCTTGCGGCCTCATGCAGTTCTGAGAGTTCACCTTAAACGATGAAGTGAGCTGTAAGCCCGCTCGATTTTTTTGCATCGTAAGCCAGAATTGCTTAACAGCTCAACATACTTCTTCTCGCACAGACATGCGTCAGGCATGGCCGATGCTAATGCTGCGCACATCGCGGTGCGGATCAAGGTGGGTGGCCATTTCCATACATCCACGTGGTTTGAGGGGTGCTCGGAGCCCCCAGAAGGAACCCTGAATCCGACGGCCTAAAACAACACTTTTTTGCATCGTCATAGTCGTCGTCGCAGTCGTCGTCGTAGTAGCAGTCAGCGTAGTAGAAGTAAGGGCTCCCCTCCGCCCCCATGGCTACGGGGAAACGCTGATTTGTCAGCCAGCTTTTTTCGTGGTCACTTTTGAAGATGTGCTGGCTTAAGCGGGTGGTGAAAGCCCCGTTTCGGACTTGTTTTTCGCTCTTGCATTGCTCTTACGGCAAGTCGTAGCAGTGAGCAGAAGTAGGAGGATTCGTAGTAGGCTCCTTCGTCCTTGAATAGTTGGCACACGGACAAGGTTGCTGTGTGGGGACCGCAGAGATAGTTGTACACTGGATGGGGTTCCTGCGACGACTGATGTTACCTATTCTACTTCTGCTTCTGTGTTGAGTTGTTGCAGGAATCCTAGTGATTATCTAGAGGACAGACCTTCGAACCGAATCCTCGCCTGCCTTGTGCGTGTAAGAGCCGAAATACCCCCAAGAGTCTCTCTCTTTCTCCTTCGTCCTTACAAACTCAACTAGCACCAAAAATCGGCCACCAGTGCTGAAGCACTACAGGCACACACAAAGATCGGCTATGGTGAAGACCTCCTAGTCCCTTGGCTGCAGCGCAGCTGGAATGGTCAGCCGTGCCCGTTCCCCAAGTCCTTTGCCTCAGGACGCCTTTTCTGCGACAGCTGAAGCATGTCCTGAAGAATGCAGGGTGTCACGACATCTCGGAAACAACGGAAGCGTTATGAGCATGTCCAAAAGAGCAAGGATGCAGGGACATGGAATGGTTCGCGAACCCTTAGGACTCCTTACGGATCTCAACATCCCGAACCCATCCGAATCCCAAGGGCTCAAGGACACTTGAAGAAAACACCTTCAAGAGTGCTGTCGGAATGCTCTGTGAGGTTTGCGGCTCTGTTCCTGCCCTGGGCAGCTGGAGCCTAGCTGATGCAGCCTTAATGCAGTGCCAGGCGCTGGGGAAGGGAATGAACCCTCCCGACACTGGATATTCCCTCCCTGCGAGGCTGGTTCTTCCAGTGCATGCAACCTTGGACCTTGAATGTCCAGCAGTTCGCGTCACCTCATGGTTTCTTTGAAGCGGGTCATGTAACTGAGTTCGTCATCATTCCTCGCAAGCGGCCTTGAAACCTTCAGCTCCAAATACCTCAACCGTGGCCTGCAGTGCGTCTCTCTGAGTCAGCTAGGCGGTGGCCAAAAAATACTCAACCCCAAGTTCCAGTCAAGATCAGCCAAATGTGGCCGTCAGGGCGACATGTGGACCTTAACCACAGAGTTGCCGTGTGGCGTGCGAGCGCAAACCTCGGCCAATGATGGAGCACATTCTGGGTAGGAGGGTCTGAATGAAGCATCGCACCTGCCATGTTCTGATGCTTGGACATCCACCAGGTGCTTGCAGCAGTTAAGCTCCCAAGGGTCATTTGTAGAGGGCATAACTTGGGGGGAGGATGGAAGATGGAATAGATGGACGAATGCAAATATCGCTATGAACATGGAGTTGCTCACCCGTTCAGTGTGGCCATCGGCCTTGTCTTGGTCTTGGGCACAGCGGTGAGCATCATCCCTGCCCATGTGAAGATCTGGTCGAAGGGCAGCTGCCAGGGGGTTTCCCCGGCCACCATCCTCTTGACCAATGCGGCCTACACCTGCCTTGCTTGGAACATGATGTTGCTGAAGTTCCCTCAGATAAAGGCTTGCGCGTCCACGTGGTGGCTGTGCCAGGCCAACCTCCTAGCCTTCTACCAGGTTCTGGTCCAGTGGCTGCTGTTCTTCCCCCTGTACTACTGGTGCACACTCTATTCCGAAGGGTGCAGGCGCTTCTTTCGCAAGGCATGGCTGGGTCAAGTGGGCACGTTGGTGCTTGGCACCTTCGGCCTCATACTCTGGTCCTCGCTTTCAGACTGTTCCTGGAGCATCCGGCTTGTCGCAAGCAGCTTGGGGTACATATCTGCTTTACTGAACGGCGTGCGTCAGATTCCGCAGATTCGGACATCCCTGTCGGTGAAGGGATCCGGCAGTGTCAGCTACACCTTCTATGGCTTGATGGGCCTAGGAGGCATCCTCAATCTTTACTTTCAGATTGAGAGCTCAAAGGAGAGATTGACCACGGTTCTGTCGCAAGCTGTTGGCTGTGCCATGTGACTTGCTTGCATGTGTGCGTTGCGTCTTGGCGGGGGTCCTACTCGAGCAGCCCAAGCTGAGCACGTAGCTACTTATGTGCTAATATAACTTATGTGCTTACATGTACTTACTGCTTTGGCTCGCTGCGTTCGGAAGGCGTGTCCAGCACCCAGGATCCTGGTGGTGCTGGTGCTCTGCGCATACTACGACTGCCGCGCTGCGTGTGGCCGCCGGTGTGAGGGTGTGCAAGGGAGCAGCCTCCTTTGACAGCCTAAGGCGCCTGGAAGGAGCTGCAGGTACGAATAGGGTAATGAAGGAAAAGTGTGGGCTTAAAACGTTCGCACAGCTGCAGCTTTGTGATTTTGGCTGCGTCAGCTTGCCGAACAGCTGCAGCGTTGTGATGGCCAGCGTGCACCAGAAAAGGCAAAAAAAGATGGGAATCTGCATGCGTACCGAGCAGACTCGTCCCTTACATCACATGACCCGGCCAGGTTTCAGGGAAGCCCCTCATTGCGCGATATTGACCAGAGATTCTTGCACACGCGTCCATCTAGTCCCAACAGCCAGACAGCCATAAAGCAAGCGGGCCCATGCGAAGGGAAGTGCGGTCTGGTACGTTCAAGCGGCTGCGTTTGCCAGACCTTCGCGTGTGTGATAAGGACGCCCGGGGCAGACCACAATCACCCTAAACCTTGGAGCTTTGTTTGTTGGGTTGCGTCATGTATGTAGTATCTCGTACGAGTATGCAACTTTTAATATGCATAACTCTAGTGTAGACGTGGTGTATGCAGGTTGTACAGCAGTGCAGAGTCCGCTTCAGGTCGAGCTCAAGCTGGTCCGGCGGCCGCAGGGCCGTGAGGTGGTTTGGTTTGGGACAGGGCCCAGGGCCCAGGAGACGCCAAAACCTGTGAAGCAGAAGAGCCCTTAAAGGTCATAGTGTGCCGTAGCACCCCGACCTCTGACGACCTAAAAGGGGCTCTTTAGGCAAGCTTCTGATGCAGGCTCATGAGCCTGAGCCAAGGCCGGGAGGCAACGGGAACCTGATGCTGGAGACCAGTTTGGGTGCCGACCCTCAGACTTTTTCTTCGAGAGGTTTTCAGTACTAGAGGGCCCCACCCTCCCCCCACTCCCCCCACTCCAAGGCCAGGTGCTGCTATCTGCAAAGCCCCCCCGCCCAGCACAACGTAGGAGTGCCTCTCTGCGCGGCGGAAAGGAAGCCAAGTAAACCAACTGCCCCTCATCCCGAAGTCCATGTCTACGGCAGGGAGACCGGGTGCCATGCCCTCGCACTTCGTGAATCCGGAGGGCATGGTCCTTAAATTTCAGAGAGAGCACCTGCAACCGCCATGCTGTTCCCTGCTGTTCCGTTAGAGGCTGGAGGCTGATGCGTGCCTTGCATGGCTGTGTGGCTGCTCAGAGCAGACAGCTTCTGATGAGCGGAAGCAACGCACGTACCAATTGCAGCGCCCATATGCCATAGGCGCCTGTGGTCATGTCGTGTGGGATTTGCGTAGCCTTGTCATCATCATGAGAGTGTTGAGTCCGTGGTCAAAGTCATCTGATTCATACATTTGGCTGGCACCCTATGCCCCGAACATTGCCGAGCCAACCAGTGGGATGAGCTGCATCTCCCACAAGCACAGCTCGCAGCGAGCTTCAGGCCTCAGACCGCGTGCATGCCTTGCCTGAATCATGAATTCATGAGTCATGACTTGTCCCGGTAAGCCAAGACCTGCTTCTCCAAGTGCTGAGATCTCTACATGCTGGGAAACCCTGTGATTAGAAATGCAACTTCACCCTGCGCCCTGAACCCGCGAAGCCCCCAGCACAATCCAATTGCCACACTGCTGTTCTCGGCTTTAGGCCCGGCATCCGAATCTTTATAGCACTCCGATGTCTGCTCCGGGGTATCCTGTTGGTTGTAGGGCTGCGACGTTGGAGTTTATGAAGCAACGCCCAAAAGGGAAAAAGTTCAAAGGCGCAGGCTTTGGGAGCAAGTCGGTGTTTCCATCGTGTTTCCAACTTTTTTTTTGGATGGGGGGGGGGGGTGGGTGGGTGGGTGGGTGGGGGGAGCCTTCCGAGTATGTAAGGGGTACCCGTACCCCCCACACTTAAAACAACGCCTGCCTTGTTCTCCCGCATCTCCCAACAGGCCTCTCGCGGATAAGCACTCGCAGCGGCACCGGCAGCCGGGTCAGTGGCAACTTCGTTTGCATCGAAGTTCCGAAGTTCGCAATTAGCTCAGGTCCCTTTCCCAAGTAAGCCTTTCAGGCAGTCTTGCGACTAGGGCGTTTGGGGAGCATCTCTTCATTTTGAGTTTAAACGAACCCCCTGTTGCTACGTCAGTGGCTACCTCGCAGAAGCCGAGCAGAGGCCTCGCAGAGTCTGCTAAAGGAGGAAATGCATAGCCACTGTCGTCACTGTCGTCACTGTCGTCACTGTCGTCACTGTCGTCACTGTCGTCACTGTCGTTTTTGTTGTCGTCACTGTCATGGCATGAGCAGCGCAGGAGCGCACCACGCCAGCCGCGCCTCGCCGCCGAGTGATGGCCAAAAGCCATGTGCAGGCGATCTTTCCGAGCACGGGAAACGGTTTACGCCTTTTTGCCAGCATAGGCTTCACTCTCACAAGGCTTGCTGTAGCATCAGAGTAACCCTCACCCTGGAAACTTCCATAGGTGCTCAAACCCATCAGATAACGACCGTATGCGATCACGGACGTGCAAGCCGCTGATGTTACATCACGGTGATGGTCATGTTCGCGTCTTTGGGCAAGCGGAAGCTGATTCGCCTCGATGTCTCTCCACTGAACACATTCGGACGTGATCGGTTTCGCTAGTCACCCTCCGGAACCTGCCGCACTCCCCGCCATAAGATCACCGACATCAACCAGCCTTCAACCTTCGCCATCCAAAGCCAGTGACCGGAGGACTTCCGCCGCTGGCACCCGGACCTCTGCCGAGCTCAGCGCCGCGGCTCACAGCCGAGGCCCATGCAAGACCTGAAAACCCCTCAGTATTCCTCGATATTCCCAATACTCCAATACCCCCCCCTCCCCTCCCCTTCCCCCTCCCCCCCACACCCTTTAGTGCCTGCTGGGAGGTCCTCAGCAAACTGGACCGGGAGAGCCGGCGGACTGGCTCTGCGAGTGCCCGGCTGGTGGCCGCCATGGGTGGCAGCGACGGGCTCAGGGAGAAGTCATTCGGATCGATGCCAGAAACGAGCCGGTCGTGCTACCAAAGCCTCAACATCTGCCCGAAATAGTAGAAAGCTCGCTAGTCGCGATAGAGGGCGCAGGAAAGTGTATCGCGGTTTGTTGGAAGCGCATTAGATCAACCCATCTCTTCAAGTACTTCTGTACTTACTCCTTTGACGCTGCCGACTCGATGTGAAGCAAGACTTCGCCCAAGCTTCCCCCTCGCCATTTTCGAGTGTTGCCAACTTCATCTGCAAAATCACTACTGCCCGATTTGACTTGGCGTTGGCAACGTCCTGGGGATCCCCTAGCAGCCCCAGAGATTTCTCAAGGGGCTCGCTGGGGCCCTAGGGTGTGGGCCCGAAAAGGAAATTCCTGTCCGTGCTCGATTACAACCCGGGGGTCCCTTAGGGAACCTCTGACGGCCAGACCCGGGCCGAGGCGAGATTTAGATCAGATGGGCTGCAGCAACAGCTGGCAGGAGGAAGAGCAATCGTTTGAGTTTGAGTCCCTTCGCCCTGTTCACCACGATCCGTCTTGTTGCGCATGTGTGGCCTGACGAAGTGTCAGAGGAACAATAAGGAGCACGAGCCAAGACCGTGACGATCGATTCCTCAACCCCTCGAAATGCAGTACCGATGTACCATATCACAACACTAGCAAAAATAGGCTCGATGCTGTCGCACAAGGAGTCAGTTAGATTATAGCCCTTTTCACTTGTCCTTCCAATTCCACCGGGCTGTCACAGGCTCACCCTCGCAGCAGCAGCAGCAGCAGCAGCCGGCGCGGCAGCAGCAGCAACAACAGCAGCGCGTGGTTTCTCTGCCGCCGCTGCCCCGTGCGCAGCGGCTGAGGTCCGTCACACGCCGGCAGTCGCAGTGAGGGGGGTGAGAACAATTAATGGCTTCAGCTTCGGTTGTACGTCTGGTGTATGGTGAAGCAGCCTGCAAGGTTGGGTGGGGCAGGTAGCTTATAGTCAGTTCTGTCTGGACTTGGTCCGGGCTGGCATATTGAGGATGTCCCATTTCCCGATTCGCTTCATCAATCGTCCCGACTTGGATTCTTTTTGGAACCCGGCATGCCCTTTCTTACCTTGTACTTCTCCGCTACATCTATTACATCAGGCACATAAGTTGTCAGGCTTCTCCTTCGGCAGAGCACGTAGAGCTCTCGCCCTCGAACGCGCCCTCCAAGAAGCTGGTGCGTTCTTCGAGTCTCGACCTCAGTTTGTCGCAAGTGGCTGTGGTTTCAGGGCCAAGAGTTCGACATGGCTCGACGCGTACATAGGCTTTGCTTTGTGGTTGCCCTTGGGCGGCGGCAAGCAGAGGTCCGTGGACTTGATTCCGCGCGGACGAGTTAGTTACAGTAGCCTACTGTGTGTATGTGTGTGTGTGGCCCCCCAAAAAAGGTTCGTCATTTGTCGGCCATGTGCGAAGGTTAAAAACCTCAAGCTCAGATTCGCGCGGGAGTTTCTTGGAATGCTTTCGAGTTCAACGAATGCAGAGGTGGGAGTGACGACTATTTCTGCGCCTTGAGGAAGAGAGATGCTGGTCCTTGTTGCAAGCGCTGACATGCGTGCTGTGGCCCACAAGACGGCTGCGGGAATGACGACAGCAGAAGCAGCGGCAAAACGCAGTCTTGGGGGCTGCTCCGCGGCTCCGCGTACAGGATTCAGGAGGGTTTGCCCATGCAGAGCTCTGGTCTACGAGAACATGCCCGAATTTTTCGAAGCCATGTCAACAGGACTCCGGCTGCGCCACGTGTCAGAACGGTTTGTTCTGCCAGACCTGGAAAGATGGGTTTTGGCCATCGGCCTCCTGGAAAGCGGGCGGTCACCAAGTGGCTCCACGTGTGAGGGCCCTGGTGCATCAGGGGCAAACCTGGCGTCAAAGAAGTGCATACCCAGAAGGATTGTTTCCGGCATTGGGTGGGCGAAAATGGAGAAGCTCGACCTTCTCCTTCAAATGGACCCACTCGCAAGAGAGAGTTCGGGGATTTGTCGAGTTCGGAAGCCGTGAGACAATGAGCAGCTCCGGGACACGGATACTCGAAAACTCTGCCGAAAGGTGCAATGAGCCTGAAACAGGGGAAGGTGAGATTGCCAATTAGAGCTTGTCGGCGGAGTCAACGGGGTCGACAAGAGTTGTTTTGCCAGTCGTCCTTTGTTCAAGCAGCCTGCTGCTTCGGAGCCGTGTTTCCATAAGGGGCTCAAGCTTGCAGCGTCGAGCTTGCTTTTGCGCTCGTAGCGGCATCCTGCTCAGTCCAACTTGCGGGAAAACCTTCGCAAGGTAAATGACTCGCAATAGACGCAGCTCCAAATACTTCATGCATTTCACTATGATTGCGTGGCTATGCCGCTGTTCGAGGCGGCGCGCAGCCTTTGCGGCGGCGGCGAAATGGCCCGGTTCAGAGCCTGGACTGGCAATCGAAGGAGGCACGCTGCCTCAAGGGCATAGGTCTCTGCTGACTGAAGGCTGGGCTACCCTTTTGCCACTTGTTTTGCATCCTCTTTGCACCTTGTGCTCTGTCTTCATGTGAAAGTGGATGCCTTTTCTTGAAGCTCTATTGACAAGGCCCTTTGTTCTTCTCGTTGCCGTTCTGGGAAGAGCAGTGCGTGCGAGAGTTGTCAGGCCTGGCGGGCGACGGAAGGCATCCTCACCCGTGCATACGGGGCGCGTGTAGAGAAGGATGCGCCCACGACTGGCTGCCCGCACTGCGGCCGGAGGCTTCTTGGCACATCTCGGGACCACAGGTGACCATAGTGTGACCGCAGATGACCGCGGTTGTGCGTGAAGACCATTGCGGCCTGCGAGTATCGCAACTCGCGTTTGTGCGCTAGGGGGTGTAGCTACGTGTAGCTGCGTATCTGTGCATAGTTCACGTTCTCAGTTCGCTCTTCAGCTGTGAGGTTCCGAGAGGAGGCCTTGGCCACACACGCACGCGTCTGCGTCAACGTGTTCCGCAAGCAGCGGAAGGCGGCCCCCAGCTTCGGGTGTCGTGCTAAACCCAATTCAAAAAACATCGTGAAAAAGAAGCCTTGTGTGAGATCGTGTAGCTGCCCAGAGAGAGCCGAGACACTCCAGTTCACAGTTCAGACAGGCCTTCGACTCGCAGCGCCAGCGTATGCCTGCGGATGCTCTTCGGCGGAGGGCCCGCGTCCGAGAGGCCTCTCGTCACCTCACGTTAAAAGCAGATTGAACATGTGAATAGGGAGCTGCTCTTGTTGCATAGTGCACTTGCGGCAGCAGCCGTTGTATGCAAATATGTGCAAAATAGAAGGACTCTCGAAGCCACGGACCAAACAGGTGAAGGTGGCGAGCAGCTGGCGGCAGCAGAGCCGCGCGCTACGTCTCGCCATGCGCGCAGCGCGGCGCGGCTGTCCCCTGGAAGAAGCGTGTGCAGGGGCTTGGGGCGGCATGCTCAACACACTTATGTGATTAAGGTGGTGCCGGTGCAGTACTTGTAGCAATCTGGTTGCAGTGCTTGTATTTCAGCACGGGGTGGGAGGTGGGGGGCTCCGGAATGTCTGGGGAGTGTTCGCCCAGCTTGACTTACGAGCACAGGGAGCCCTTGAGTGTCGAGCACATGCACTTCTCCTTGCTACTGGTGAGTCAGGGTTCCGTTTGGAGGGCAAGCCGCCGCCAACCCCCTATTTCCCCGCCGAACTTCCAGGAGCTTTCTTGGCCTTGACTTGTGGTTGCCCTGTGTGTCTTTTTTTACTGTGCACAGAATGGCTGCACTGCCCTGCAGATTATGTCCGGGGCCGATCTCTGGGGCCGGGTGAGGCCGCCGCCACCTGGCCGAACAGGGTTTGGCGATTCTGGCGTCTTGCGCTTGCTAACATCCTCAACTGGCGCAAGCAGCTGATTAGCAAAACCAGCAGCTGCCACAAAAGATCAGCCTGCTACGCCATGCCGGGACACGCCATGAATGGATAATATATTCCGAGCTTGTCTGCCGACGTGCGGGCTGTATGAGATCAGAGTCCAAGGATCTCGACGGACGGATCCCTTGTCCCCATTGTGGGCGCAAGTTTGGAGAGAACCAGGCAGCAAGGCACATCCCAGTTTGCCACTCGGCCTGTAGTCAAGCGTGCGTCTGGTTGCAGAGGTGACCTGAACTTCGCCTAGGGGTGCCTTCCAGTGCTGTACTACAATGAACGATTATGGGCGCGTTTGCTCTCCGCTCAGGCCGAGCGCAGGCAGGTGCTGCATGTGTCCATGAGATTCCGCGAGCCTTGAAGGTTGTTTTGTTGGACAACGGTCTGTGGGCCTAGAGATGCCTAAGGGCTTACAGTTTCGGATGGTTCGGGATGCGGAATGGATGATCTGGGGTCCGAGAAGTTTGAGGCTGCCCCAGTTTTTTTTTTTGAGGGGGGGGGTGGGGGTTGCAGGAAGCCGCATGAGCAGTCACATGTTATGTCCATAGTCGAGTTGAGTTTAGTCGGGTGTGCTATAGTTGAGGGCCGGAAGTTGGGCTTGTGGGTGCAGGTGAAGCGCCGGTTACGATGTAGCTCTCGATTGTTGATGCGCAGTTGCATCTCGGATTCTTTCCGCCTAAGGGCTATAGCATACATCAGGACACTCTACGATACTGCGGGGCTTGGTGGGTTCGTGATCTCAGATATCTGGCAGCGCAGGCTCCCTCCCCGGTCAAGGCTGCGCCGGATTCTCGGCCTGCAGGCCTCCTGAATGCATCGGCGGTGCGGGAGATGCTGGATTTCCAGTTTTAGCTGGCTTTCAGGAGGGCCGTGCGTGTCTAGTCACTTGGGTTTGTTGTGAGGGCATCTCCAGAGTTTGAGGGGACAGTGCATGCAGCTTGGCCACAAGTCTCATAAGATGTGGCCGAAACTCAACTTGATGCTGTCTAGATAGGTTTAGATGCAAGTATATCCTCGTGTCAGGAATGCTGTAGAGGGCAGCTGCAAGGTACGCCAGCAAGGGGACCTCCCCCAAGCGCTGTCCGGGACACCCGGCCATGGTGATGGTCGAGGCTAGGCCCGCAAACTGCAAGTGCTAGCTGGAAGGGTCGAACTCTAAAGTCTTGCTATGCAACTTTGCCGCGCATGTCAAACCGTCACGGGTGGTGCTCACGAGCCATCGGACCCACAGCAAGTGTCGCAAAGATGGTGGTGCCCGCCTGCGCAGGTTGGAATTGCCACATGGTGCTTCGCCTGTGGCGCGGTGAACCGGCCAAGCAGAAGTAGCAGCTACGTGCTAGATTGTGTTGTGATTTTAATTGTGTCCTCATCCAAAAGGATGCGAAGAAAGGCATTTCTTGCAAGTTGCAGCTGTGACACGCTCTACCAGGGATCGAATTCGCAGTGCGGCAGCTGGATCTTCTGCCCCGATTCAGCTGAGTAGGGGCGATGTATGCTGCTACACCGCTATGTTTCACTGGCAATTCGCACAGGTGTCGCAGACTCTACTTATACTGCCGAGGCCGCTGATGTGTAGAGGACTTGCGGAGCGCAACCCAGAGCCTACATCAGAAGCAGCCGAAAACCCGACTACTTGACTACGAATACTGGGGACTCGAGGGCCTAGCCATCGTGTTAATGCAGTGTATCCGAATCATATACTTTAATTCGGGCTGTGAAGACCTGCGGCCTCAGCAATCAGCAGTTCTTGTCGCATGTGACTTGGTGCGGGTGCGCGCAAGAGTGCGCGCGAGAGCTTTGAAGGTCAGAGATGTGACAGCGCTTAGAAGTCGTGGGAGCTTCGGTGAGCGGAAGTCGGCAAGCCTCTTCAAATTCAGGGTTCTAAGCTGCCCATATTGCCAGTCCTATGCTCACCTGACCGTTATTGCTCCCATTTGGTCCCTATATGTCTCACAAATGGACATTTTCGCGCCTATTTTCGCAAGTTGCCTGACCATGGCCCAGACTAAATGCGGCACAAACCGGACTTGCATGCACTGCACCCAGGCTGCCTCTGACTTGGGTATCTCTTCCCCTGCCAGTCTTGCAGGTGCAGAAATCAAACCGGCTGCGTAGAGCCCTGTAGTTGCCAAACGAGCAGAAGGGGGGGGGTTTGCCTTTCGAGAGTCTTTTGCCCCCAGAAGCGCCTGTGTTCAAGGCTTTCCCTGGCGCCTGGAGGTCGAAGAGCTGACCCCTGAAGAGGCACAGCGAGGCGCTTTGCGTGGCGCAGCCCTTAAGTTAAGGCTTGGCCGGCTAAAAGCCCCTCTTGTCTCAGAGGTGGACCAGGGTGTGTGCTTCTTTCCATTGCGCCAGGTGTGAACGTGGATCGAAATGGCCTTGCTGCCGCATCTTATTCTGGGGCTGTTGATGACACGTCGGCGCTTGGTTGCCCAAAGTTTGCCTCAGCAAGCATGAAAAGAACATCTTCACTCACATGGGCTCAAAAAGAACAGGCTGCGCAAAGTTGAGGCCTGGAAAGCGAAGTCATAACACCTGACATCCCCAAAAAGCACCTGTCAAGACTCAAAAAACGTAGCTGTGGGCCTGCGTAAATGCCCTCACGCGCTGGGCCCCACGCATGGAGGCTGGGCTTGGATGAGAAATTCTCCAAAACCTGATCAGAGAGGGGGGACCTGGGGAAAAGGTAGCTGGGTTTGAAGCCTCTTGAGTGAACACATGGCCAAAGCCAAGAAGGCTTGGTGCCGACCCTCTTCAGCATCCCGTTAAGCCCTTTTCGGTATATAAGGCCCTGTGTGCGCTCTCGATCTTCTTCTTGCAACCTGCGCAAGGTTTCTGCTGTTGGCTACTGCGGCGTGGCTGTCTCGGCATCAGGCATCTTGGCGTCTGGAAGACTTCAGGGCTTGTTAGTTGGGTGTGGATCATCGTGGACCACACACCAGGGAAGGCTCAGGTAGGTTGTTCGAAGGCCCATGAATGCCCGCAGCAATTTGCCTTCCAAACCGTCACCAGTTGAACGAACCCAATTGCGCAATGTCCAAGTCATACCGAGCACACTTCGCATCGAATCAGGTTGCTACACCTGGCTTTGTGCCAGCAACTGCCACCCGCAGCCGCAGTGAAGGTGAAGAGGGGGTGTGGGATGGACAGCTGGAATGAAGCTTTCATGTGCGGTTCGAGATCTTGCTGTGTGCAGGCTCCAGCCATGTGCTACGGGGTGCAAGAGGGCCTGGGCCCCGGACGAAGCCTGGGCCTGGCAGAGTTTAAGGATGTTTATGAAGGCAATGTGAAGAGAACATGCCCAGCCTGCAGTTCCAGCCTGGGACAAGTTGCAGTAGGAAAGCTTCCACATGCTGGGAGTGTTTAGGCTGGGGTCTCTCGCTACTTGTCCCAAATCGGACTTCTGGAGGTGGGCATGGGCCGATTCTTGTGGAAAGGTACGGCGTCCTCCGTCAGCTTCTTCAGCTTCAGGACGAGTTCCTGTCATTGCCGCAAACGAAGGACAGGTGCCCCCCACCCCACCAAACGGACCCAGCTACGAAGCCCTTAGCTCCACAACCTCAGGAGTTTGTGCTCGATCGCAGCTGGCCGAACTCAAGCTCCGTCGATGTGGACGAGTTCCTGCAAAAACAGCGGGACTCGCTTATACTCGCTTGCTGCGCGTGCGGCGTGCCTTTGTTGCTTCTGCTTGTCTCTTTGCCTGGCTTCGTGCTTCTGCGGCTTGTGGTGTTTATACTGATAGGCTTTGCATGGCCGAGAACTAAGCCTCCATAACATGCGCGACGATGTGCACGGCCAGCCTGGGCAGGAATGGACCTTTGAAGGCAGTCTTCCGACCGTCTTCGATGTGCGATCTCCTGGGGACCCTTGGACTTCTTGGTCTTTGTTTGCCAGGCTAGGCCCAACAAACCGGAGGTTGAGCATGGAGCCATGGAGCCAAGGAATTTGCTGCTGGTCACATTCCTGGTGCGAAAAGCCTACCCCTGACTCTTGCCAGAAGTGGGTCGAAGAGGTGTGAGATTGTCTGAGTCGAGTCCTTTGCTTTCGGGGCTTGAAGGACTGGAAGCTGCCTCACTCACTTCTTGCTTTTCGACTTGACTGACTGGCCGGCCCAGGCTTGATGATGAGGAGAGGCTGGGGAAGCATCTTATAACTTTGGCGCTTGTCAGAAGCTTGCAGACCCTCGGGTGCTGGTTGCACAGGGCCGCCGTTGGCACCACCTTCGCAAACCTAGGCGGCCCACACCATCCTTTTTTTGGAAACACATGAGAGAGACGAGAGTTCTGAGTGCCGAAGATGTGGAGCAGGCCCGGAGGAAGCCTTTGCCAAGGGCTCAGCATGGCTCGGTAGAGACCCGTTGCAAATGTGTCGTTACGCGCAGAGTTTGGAACGCCGCACCAGTATCCCGGGCATCATGCGAACTCAGGATTTGGCCTTGAACAGCGTGCATCCAAAGTTAGCCGACTTGTTACGTCAGGCCCACAACTGAGTGGAGCCGACTCTATGCCAAGTGCAGACCAAGTCCGGAACGCAATGCACCTCGCTGTCTAGGCTGATGCGCACGCGGGGGAATTCAAGAAGGCCCTTTGTCAGACTTCAAGCCGCGTTCTTGTAGTATGGCTTCAGGAACAGGGGACAATTTTGCAGCCCTGACTCGAGACATTGGAAGAGAGCCGACGATGCTAGTAAGACTCGACAGAACCCATTTTAGCATCCCGCTGCCTCTCAAAATCATGGTGCCAGGCTGCGAGGCGGCACGTTCTCTTGTACTGCAAGCGAGGCACGAAGCTTTTGCGAGCTGTTGCGTGGCTTCTCGCCGGACTGAAATGTGGCGGTGATGCCGGTGTGCTTTACGCGACAACCCGTGATACTTTGCCCACTATGCCCACTGCATCTTGCTCCCGATATTGGCTGGCGGCCCAGGCGGGTTACGCTCGCAATCGATGGCCAAGCTAGCCTCCTAAAGAGGGTTCAGAGCTGCATCTCGGTTGCGAAGCACACATGACCACGGGAAAGGCAGTTGACATCAGCGGCCCTTAAGATTCCCCAAGGCTTCTTTCGAGACATGGCTTCGAAGTCCTGGTGCTCAAGGGTGGCTACAAGGCGTGCTGGACGAGTGGCATCCGAACTTTGGCGGGGATGAAGTCGAGTGCGCAGAGTCTTCGAGCCTGCAGCCTTGCTCGGGTCGATGTGCACCGCACCATCGCATGATGCGACTGCGATGCGTGATGCGCAGGCTTTTCGTGGATGGGCTGAACGAACTCTTCGCGAGAAGCCGCAGAAGGCTTTCTGAAATTGAAACCGCCTGTACGGTCTTATCGATGAAGGTCGGCATACATGTCGAACCGTGTAGACAGCGCATGTAGGCGCGAATCAGGCGCTGTTACAGATAGATGGCCGATGTCTGTGCTGAAGCCCTCGGAAGGTCTGGATGGTGCCATAGCCAACGATTCATGCTTCCATTAATGTTCTGAAGCCTGACGGTGCGTTGCTTCATGGCACGCGAATCAATCAAAGCCGCCCGTTTCGCTTCAAGTCTTTCTTAAGATGGAACGTGTGGAGCTTTTTTTCGCGCTGCTTCAAACATGTTCTCTTGTTTCACTTCCATGGCCCTAGTCCTGTCCAAAGCATCGGCCTCCGCAAGAGTACACAATCCTGGCAGGTCTGCGTGATTGCTGGAGTGCGCCACCCTGCTGTCTGAGGATTTGGGGTTTTTGGTGTTGCAATGACAGGGTTCCCATACTGATGAGGTAACCTAGCGATATCCATGAAGCTAGCAACGTGCGTCCTCTGCGTATGACAGAGCCAAGGGCTCTCGACATGCACACTTCATCTGCCTAGATGAGGCTACGATCGGGGAGGTCAATAATTTTGACATTGGTCTGAGTCTCTTTCGTCTGTTGCGGATGACCAGCAGAACCTGCAAAGGCGACCGGCAGCGGCAAGACAGAGGTTTTGGCAGAGCTTGCCAGGACATCTTGGTTGTGCCGTGAATGGGTTTCTAGGACAGAGTGTGGAACTATATGCCCTCCCCTGGATAGAAAGGAGGGCCGTCGTTCAGTGCAATAACTTGAAGAAATAGCCAACCTTGGCATCTCCTGAGCTGTTCTTGGCTTCATCACTGCGTGCCGAGACTGTGGCACATGCCAGAGTGGAAATCCCAGGTCATATAGATCCCACTCCCCCTTTTCTGTCCTACTCAGGTCCTACTCAACTTGTTGGTTCATAAATGTTCATACGGCTCTTGCCAGGCAGAAACTCGGACAGGTTATAGACCTGGAGGTCTCCGTCGGGAAGGGCGTTGCAGGAACGGATTCGGGACCAAGGGGTTTGAGTACTTTAGAACTGTCGAAGCCTCTAAATCATAAGGATGAGGGCTGACCTTCAGAAAGCTCTTGGCCATGCCAGCTTTGGGTGGTTTAAAAAGACAAAGCTACAGGGCTTTTAGCACCTTCGGAGGGGGCGCAGAGTGCGCCGCGCCACCTGCCTAAAGCTTTCACTGAAGATTGGGGTTTGCCAGGCTTTGCCGGGCTTGCGGAATTTACATGTTGCAGCCCTCTGTGGCCCATGCTTCGGTGAGTGGTGGTGGCTGACTAAGACACAGCAGCAAGCACAGCCGCTTGGCCTTCCAGTAGCCAAGCAGTCAAGGCCACTCGAATTGGGAGAGACAGGATCTTTGAGGCTCGTAAGGCTCTTGAGGTTCTTGGCAAGGTGAAGGCGCCCTTGGCAGCAGAACCAGTAGCCTGCTGATACACATAGGTCATGAGTTTCAGATTCAGTTGTGTCGTGCTCCGGACGTTGGAGTCGTCATCAGTCGATCGTGGAACCACGACGGCTGCCATGGCCACCAGAACCGACTCCACAAAGAGCTCGGACAGAAAGGCCGGAACAAGAGCCGGAGTGCTTGGAGACACCATTAATCTAGATCAGACCCCCCATGTGGGCATGTTCCCTTTTCGATTAGCCGTGGGGTGGTGTCTTGTGCTGTGTTGAATGGAGTTTGACAGTGTGACGACAACTCATGCCTTCGCCAGCCCATGCTCTCCTGAAAAGGCCTGACAACCAACACTTAAGAATACTTAAGACTCAAGAAAATCGCAGCCGATGAAGGGCCTGGTAATTGATTCTGCAGGTCACCATCTCGCCGAAATCGCTGTCCTGGGCACTGCCTCAGGATGCCTGTGGTTGAAGCGTTAAAGGCATCGGAGTCTGGAGGGCAATAGAAGAAGGAGGATGATCCTCGTTTATCCTTTTCGGCGGTTGTTCACTTTGCACGCATGTGGCTCTTCTAAGCCCTGGCATCGTCTTTGAGTGACATGTGAAGCCAAGAAGATTCACAACAGTGAGTTGACATGCTGCTGAAAGTGGCACATTGATACCGATGCTGACCGCAGGACCATGAATCCAGCATTTCGACTCTGGAGAGCAAGAGGAGCGCTGAGCTCGCAGAGCAAGTGGCCTCTGCAGCGGCTTGTCTGATGGAGCGATGAGCGATTGCTAGCTCCAGATTTACGTGACCTGTGCCTTTCTGCATATTTATGGGCTGGTTTGCCGCGCCACATATGGGGGAGAAGCTGGGCAAGCGTCGTTTGGAGTGCGCAGGCGCGTACTATTGGGGCTTGGCACATTGCGGGAGCTGCGCAAGTTAGCGCGTCGAACTTGTGAATTGGATGTTTGTCATGTGCACATTATCTTGTGCGACATCTGCCGATTGATGATCGTCAACAAGCATCCATGCAGTAACCATATCAGAAGAGATGGGGAAGCTGTTCAAGGAAACTGAACACAACATAACACAACCTTTCACAGACGGGCGGTTCCTTGGGGTTTCAGGGCCTACCCCCGAAACTTCAAGAGTAGTTGCTTCCACACACCTATGAGTTCCAAATCCGTCAGACGAGGATTGTGTTTGAGAATGTTGGGTTGGGCACTGCCACAAGCAAAACCGCGGACCAAGGGGGGCGCAGCGGCGGGAGGGGTGGGGTGGGGGGCTGGGGTAATGCGCAGGCACAAACAAACAGAACCGAGCTAAACCCCCGACCTGGGAAACAAAAGCAACGCAGAAAAGCCAGACTTGCACTGCTAGCACGAAGCACGAACCCCTGAAGCGTCACACTCAACTTGGCACTCAGGTCTCTGCGCAGCTCCTCGAGGCACTGCAGGTAACTATGAGCCGCCAGGCTTCAATGGTGAAGTTTGCAGACGAAATCCCCAAGCCTCACACGCAGAACAGCAAGATCCTGCATGTGACCTCCAGGAGGCTCAGGGTTTGTAAGTGGAACTTCAGAGACATCAGCCTCATCCCACTAGCGAAGCCGAAGGTGGCCAGGGCAGATCTCAAAACGTTTCCGCCGTTTGACAACCGGAGCCTTAAGTGTCCCGCTCAGGAGATGCAACAGCTTCCGCTTTGCAGCAGCTTTCTACGGTGACTTGCACTCTCAATGCGTCCACGGTCGCGTGTCGTTTTCACAAGGAAACTGGAGCAAAGGGTGTTTGATCATGGACCGCACCAGGCAGTTTAGAGCTCCGACTTGCTCTGAGTCCTTGCAACAGTGCAAGAGTCCGACTGCTTCCAAGGCAACGGCGCGGGTCTGCCGCGTGCTCGATCGGCGTCTTGGTTGTCGGTTGGTTGTCGGTTGGTTGTCAGGGCTTAGGATGCATGAAGCTGTCGTTGGAAGGGTTGGGGCAGCCATGGCATGGCCAACAGGAGGCTAACGGAGAAGCATCGACTTGTCATGTGCAGCGAGTGAAGCAGCAAAGCCCCAAACCCTGAGTACAATTTACAACCCAGGCTGGAGAATGCGATGACGAGACAAGATCAGCTTAGCCCCGTCACATGCAATGCAAGAAGAGCAGGGGGCCGCGTTGAGCCTTCAGGGAGTTGAGGATTGATACTGAAAGTTTAAGTTGCATAGCTGCAGAGGCAATTCTGGCTGATATTTGCCTACTTTTGCCTAGTAGTCTCCGGATGAAGGCACAGGTGTTCAAGAGGCAAAAAAGCCAAGGGGAATTGCAGTTCCAGATTCGGGCACGAACAACTACATGAAAGAAGTGAGCCCCGGATGCCAAGGACTTCTCCATGAAGAGCAGCCGCTCGACGAAGCCCAAAATGTCTTCTGTGCCGTGGCTCAGCAATGGCACACGGGCTTGCGAAGGGAGCTGAAGCATGGTCAATGTAAAACCAGATAAGAAAAACTTGTGTATAGATACACCCTATACACCCTCTGTAAATATGAGAGAGGCACATGTATATATGTATATATGTATGTATACATACATATTTCGTAAAACCGCATACCCTAGACCCTCAGGTGACACTACATACTGTCCACGCCAGCGATGGGACCGGGCGTTGATTGCTGCAGCCGCGCCCGCTTGCGGCACGCATTTTGCGATCCCAAACCCTCAACGTTCCCCTGAAGGACGTTTGCCGCACACCCCGGCGTTAGCAACTTGGTACCGACAGTTTCTGCGAACTTGCCGGCTTGCTGTGCTAAGCATTTCTGCCGATGCAGTGTGTAGTGCGAACAATTGTGGTGCGAGCTACGGTGTTAACTCTTGTAAGTATGGCATGGGGATTTGGACCAGTGGAAGCCCACACTCAAGCGCCCTGCTGTTGGCCTGTGGCAGGTGTACCTATACCGATGATGCCCCTCCGACACAAGAAGCGACACTCAGAGCGGTCAGCCGAAGAGTCGGGAGATTTCATGGTATGACCAGGTTGAATGGAACAAGCTGGAACAAGTGTCCCATCACACCCGTAGTGAATGTCCCATCCCTGGCTGTACTCACGGCACCTAGCTGTGGGGAATGTCCCCCCCCCCCCCCCCCCCCATCAGGAGCTGCCAAACACGGCACCGTGGACTCAAAGGTCTCATTGGAGGGCTTGGCCCGCGCTGTGCGAGGCAAAGCTTGGGAGTTCTGCCACAGCTTTCTCATCTTTTCTGATCTCTCATCTGCTCTAGAAGCCCCTGCTCTTCTCATGCCCTAAACCTGAAACGCTAAGCCACGGCTATCCCGAAAGCCAAGTTGCAGCTCCTTGGATGTGCAAGTCCTTGCTGCGAACCCGCAACCTTGCCGGCCGCGTGCGGGTGCCAGAGTCGAAACCCCAGTAGCCCCCGTGGCCCCTGTCCTTTGCCAGCCGTCCTTGAGAGCCCCCAAAGATCAGAGGAGACGTGGAGAAGTTGAAGAAGAAGAAGGCCCAGTCGGCGATCTCGCTCCAAGGAGGCGCTCTTTTACCCCCTCTGCAAAAGAGGTGTGTGAAAGTCTTAGGGGTGTTTGGGGTTTAGGGTTGAGGCAGCCTCAAAGTCCGTTGCTGCAAAAAAGGGTTCAGGGTTTAGGGTTGTTCAGCTTTCAGACTGAGCATGTTTCCCAGTGAGCGTCGTGCTTGACCAGATGCGCTGGGACGAGCCTGTGCAAAAAGGGTTTAAAGCTTGGGCGGGTCCCCCCGGGGGCACCTGCCCTCCAACTTGAGAAGCGCCAAAATGATCGCTTCACAGTGCAAGAGGAGCGAATGCCAAACGCCAAAGCCCCAACTGCGAGCGTACGGGAATGATGGCATTTCCCCCTTCTGTTCACCCAGTTCACCCGGTTCACCCTAAACCAAATTCAGAAAAGGGTCCATCAGAGTCCATATCGGTGGCGGCCAGGTCACTGCTTTGGACAAAGCGGGGATGAGGAGGCACCCTCTGAGGCCGCCGAGACTCTGGCAGTCTGGCAGTGCTTTGTGAGGGATGGGAGTCGCAAGGACCTTAAGTACCTCCCCCCCCAATGCTTGGTGGAGCTAGCAGCTAGTTGTAGCTACGAATGCGTTCCTTGGGAGCAGTTGCGAGGCTATGCGAGCAATGAAGTCCATCCTGAAGCCGGGCCGCACTCAGCACACGTCAGAGCCGACAGCTAAATTAAGGGAATTTGCGACCAGCTCACCGGAAGCGACAGATTGACTGCACGCCCTGGAGCCCCAGCTTTACAAGCCTTACAAAATCTTACAAACCTTACAGGCCTTGGAATCTTGGAGGCGCAAGCCTCCCCTGAGGACCAGCCGGAAGTCCTCCATAGAGGATGGTTCGGTGTCAGGCGCCTGGGCAGTGGCTTTTGGGGCTTGACACTTTGCCTATTCCATGTGCAAGCGCTGGAAGGCTTTATCGCTGTCGGGCTTCGTATGTGTGTGTGTGTGTGTTCTTGGCTGGTGGCTCGCTTCTCTCCGACAACCGTCATGAGTGTTGAGACTTCCAGCCACGGCCAGCACTGCATTGTTCCAGGAGATGGGATGAAGTGGCGAG